ACTAGTAGCGCAGCAGGATACGACATCTCTGCTGCACATCAACTCATCATCCCTGCCCGACGACGAGGCCTGGTCGGCACTGATCTTATCATGGCTATCCCCGAAGGACACTATGGAAGAATCGCACCTCGATCCGGCCTAGCACTAAAGGAAATCGATGTCGCTGCAGGAGTAATCGACTCCGATTACCGAGGCAAGGTCTCAGTCCTGCTGGTCAATAACTCTGACCTCCCATTCACCATCAAAGCCGGCGACCGAGTTGCCCAGCTCATCCTTGAAAGGATAAGCACCCCACCAGTAACGCTAACCGACTGCATCGACGAAACAGAACGCGGGGAGGATGGGTTTGGGTCAACTGGTATCGCGTCCATCGAGGAACAAGCGGAGGACATCGACGATGATGAGTTCATCATTTCCTACTTATCTGGAACACTGATGATCACCAAGTACGAGAAACAGGAACCCCTGGCAGTGAGGGACGTTCCGCTCAAGGAGCGACTCCCTGAACTTTCATCTGGCTACAAACGACTTCACAACGGCATGATCTGGAAGATCCACCATGACATTAGGCGCGTCACCACTTCCACCGAACTTGCAGCCTCGAACGCCCAAGGCAAGACAGAAAAAACGCTACCACAGATGGTACCATCCTACCTACACGACCTCCTCCCCGTCTTCGACAAAGGCACCGCTGCGCGACTTCCAGACCACACCGAATATGACCACGAAATCAACCTCAAGGAGGGCTTCGCGGACATGAAGCAACAGGTCTATCCGCTCAACCTGCAGCAACGAAAGGAACTCGACAAGTTCCTCGAGGAGAACCTGAGTAAAGGGTACATTCGCCCTTCGAAATCCCCGTTGGCGAGTCCATTCTTCTTTGTTGGTAAAAAGGACGGTTCACTACGTCCCTGTCAAGACTACCGGCTACTCAACGAGAACATGGTCAAGGATCGATACCCGCTCCCGCTCATATCAGACCTCCTCGACAAGTTGAAGCACGCCAAGGTGTTTACGAAGATGGACCTCCGCGCCGGATACAACAATGTCTGAATCAAGAAAGGGGACGAATGGAAGGCAGCATTCATTGTACCCGGAACTGATGGCAAACCGCCGCAGCTGTACGAACCAATGGTGATGTTCTTTGGGCTGTGTAATTCCCCCGCTACGTTCCAGCGGATGATGAACACAATATTCGCAGACATGCTTCAAGAAGGCTGGCTCTGTATTTACATGGACGACATCCTGATCTTTTCCCAGGACAAGGCAGAACACGAAGAACGAACACGACGTGTTATCAAACAACTTCGACAACACGACCTCTACCTCAAACCATAGAAATGTGCCTTCGACGTCACTGAAGTCGAATTCCTCGGCATGATCATCCGCCCAGGAGAAATCGCAATGGACCCCGTCAAACTAGCTGGCATTGCAGACTGGCCAGTGCCGTCCAACCTCAGGCAAGTACGCGCCTTCGTTGGATTTGGAAACTTTTACCGCCGGTTTATCAAAGGCTTCTCGGACAAAGCGCAACCGCTGGTCGCTCTCACCCGGAAGGACGTTGCCTGGACCTGGGGATCTGACCAACAGAAAGCCTTCGAGACCCTCAAGAAGGTGTTCCTAGAAGAACCGGTACTACGCATGCCAGATCCCGACCGACCCTTCACTATTGAAACCGACGCCTCCAAGTTTGCAACCGGAGCAGTACTACGCCAGCGCGACGACAACGGCGACTGGCATCCTTGCGGATACCTCTCTCAAAGCTTCAATGCAGCAGAGAGAAACTACGACATCTATGACAGGGAGTTATATGCGGTCATCCGTGCACTAGATGAGTGGAAGCACTACCTCATTGGCAGCCCATACCCAGTGACAATTCTCAGCGACCACAAGAATCTCACATACTGGAAGCAAGCCAAAGACATGAACCGACAACAAGCACGCTGGGCGAGTAAACTGACCGAGTTTGACTTCTGCCTGGTACACATTCCTGGTACCCAAATGGTGCAGAGCGATGCTCTCTCCCGCCGACCCGACCATGACGATGGCTCTAATGACAACACCGATGTCATTATGCTCCCACCGGAAGTATGGGTTGCTGCCATCGACATCGACACCCACGACACCATCCTTTCTTTCAAGGATGACCCAATAATGAAGGAAGGCCTCACTGCGGCGTGCACTGGAGGAACACCACGCACTGGAACAGACTGGTCCATTGATGATGACCTCCTCCTATACCAGGATCGGGTCTATGTACCCCCAGATGAGTCTCTTCGCAAACATCTCGTCTCCCACTATCACGACCTCCCCTCCACAGGACACCCCGGTGTTCAGAAAACCCTCCTCGGCTTGCGCCGTGACTACTGGTGGCCGAGCATGGCCCAGTTTGTTGCTCGCTATGTTAACGGCTGTGGCATCTGCCAGCAAATGAAGGTTAACACGCATCCAGCCCGACCACCCATCACCCCCATTCGACCCCGCGCAAATGCCAAGCCCTTCAGCACATTCTCGTGCGATTACATCACCGACTTGCCACTGTCCAACGGCTTTGATTCCATTTTGGTCGTAGTGGACCACGACCTTATGAAGGGGGTAATTTTCATCCCATGCAACAAAACAATTGATGCTCTTGGGACGGCAGATGCAATGTACCGAGAGGTCTACAAGTGGTTTGGACTCCCAGACAAGATCATCAGTGACCGAGGACCGCAATTTGCGTCCAAAGTCTTCCAAGAACTTTGCAAAATGACTGGGGTTCAATCAGCCATGAGTACGGCATTCCACCCGCAGACCGACGGCGAGACAGAATGAGTGAACCAAGAGCTGGAGATCTACCTCTGCTGCTTCACTGCCAACAATCTGGATAAGTGGGCTGACCATCTTCACACCGCGCAATTTGCTCACAACTCCCGCGAGCACTCCACGACGAAGACGTCCCCGTTCAAACTCATGATGGGATATGAACCCCGTGGAATACCCACCGCGCACCCCAGATCAAACATGCCCCAAGCAGCTTATCGCCTCAAGGACTTGCAAAACATCCGCGAAGAAGCACATGCGGCAATGGAGATGGCCCAGAACGTCTTGGCCAAGAGAGTAAAAAGGAAGGGGGGTTCCTTCCGTAAAGGTCAGCTGGTATGGCTAGACTCCCGGAACTTGAAGCTGCCGTACCCGTCCAGGAAACTAGCCCTGAGGCGAGAAGGGCCGTTCAAAGTCCTAGACAAGATCGGAACAGTCGCGTACAAGCTAGACCTCCCTAGCACCTGGCGAGTCCACCCCGTTTTCCATGAATGGCTTATATCTCCCTACTCAGAAACGGAGATCCATGGTCCAAATTACATGAGGCCACCTCCTGACCTTATCGAGGGCGAAGATAACTACGAAGTCGAAGCCATCATCGGACACCGAGAGAACAAGAGGATGCGACGCTGGGAATATCGCGTCAGGTGGAAGGGTTACTCAACAGCCGATGACTCATGGGAGCCCGAGGCGAACCTGACTGGGACGGCGGACGAAGTGTTGGCAGAGTATAAGAACAGGAAGGACTTGAGCTGAATCAATAGCAGCTCTACCCAGTCGCTACATCCCCACTCGCATCAACATGTCTTCCACCCTCCCGTTCCTCGACCAGTTCAACGCCCCTTCAACCAAAGGCGGAAAGAGGATCTCAATCTACACCCCTAAGCACACCCACGTCGGCGACAGCGCTTTGCTGACGCTACTCCTCAGTGACCCCACCGACGTCTTCAATAAACTCAAAACCCACAACCCCGAGGCAACCAATGCCACCGACCGCGCTGCACTAGAAGTGTACCTCTCCGCCCGCCATGAATACGACAAGGCTGTCAAGGCAGCCGACGAGGCCATCGACCACCACAAACGACTCCTACGTCAACAGGACAACCGTGTCCTCACCGAGCTCATTCGACTCGACAACCTGAAAGTTGCCCATCGCCTTCAACCGCTCCTACCATGCAGCATTCGGGCACAACACAACAAATTCATCCCACGCGCCATCCCCAACGCGTACCTACCCCTACCCGCACCCCTACCGACGTCTGCCTTCAGGCGTCCCCCGATTCCATCCCCTTTCCTCCAAGCAACGCCGCGAAGCACTACCATTCTGGCTGACTGGCAACCCAACCCTGGGTGGACCCTGAAGGGAAGTTGCAGGCGATGTGGATCGTCTCGACACTGGGTATGAGACTGTCTGGACGTACGATGTGCAGGATGCGGGAAAGAAGCCCCTGGACACCTGGAGTGGGAGTGCGGAACCAGGCCGATGAAGCGACACGTATCCGCACCACCTGAAGAACCTGCGTGACGCGTGGGGGTGGTCGTCGACAACGTGTTCCTCGAGGGAATCATCAATGAGGCGAAGGAGAGGAAGGAAAGAGAGAGGAAGACAAAGGCGGTACCCATCCCTCCACCGCGTAGCGCTAACCCCGAACCTCCGGCCAGCCCCGTCGCGGGACCCTCGCGTCCCCACCCCGATACACCTGTCGTCTTTCGCAAAGTCGATCCCGACTGGACACCCGACACCACTCAATGGACGTGGGACAGCTCCTGGCCGTGTCAAAAGCACCTCTCTGGTGAGGAATGGAAGAACTTGGGGAGAAACATGCGCAACAAGTGGTTCGACGAAGAGGAGGATGACGGCGTAGACTGGGAGTTGTATGGAGATGGTGAGCAGTAAGTAGTCGAATGGGACTTCGACTCTGGCAGGGGGGTAATGAAACATTTGTCTTTCCGCTCTATTCCTTGTACTACTAGCGCCCATACTGGCGCCTGTCTTAGCGCTCACCCACAGGTTGAACATTATGTAGCTTACATAATGGGGTCCGTGCGCACTTCGTACTCGGCATCATACCACTACGTTTCTTTCTTCACTAACACGACCACATAGACACGATGGTCCATGCATAGTTGGTACTTGTATAAGTAGCTGTACCATTAGTCGGTGGAACCCTAAGTTCGACCTGGTTATTCATTCAAGTCTCTGCTCCTCCTCGCTTGGGGTAGTGGTCATTCTCGACTTCCTCGCTCGATCTTCAGGACAACGCACTGTCCATAAGCCCTCGCTCGTCGTCTACGAGTCAGGCATCACTATAGGAGTATAGACCGTTGTATCAGTCTATACCCATCAATCGAACATCAATAAGCATCCCGGAAACATCTTGAAAGGAACTCCTCATCGCCCACCTGAAATTATTGCTGAAGAGTGCCATCTTGCTGCTCAGGCAAAGCAGCTTATTGCTGACCAACAAGCTGTGAGCCTACAGCATCTTGCCGAGTTGGAAAATCACTTGGAAGAGGAGCATAGTCAAGCCGCGAGTCAGTATTCTCTTCCGCACTAACAACATGGCATATACACTAACTACTCACATAGCATTCAGCTTCTCCCCATCTCACGTTGAGTGTGCTGGTGGTGGTGGGCATGCAAATATTTTGGACAGTGCTGTCAAACATCATAGTAAGGATCAAGGAGGTGTCGGCAAACCTAAACAGGTTCATGCTTCGAAAGCTCCCACGCTGAAGATGCCTGCTAAGGCCGCACTGCAGTCCACCACATTCAAGACAGCCAAGAAGTCACGAACAACGCAAGCAGACATTGATGCTCACTGCAAAAGTCTACTGAACGCAGATCTCAATGACAAGCCTATTGTCTTGGTTTCTGGCAAGTGCAAGTCCTCGAAAGACTCATCAGTTCCCAAAGTGTATGTCGATGTTTGGGCTTATCTTACTTTGTCGACTAACCTTGCATCCTAGGGTAAAGAAAGCAAGGGCTGCCAATCCCTCTGGGTTGCTAGCTGGGTGGACTCAGCATGACAGTTCTGTGTCCTCTGGTAAGTACCAATCTCGCAACAATAATATGTACATATTTATTTTACAGGCAGCAGCAGGAACACAGTTCAAACACCTCACACATGTGTCACTACCACCCCTGGCCATGACGGTCATGGATGTATGAGACTATGGTGGGTATGTCTCAAGTGAGGATGACAGGACTGAGGAGCGTGAGCTGGCTCGCTCTGGTCACGACATCATGAAGGTAAATGATTGATTGATTGGAGAGCTCAATGCCTCTGCTAATCCCGAACGAGATAGGGTGTCGTTGCAATCAAGCAAGAAGATCCAGCAATCATGATCAAGACTGAGCTCACCACTTCACATCCTTCCATCACTGGTGAGGCAGGCAGTGGTGCGAATGGCGGGTTCGTGAAAGTTGATCTTCCTGCTGGTGCCAAACCGTGCTGGAGCAAGGAGTACATTCCGATGGTCCTTGATTACATAGGAACATTACCGAACCCCTGGGACATTGCAGCCATCAATCTCATTAAGGTGTTCCAACAGATCTGGGACTTGGTTTTTTCTGACATTCTATACCTGGTCAATGATAAGGGTGCTGTCTACACTTTAGTATGTCTCTCATGTTGTGACACTAGCCAGGAATTTGACCCATACCAACTAATCCCGTAGGCACAGCAGAAGATCTATGACTGGCGCAGTGGCTTCGCCAAGTCAGCTGCCGATCACGTTGCTCGCTTTTTCCAGCTCGACATTCCGGAAGAACTGAAGAGGAGAAGGCTCGAAAACACAGCCGAAGGCCATGCGACCTACATTGCACAGCAAATTGCCGGCAACTACCTCTTTCTATATGGTGATGTGAAGGTTAGCAAAGACGATGGGTCCATTGTGCATATTCACATCATAGCAGTCATGCATTTGAGTCATCTTCTGTGCGCAGGTCTCTTGGAACAAACCATTCCAGTCCCAACTTGTCCTTGCAACACTTGCATACCACATGGATGCCACAGCAGGGGCAATCTTGTACATTGAGGCCACCCCCAGAGGTGCTCTCGCAATGTCAACTGTTGCAGTAAGTTCACTCATGTCCCATTGCACTCCAAGTCAACTGATGTAACAGACATAGGTCGAGCGCGCAATCGGCATGTACACTACCGGCGCCTACATAACACCAAGGGAGAAGTTTGTGGAACAGATATGGAGCTGTGTTCTCAACTTATACAAGATCTCGATTGAGACCTTGATGCCGGGGACATGGGACGTGATTGTTGATTCTGCAAATGGCCTCACCGCTCTTGATCGCAATCTCCCTAACCTCAATGAAGCTGCAGGACCAGTGGATGGACGTGCGCTCATCACTGATTGTAGCTCTAGCATCTGAGGCCAGGTCGATGGTGCAGCTGTAAGTCTCCAATGGCTATCCGGTCTCCCAGTATTACTAACTTTGTGCAAGACCAAACCCTCATCTGTAGCTGCTGTACCCCATCCAAAGCGATCATTTCCCAGGCCACTGTGCGCGCACCCCCATTTATTTTGTCTCGCATCCAACTATGCCACTCATTCACAGCACTCGCAACTGATTTCGAGCTCTCATGTTTGCTCCCTCGAAAGGTTTTGGCTGTTCATACCCTACTATCATTGCTTCATTGCATGTTCCAGGATCTGTATCTAGTTTTACAGATTATATAACTATTGTCTGTGATAGCTAGAAGGTGCCTGAAACCCATCTGAATGTTGTCTGGTGTCAGTCTGAGTGCGTCTGGTAGCACTTTGATGCCGACTGGTGAGTCTGGCTCAGAAATGAACCTCCTTAATTCAGACGGCTGTCTGAGCGCCTGAGACGTCTGAATGATCTGATTCAGACGATTCAGACAGGGATCAGAGCACTGACATTTTGCTGATGGCCTCTTGCAGCATCAAGTGATGGTCAGTCAATTACGAACGCGAGGCGCATGTTGATCCTTCTTCAGGCCTACGAGGTCATCCCAGACTGCTGAATGCTGCAGCAGTGAGTGATCTGCAAGAGCTGATTGAGGAATCACCATCACTCTTCCTCGACGAGATTGCAGAATGGCTTGCTATTTACCATGATCAGCCAATCTCAACCACCATGCTGCATAACACTCTCCGGGACTTGGGGATGACGTTGAAGGTTCTTAAATGCACTGCGACACAGCGCAATGAAGTCTGTAGAAACGAGTGTCGGCGTCGGGTTTGAACGAGCGAGCGTGAAGGTTTATGGAAGCGAGTGGCATGGGAAAAGATTAAATACGAAGTGGTTTGTCTCATCCTCGGGGCGGGGAGGCAAACACGCGAAGTAATTACATGCGAGAACTCAGCCTAATATAGTAAACACTTATCTAAATCAGGTACATAGAAACAAGGTACTATTGCGCCGCAGCACGGCACGTCGGCAAGCCAGTAGTCGGGCATGCACTTGCCCAGTTGTTCCAACAAAGTCACTCGCACAGCATGGCGGTTCAACATGGTGGTCAACTTTTTGTGAGAACAGCTTGTATTCATTGACAAATCAAGCAAGGATGGGTGGACATTGGTTCATCTTTATGGTCATGCTCCCACCGAAAAGTGTGCTGTTGAAGCCGTGAACCATGATCGAGGGATTTGCTAGAGCATTGTTCTGGCAATAAGTCTTGACGGCTATATCACGCTGCGGGTTGTTCCCGGGTCAGTCGATGACGCAGAGCTATTCGATTTTGTAGTCAATGAAGTGGTATGTTCAAACAAGTCTTCATTTCTTGTACTAAGTCTTTCTCCAGCTGCCGAAAATGAACCCATATCCACTTCCGTCTAGCATCCTCATTATGGATAATTGCTCAACGCACAAAAGCAAAGCATTGCAAGATGCTGTCGAAGCTGCTGGTGAGCTCATACAAGCACCTTCAAGTATTCTATTCAGACAGTTTCCATAGGCTGTATCCTGCTCTTTCTTCCTGCATATTCTCCCGATCTGAATCCAATTGAGGAAAGCTTCAATGTTGGTGGGTAGTATGTTTGCTTTTTGTCTTATATTGTTGAACAATTCCGCAACAAGACTAGTGTTGTTCAGGGCCTGGCTCGGGCCCAAAGCCCTATATTGGGCTGCACTTTTGGCCACCAGGCCTGGCTTCATAGTCAATCCAAGCATGCACACTAGGCTCCGTGGCCTCTTGAAGGTCTTTCGAGGACTTGTGTTGAGCTATATGCGCCTCAGCCAGGTAGGGTTTGGCGGGCTTGGGCCTCAAAGCCCAATTGTGAACATCACTAAACGAGACAGTGAAGGCATCAATTTGGCGAGCATGGCAGAGACTTGGAAAGGAAGATAGTGAAACACCTCTCGCAGACCTTCTTGAGGTTTGTATGTCAGCAGTTACACCAGAGAAGGCATATGCATGGTTCAGAGATTGTGGTTATGTATAAAATCTATCAATGAATGGTATATTGAGATTCTGAAATCAACATCAGTTAAACTTAGCAGACTTGAGTGCCTTTAGTTCCTTGCGGAACTTCTTCTCTGCACGCACAACACGGTTCCATTTTAAAGGACAGAATCCAGCCTCCTTCCAATCAGTAGGCTGAACATCATCCAGCTTGTCACCAACATGAAAACCAAGCCTTTTCAAACCCTCATGCTCCACCTCTTTGAGTCCCATCTTGTCACAAAACTCCTCAACACCGCAAGCTGCCGACAAGGGTGATGACAGAGCATGGTCATCAGCGGAAGTACTCGATGATGGGATTGGACCTTCTCGTAGTAGAAGTGAAGGTGGTGGAGGATAATACCCATACACTGGCCAGCCAGGCAGCGGAGGAGGAGGTACATAGGGAGGATACATGTACCCAGGGTATGCATATGCTGGTGGAGGCACAGCAGGCAGATAGGCTGGGGCAACTACTTGTGGCAGTACAGCAGGAGGAATTGGGGCTGTAGCAGGAGGAATGGGAGCAGGGGCTGTGACTTGCGGGACTTCACGAACACCTATGATATTGTAACCAATCTGCTGGTTTTTCTTGAAGAAGTTTGAGCCTAGCAGAGGAACCCTGTCGTTCATCTGACATTTGTCCTATATCGCAGATTCAATACCATCATGTAGCCAAAAAAGGAAGACATACAATTGCATTAGCCCAGACATTGAGACAGTTCTTGTCAAGCTCAAAATGCCAATCATTTGAAACATAATGAAAGCACCGAACATCGGGATGACTAGCACAAAGACCGACAGGATACTTATTGATAAGAGCAGCCATGATTGGCTCGAGCTTCTTGTCGAGGGAGAGCTGTGGGTATGTAAATCATATCAGTGGTCATCAGATGGGTAGATACAGAACAAACCTTCTTGCTGGACTTTGTATCAGACTCATCATTATGCGACTCGCTTTGCGACTGGCTTGGCAGTGTTGCCGCCACTGCCCAAGGCTTGATGTAAAGTCAGATTGAGTTGTGCATGTCATAATTTGTGGACGTACTGGAAGCTCTTGCTGTGGCTGACGTGGGCGACCCATGGAGACAAATAGCATACCAGCCACACCAAGATTTGAGGCCTTGATGTTGTCAAGCATGATCTTGTATCCTTTGGGTGACTTCAAAGGTAATTGACCTTTTGCTGAAGAGTTTGTCTTTGTCCACTGCCAGTTCAGGGAGCTGAGGATGAGACGGTCAACAGTTGTCATTGCTGCAGTTGCAACAAGCGCAAGGAATTCATCCCATTCGGTGGACATGGTGAATGTGATGGGGTCAAACACTTGAGGTGGCTGCACTTTGTAATTGCCACCGCCACCCTTGCGCTTTTTGACCCACTGCGGCTTGTCTTGAATCTCGACGTAGATTGGGATGCTTGAGGGGAGATCCGTAGCCACAGTGGGCACAATCTTCTTAGGACGGCCTCACCCACGCTTCAGAGTTGCCTGCTCAGCCTCATCATTAGCGTCTCTGAAGTTTGGTCCAAGAATGGGTTCAGACCGTCCAAACCTTGAACTGAACCTGCGGTTCAGGTTCGGTTAAGCTCAGTCCACAGATTTCCCCAAAGGTTTGGTTCAAGGTTCAGAGCCATCAAGGACTGGTTCAAACTGTGAACCAGAATCAAGTCTCAATGATTGCAAAAAAAGTACTTAATTAAGTTTGAAATACTAGTTTACATTACTCTAACAGACAAACAATGTCTCGATCTTTCCACGGGGCCAGTGTGCGCTGCTCCCTGGACAGCATCATGATGCGTACCCTGCCTGCCGTCAGGGGATGCCGTCACCTGCTAAAATAGGCAGGCTTACTCAAATGTGGAGTCCCTTGTTTAGTTATGTGTTATACTTAAAGTATGGCCCCAAAATTTAAAACTAACATCTTTTGTATGATCATTTGAGATCTGAAGGTTCACCAGGTTTGAACCTGCTCTGAACCTGCCGAACCCGTTCAGTGGGTTTGGTCCAAGGTTTGGTCCGGTTCAGACCAGCTGTATGTAGGTTTGGTTCAAGGTTCAGGGCAAGAGGCCCCTGAACCGAGCTAAACCGAACTTCGGAGATGCTACTCATCATTGCGTTGAAATGGTGTGGATTTGATGTCAGGCCCATCTGTGATACAATGGTCTACACTCCTATATTGATGCCTGACTCATAGGTGATGAGCGAGGACTTATGGACAGTACATTGTCCTGAAGATCGAGCGAGGAAGTCGAGAATGACCACTACCCCAAGCGGAAAGGAGCAGAGACTTGAATGAATAACCAGGTTGAACTTAGGGTTCGACCGACTAATGGTACAACTATTTATACAAGTACCGGCTACGCATGGACCACTATATCTGTGTGGTCGTGTTTAGTAAAGAAAGAAACATAGTGATACGATATCAGGTATGAAGTGCACATGGACCCCATTATGTAAGCTACATAATGTTCAACCTGCGGGTGAGCACTCAGACAGGCGCCAGTATGGGCGCTAGTAGTACAAGAAATAGAATGGAAAGATAAATGTTTCAGTCTGTGTTGTGAGAAGCTGGATGTGTGCTGTCGCTCTGTGGGTCCTTCTTTGGCGGTTCTCCTGCTTCTGAGGCTGAGTTGATGTCCGAGTACACCCGCTTCGTGTGTGATGGCTTGATCTTGATGGTCAAGCGTGTGTCACGACTTGAGGTCAAGTGACTTGTGGAAAACCTAAAAGCTGGGGGCGTCCGACTGATTCTCACCAAAGCGATGGTGAGCGATGCTCAAACCTAAGGCTAGGGACAAGATAATATATTAGTGAGGTAAGAAAAGGAATACAAAGGATGCTTACTGACCTAGGGACAAGAGGTCGAAACTGAGGTCCCTAGGGCAGCAGAGGCCGGCTTATATACAGGGGAAGTTTAGGGGAGGCTGTGCGCACTGGTCCGTGCACAGCTGGTCCGTGCGCAGCATGCTGACGCGGCCCCGGGGGCCGGTGAGTCAGAGAGGCTGTGTCAGCGGAGCCCGAGCTGTGCCGCGCACTGCCGCCCCATCTAATCTAATCGTACAGTAGATAGCGATGCATCCATATCAGGCATGTGGTACAGAGGTTGCGGGTTCGAGCCCGCGAAAAGGGAAAAAATTAAAAAACGGCTAGACGCCGTGCCAACTTGTGACAGCGTGACTTGCCTGACTTTCACGACTTTTGCAACTTCCTTGTGGTCGCTGCTCTAGCAGCCTCCGCTGCCAAGAGTCATGGTAAGCAAATATGCTACGAAGACTGCAACACTTACCAAGAAGTTGTTCGGTCTCAGGGTCCTCATCTGACTCCATGATGCCCTCATCCACCGCGCTTTGAAATTCGACCTTCTGCACAAGTGGGACATCATCATTGCTTGACAGCTCACGAGCACTGGCACCGCCGGCCTCCTCACTCTCGGGCTCAGAAACTGAGTTGGTGTGTGTTGGCGACATGCAGAGATGATCAGAGTATACAGGTATAGTGTAGGGACTGTTGTCATAGGCATTGTCAATGTTGCAATGATTTTTCTTATTTTTCTTATTTTTCTTATTTTTCTTATTTTTTTGAATTGTTTGAATTTTAAAAGCCAAAATGCAGAGATCAGACATGAATTTCAGAAACTGTTGTACCTTTCCCTGTGTGACAGTGAGCTCCTTGGACTCGTACCACCACCTGGTCGAGTTTTCCCATGCTTTTTTGCTGGGCCGAGGAAGGATACCAGGCACCGCACAGAGAGTCTTCAATGCACTCTTGCTCTTGCCTTGGTTCCTAAAGTCGACAGCTCCCCATTGCAGCTGCCACCCGTCATCTCGCAATGTTGAGTCGACCAGAACACTGAACGCTGAATCCCGTCACCACAGTTACATCCGACCAAGTCATGATGCATTCATCCCATTGCCACCATCCCACCGCCATCTGAGGCTCACTGTCGGCCGGTCTCCAGCCATGTCCAGCCGTTGTGCTCGCTATCTGTGAAGACAGCACCTCAAAATCCATGGCCAGGCCCTTGCCGGGTTCATTTCCCACCAACATCATCACCTGCCGCCTCCACAGGCCTCGAGAATGCTTGACAGCAACACCTGGAATTCCCTCATTGTGACTGACATAACGAGCCCAGTGTGCTGGTGGTTCCAGGACTTCAAGACAGGTAGACCGCCAGAGGAAGTGATCGAGGGTTGTGGAGGATTTGAACTTTTTCTTGTGTCATTGTCACCCATGGACTTGCTCTCTACATTGACACCCTATGCTGCCTCACACTGTTGCCTATTCCACCAAAACCTGTAAATTACTACATCATCTTCCTACCTTACCCTGTAGACACCACCACGACAGGGGTGCTGCCATCTGGCAACGCCCACCACATCTTAGCACCATTGTGTTTGCTTGTAGCAGTATATAAATGCTGACATCATCATCATCATCATCATCATCATCATCCCTGTGTGACAGTGACCGCACGCCAAAATTATGTGACACGTGGCAGTTGAACCGTGAGGTTTTCGTGGTGCCCTCCTGGATGTTCCTATAAACCGCATGTCCACTTATAAGCCCGGCATTCTTGTGTCTCGTGTAAGTCAAATATTGTGAATGACTGCATGTGCCCCGTGCATTCGTGAATACCATTCACTCGAACCTGTCTGTTTCGTATAATGTCCACAAGCGGGGATGTGCATTCCTGAAACCTGAAAGCCATCAACCTCTCAGGTGACAAGAGGTTCCATCGTGCCAAGGTGATTACATCTATTCACAAGGCTTCGTCTATTAACTCGATGGCAGTCGGTAATACAGCGATCCCTGGAAGCATCGCCGAACTCGGGACTCGCGCTCTCCTTTGCAAACGTAGGTTTATCCCGTTTTTGTTCAAATGGCATCGTTTTTGTTCAGTTTTCTTTCTTTGCTTATCGACGTAGATGTACACGTGGCCCTCCGAAAAGATAGGGGAGTTTGCAAGTCGTTAGATATGACAGCTCGGACTGATCAGTGATCATAGTTCCGAGGATACTTAGCTCAGAAGATGCTCACTTATGCCTTCAGGAATTAGAAGCCCTGTACATGAATTGAACTGTGGAGACGGTGAACGATTTTCTTGCCCATTTCCATTCGCGCGATTGTCAGCTCGATACGGTGGACGCCGTTGGGATTGGATAAGCCGACGGAGGTATGCTGTCAAGGGCTCTCATCTATGCCAGTGCTGGTTTGCAGCAACGGTGTTCCATGGCTGCTGCAGTTCCCTACGAACATCTTTTTCTTTTCTACATACTCAACAAGCCACGTTATTACACAACCTATATCAACTCTTAACACACAAGTCTAATTTATGACACACTTAGCTGCAGGTCGTATCTGGGCAAAGATTAACTTTCATAGCCTCTGCACGGCTGTGCCTGTCAGAGCTCGCCTTCGATGAAGGTTGCTGTGAGTTAACGGGCTGTCCTCTCATGCTTTACACCACTCATGATCATTCATTCTAGTATCTGCTTCGTGCTTCATTTCAAACCTTGGCCGGCATTGCAATGTATCAGACCACATGGACCACATTCTATAGCTGTCGTTGTCCCATGAATGAACGAGGACGTTGTTAGACATACTTCTTGTGCGGTCTTGGCATTCATTTGGACGGACTGCATGAACGCACATCATCTTCGAATATAGCTCCGTGTATAAATAGTGGTGTCTGTACTCTCAGCTGGTCAGTCTCACTTGAATCCCCTCGACTCAGCAGACATGGCGACCTCTCAGCTCTCCGATGGTGTCTACCTCCGCTCTAGTATGTCTTTTCTACTCTACAATGGGCATGCTTCTCAACACCCTTCACAGCCATCAATGCTACACCCGCGGCCGACCCTCAGGTCCTGTCGGCATTCGTAAGCTACTGGACCTCACGGCTTTACCATTCGTGACTCATGTTCTCGTCAGAGCTCGGACATCATCCCGCTGGGTCATACGCAGCCCGATATCGCCACCCTGGTTGCTGCATACAGTAATTTCATTGCTCATGAGATCGATCCCAGCGAGTCCAAGACCCGCATCTATCTGCGTGGCAAGGCAGTCATCAATGGCGCTGCTAAGAAAGTCGAGACCCAGGTCTCGCTCAAGACAATCCCTAACGAGCTCATCCTGTGGCCGCAGGCTTGGGAGAACGCAGCTCAGATTGGTCAGGCCACGCTGAGCGCATCCAAGGATGGCGAAGGTAATGTTGGACAGGCAATACCGTAGGCTGAGACGCTGATCTGTGTCCGTTTTATCGACTCCAGTTGTTGTGACCAACACTCCTATCGTGTACAACCCCACCCAGGGCCTTGGCCGCCACGACACCTTGATCGCTGAAGCGACGACTGGAGCCGCAAGTGCGTCAACGACCACACTGGTGCAACAGGTCCACAACTGGCGTAACCTGGTGAAGCTCGTCGGCGAAGATGCGACGCTGGCTACGTACAACGTGGTCTTCGCCGACCCGTGCTCGACGAATGTCAGCTTGACGACAAGGCTCAGGGTGTTTGAGAACCAGGCTAGCTCTGTCAACATGGCTTTCGGGATTGAGGTATGACTTGTGGATTGCGTCAAGACATGTTCTGACCCAAGTGCTATGCAGGCCGTCGGGACTCCTGCCAGCGATATCGATGTCTCTTTGGTTGGCTTCGGCACCACGACTGGATCTAAACCAATCACGTTCGGGCAGTCCCGTACCAACATTCTCCCTTCCAAGTTGCTCACCACTCCTGCTATTCTGCCTAAGGACTTCGACGGTACGGTGACCTTGAACGTCTTCAACGACAAGAAGCAGACGTTCGGCGACTACTCGTCCATCTCCGTTATTGCGTATGCTGTTACGGCGGTCGGCGGGAAGGAGACGTATACCACGCTCGGTGCTGAACACATTGTCTTCCACTCGGACACGCGCGTGAAGAAGGTTTTGAACAAGTTCGCCCGACTTCGTGAGGCCGCTGTAATTCAAGATGTCACCAACGCCGCTACATCCATTGGACCTTCCTTTTATTTCAGAATGACAGTGAATGACACAGATCAGTTTCCACGACCAGAATCGGATACTCCAGAACATTCATGCGGTATGTAAATTTCGTGGTATACTATAAACTTACGATGCATATACTTCATAGATATTCAGCCTTGGGGCACGTTGCCGGATGCCAACGTACAGTCTGATCTAGGCCCGGCCAACTACAGGGTTGACGTGTCTGATAAGCGAAACGTTGTAAGTCTCAATCGTCTTCTAGGAATGCTCGATTGTTCACATTCGTGCCACACGCAGTCTCTGGTCGCTAATCTCTCCAACTACATCTATCTGCGCGGCACTACTACCGTCCCGGCTTCTGGTTCTGTGCGACTGTTTGCTATACCCTCTTCAGTGCTCTTGCATCCGTCGCAGTACAGCACGCAGGGATGCATTATCTACGACCATACGTCTGGCGGAGACCCCAAGATTGCTATTCGGAAGTACAACACAACCGCGGCGGAGGCCCCGGTTCTCTTCTCGGAGCCATTCAACTTCTCCGACCCCCCGCCGCCTCCCGGACAGGACCACTACTGTCTCATCGCTGAGTGCAAGCCAGACGGGCTCGATGCTGATGGCAACTCCTACGAGTGGCCCCACCAGGAAACTGGGGACTTCGCCACAGGTCCAGAATTTATCACTTGGCTCCGGAGTAACCCATGCGTGTGCCAGCGCAACATATGCTACATCAGCAACCCGAACGCACCATCCCAGGTCTTCTATACGAGCTTCACCATTCCCGGTGAGTATACGCGTCGTTGCAGAGTAGTATTTGTACCTCATGCATCCATTGCAGCATCGTTCAGTGCCTCCGACGTCTGGATATTCCAGGTCCACGCCCTCAATTGCCCATCAGGCTCCTACATGTGTGCTGCTATGTATCTCCTCTTTATGCAAACGCTCACAGCATGCACAGCGAAATGGATTCCAGCGATGCAGACATCAAGGTCGGGAAATTGACTATCACCGGTTCTGACCAGGTATGAGAATAGACTACGGACGTTTTGAACCATCTGATGTCAAACAATCACAGACTGCGGGTGCAGAGTTTACTGGGAAGGCTCCCGGCTTCACCTGTCAGGTGGTCATCCGCTGGTACGCCAATGGGACAAAGGTTCAGGACGGACAGCAGATCACGGGTAATCTTGCGCTCCAGCTGTTGGCAACATCGTAAGCGATATTTTCACCTAGGTTAACGCAACTTTGTCTCATTGGTCATTTCCAGGATAACGGGCGACGAATTGTTCAGGCGCCGCAACACCGGGAAACCGAGCGTCCCCGCTGTGCGCACTGTCACGCACGACTACCCGAATGTCAAGATCCCCGCCGAAGACAACACTGGCGATAAGCAACCGCCCAAGATCGGCGGAGCGCACCCCTGCCGTGTTTTGGGCGAGAAATACAGGCTCAATGCGGCGATTTACATCGATTACATCGTAGGAACAGACGGTATGGGCTACAATATCGGGTTGGCTTGAATATGTTTCCGGCTTGGGTACTTTGCATGTCATCTGTCGCCTTTTGGCAGAGCATGCTCTATGTCTCGTTGCCTCCAGATCTGTACAATAGTGTTTGAGTGATTGTCTGTTACCACCTGCGATCTTGTAGTATGCTATCGTGTACGATACGTTGGATGTTTGGCTAGCTGTCATTTCCTGATGCGTGTTGTTCAGTAGCGTGTCTTGTAACCTTGTTGTATGTTGAAGCCTGTACTAGTATGTCTTGCCGCTACCGACACTCACATATTTGTGCCTTGACATTTGTGGGAGCAACGCATAGTGATATATGCAGTATAGTTCGGAAATGAACTGTTCAAATAACGCAACATCGCCCAACCCAGTGCGCCGGTCGTCCACACTGTCGCGCCTGACTACCTCAATGTCGAGGTTTCCTGTGAGGTGATTGACAAGGAGAAGAACCCTCCCAAGATTGGTGGCGCGCACCCTCGTCGTCGCGTTGGCGAGTAGTGATGTTCACAATCGAGCTTTGAGGCCCAAGCCCGCCAAACCCTGCCTGGCTGAGGCGCATATCGCTCAACACAAGTCCTCGAAAGACCTCCAAGAGGCCATGGAGCCTAGTGTGCAGGCCTGGATTCACTATGAAGCCAGGCCCGGTGGCCAAAAGTGCGGCCCAATATAGGGCTTTGGGCCCGAGCCGGGCCCTGAACAACACTATCAATGGCGAGAAGTTCGCAGCCGAGTCCATCTACATAGTTGGAGTTGAATTGATGCTTTGAGTGATAACTACGGATCGGCGTCAACCTTCCGCTTCGCTTGTATCTTTGCGGTGCTTTCCAGTGTTATGTTGTCTCCTGAGTTTGATTCATTTGTTCATCCAGGTCTTTCTGTACGTCAATGATGCCTTATTATCGTTCCAAAATATGGTTGTATACCCTCGACGGGCACAATACCGTGCGCTGTTTGATATTCTATGTATGTGATATCCATTGTCTATCGATCCCTTTGCCCTTGTATTCACTGTTCAACATGATTTGTTGGACGAGTAAGGATTTGCCGTCGAGCGATATTTCTGGCTTCTAACCTACGGTTCATACGTCCACATGTATTGACGTTCATGTCTTGCGCCGTCGTCGTGAATACTCTGTTCCTTACCTATAAAGCTGTTGATGCGGATGATACCGTGGGGCAGAACTACCAAGAACCGGGTGGAGCTGCGGTTCCTTTCAGTCAGTGGAAGAGGCTGTATGAGGTTGCGTCTGAAGATAAACGTGGATTTTAAATCTAGCCACTAAGCACTAGAATTAACATTGCAAGGGTTGTTGGAACTTGAGATTGTGGCGAGCGCATGCCACCGTATTTGGCATTGTTTGTAGTACCTCGCAGACTTTGCGCGAGCCGTCCTGTACGTTCCTTACGCGTTTGACAGAACTCAGACAAACGCGATATATCTTCGTTGATCGTTCTCGCTTCGGGTCTCGGACGAACTTTAACAAGGGTTTCCTCATGAGGATTTTCGTGTTTAAGAATAGACAATAGAACGCGCAAATGCCTAGAGCCAAGGCGTCCTATCGATCCAGCCTGTGTACCCGAACGTCCCCTGGTCGTCCTGAAAGATCGTCTCCGGACTACTATAGCCACCTGAGATGTATTCCTCCTCCGTTAAAATCGGATGCGCCGTCAGCGGACCTTGCGTCAAGTTGAACTCCACACCCGCATCAAGACGCCCCGTGAGGTTAAAGCCTGGTCCGTATGTCTGGTACTCCGCCATGGTAGTGTTGTAATCTATGCGAGGATCCGTTTCCTGCCACGGGATATAACCAGACGCGCGTATCTCCGGAGAGAGATATGTGCGCGCGAACAACGAGCGGTGCTGGGCGTTCTGTGTCAACGTATCAGAACAGTTCGCGTGCACCATACACACGACGAGGTCGCCAGGGAGTTGCAATCGGATATGAAACTCACCCATGGTCTGCCTAGCGCGCATTTACCGACCTCTTCAGCTGCGACGGTGGCATTTTCGGGAAGCACGGCAGAATCGTGGATGTATACACCATACATGTTGTCGAATGTCGTGTTGGTACCTTTCCATGCGGTGATACCTCCCCCGCAGCTGCGTAAACTGAGAATGGACGATTGTATCCAGAGCGTGCCATATCCGAAGAGGAAGTCGGTCTGTCCTGCGATAGTACTCGAATACATGTATGAGTTCCCAAGCGTGCCGATATAGATCTGACGCCAATCAGCATCACGCTTGCCGCAAGAACCAGCATGGAATCGTGTTTACCGTGTCTTGATAGCTGTAGAACGCGCAATAGTAGAAGCCGGCATTCGCGTAGCTTATATCGATTGCGAGGCTCGGCGTATCAGAGTAGGGCGCATAGTCGTTGACGAAATCGATGTTGTATGCCCGGAAGTCCGTGGACCCCATTGACGAGCCCCTCGGAGGCGCCACCGTGAGCGTACTGGTGCGTGCGTTGTCGCTGGGGCCTGCGACTGCTGCCCACGCGACTGTGACTGCGTTGTACGACTGGTTCGTCGGCACGTCTGTCTGTCCAAGTAGCGTGAGTGGTCCCGGCCGTGTGATGTTGACCTGCTCGGTGTAGGTTCCGGGTAGGATGAGGACCGTGTACGACGTAGTGTCATTCGGGATAGTAATAATTGCAGATTGAATGGAGCTGAACGGCGCGCCAGTAGAAGGTGGTCCGACGAGGAGGGTACCAGCAGGGCAACCTGCAAGCGGATCTGGAGTGGGAAACTGACAGGCGATGCGGTCAAGCGCGACCGCGGATGAACAATGGAAGAGGAGCATCATTACGGTGATCAACAACCGGAGCGAAGTGGAAGACGCCATGGCTACCGGTGCATCCAAGAGTGCGACGCTGCTGCGAAGCGGTAGATGGTCCGTTTCATCCTATATACAAGCACCCAATGCATGGGAGTGTCCCTGGGAACTCACGTACATATGACCAGAAAGTCGGCGCGAGCGTTGCTCAACACCACCGCCCGGTTCATGCAAGCAGATTTTACAGGCCGGCTCCCATGCCATGGGGAGTTTCATTTCATTATGAATGTCGAGTCGTGCACCGCGTACAGTTGGAAAGGCGCACATGACCAGCTCAACGGCCCGGCTTGTGAGAATCGAAGTGTAGGAGCACCGTGTCGCATCATGGAAACAGGTCATCCAGGACGTAGGCGGGTAAATTCATGGACTTACTGTCGCGAAGCGGGATGCACCATTGCTGGGTGAGATGGAGCTGCTAAATAGGACGGCTTCGGCGAGCAGTCGCAAGTTTCTGAATGAAAAAATCATCTGCAGTAGCATATGAAGCACTGCTATTGGCTAAGTAGCTATATTATACCTTTCTATTGTCCTTGTACTATGTAGGTAACATAGTAAGATGAAAAAGAAATTGTGTCGACTTGCACGAAATCATGCCTGGTATTCTTCGAATCTGTAACAGTATTATCATCGTCAGATATGCTTCATACGTAGCGCAGTAAACGATGCATGTACCTGGTGCCTACAGAGTACGTATAGGTATAGATTCCGCCAGCCAGTTGCAGGCGTTCGCAAATCGATAGGCTGGTTATGAGGGACGGCCTGCCGGCGGGAAGCGCTGGAGAGAGAGCGATAGTGGATGTTGATGGCCCGGACAAGGACTCCGCCTGTTTGTCCGGATCCGCTGTGTGGGAGTATGTGGGCGCTTCGGCAGTTGCCGCGCCGCTCGTTACCGTATATCGGCATCCTCCGAACATTGATATCCTCCTTGTATGGCAATCCGAAAGTTGTTTATGGGCGAAGACTGTGGACTGTGCCGTTTCAAATGCTTATTAGGAACATAGAAGCTGGAGTCTAATCGGCGGCTCATGGATCTATCATCCCCATGACGCCTTTTTTGTATGTTTAGTTTCCAATCCTCGCATTAGACGGACTTGAAACTGATGCAAATCCTGTCTACGCTATACTACGATGACGTGCACCCCGAATGTTCCCGACGGAAGTCGTGTTTCCCCCACCTGTCAATTAGCCTCGAGGAACGACAGGGAGGAATCTGCTGAACAATTAATCAACTTGTCGCCTGATATCCAACGCCCGATAGTCCGCCGTGGTTTTGCAGATATACTCTCCGGGTGTCACTTGCTTTGATGCGCAGTTTGTCGAAGCTTTCAAGAGTCCTCTCGATGTTGCTCCAACCGCTGGAGGATTCCTCTCGCTACACCTTCATTTTCGTCCACCAATAAACGTGGCGTCTGGTATCTGTCTTCGCGGCGTCTTCGGTGGCTCATAAAGCGTGCCTAATGTATCGATACATTAAAGCTCCTCGAAACGTCATCGCGATTTGACCCTCTCGATCCGACCCATTATGGCAATCGTCAGAAGGCTGATGGCTGCTGCTTCCTGGAGGGTTGCACTGCTTCTGCAATTTATCTGTGGTTCAGGACCTCGGTTTCTGTCCTTGTGCACTCATTTTGCAGCCCACATACGCTAGAAGCTGGTCAAGTCCGACGTAGGAAGCCGACTCAAAAATTCTACTCGCAATCAGGGTTGCAGGAGCAGAGCAGATTTAGCCTCGGTCGTCGTGACGCGTGATGGCCGCTTCCTCGCTGGATGAGGAAGACTTCTTCGGCCATGGCACTGACCCGCCATCATGCACGGGAATGGAAATAATGGCGGTCGTTTTCGACGTCGAGATTGCCTCGGACTTGTTCGTCTACACGCGAAGCCGTCGGCGGTTGATGGGCGCCGCGGCCCGATTTAGATATGTCGGCTTCGCCTGCCAACATGATCTGTGCCCAGATGAGTCCATCGCAATCATTACATCTAGGACAATTACAAATCATCACGCGAACTCATGATGCATTTTAGATCCAGTGTTTTTCCTATATCATGCTAGAGCGTCTCGCTGGCTGCTTGGATGACCGTAAGAAGGGAATATACGAGTCGCTAAGGCGCGCCTTGTATATGCGGCATATATCGAAGTCTGTCTTCAGTCGGATACTTGCATTGGACTGTCTGAAAGGCATGCCGACCGCGCGGTCTACCGGGTTGCGAAAGCATCTAATGACCGAAGCGACACTCAGTGAGCTTCTATCCTCCGAAGCTACCAAGCGCACATCGGCGGCGGTCGATGTCGACGCGCCTGATTCTTCTCTTGTCCGGAGCTCAGAGATGCCCGTGGTTCTCCGTTGCACGGACGCAGACTCTGCCGATGTCTTTAAATATCTACACAGCGAGAGCCTCATATATAAGCAGGCCTTAAGCATCCATTTGCGCCAGCATTCCTACCCGACTCCCCCGCTCGGTAGACATGGCACCCTCTCAGCTTCCCAGCGGAATTTACCTTCGCTCCAGTATGCGGTGGTCTTTTTTCACGACAATGTTTCTCTGATGTATTCCTAGCCATTAACGCTAAGCCGGCAACCGACCCTCGAGTTCTGGCCGCCTTCGTAAGCCCAGCTCTCTATACAACCCTTGTCCACTGTTACTGACGTTCCTCCAGAGCCCTGACATCGTCCCAATGAGACCTAGTACTCATCCCGATCTTGCCACGCTAGTCGCCGCTTACGACAGGTTCATCGCTCGCTCGGCCGGTCCTGCCGAGTCCGAGACCCACGTCTATCTGCGCGGCAGGGCTGTCGTCAACAACTCCAGCACTGTCGAGACCAAGGTCACTCTCAAGGCGGTTCCCAACGAGCTCATTCTCTGGCCTCAGGCTTGGGTCAACTCGCCAGCGATCGGTCAGGCTACGTTGATCGCGTCCAAGGATGGGGAAGGTTGCATTGCTCGCTTTGTCTGTTGCGCTATGCTGACTGACGTATGTCGCCTGAGAAGTCGTTGCAACTTCCACTCCAATCGTGTACACCACCACCGAGGGACTTGGCCGTCACGACGTCTTCGTAGCACAAGCAGCGACCGCGTCCGTGGCAAGCACACCGAAAGACCTCGTGCAGCAGGTGCAGAACTGGCGCGACCTTGTCAAACACGTCGGCCAGGACCCCACGGTGACGACGTACAACGTCGTCTTCGCGGACCCGTCCTCGACAAATGCCAGCCTGACGACCAGGTTCAGGCTGTTTGAGAACCAGGCCAACGCTGTCCACATGGCCTTTGGCGTCGAGGTGGGTAATCAGATCACACGGTCCTTGAAAACACTCACAGTGTGTACAGGCGTTTGGCACGCCGGCTAATGGCGTCGACGTCTCTCTTTCCTGCCTCGGGATGACACCCGACTCGACGCCTTTCTCTTTCGGACAATCCCGCACGACCATCTTCCCTTCTAAGCTGCTCCACATCAGGGCCACCGTGCCGAAGGACTTTGACGGCAATGTCACCCTCAACATCTTCAACGATAAGAAGCAGACGTTCGGCGACTACTCGTCTATCTCCGTAATCGCATATGCCGTGACGGTTGTCGGCGGGCAAGAGACTTACACGACGCTGGGTTCGGAGCACCTCGTCTTCCACTCTGACATCCATGTGAAAAAGGTCCTGAAGTTTGCGCAAGTTCATGACGCGACTACAACCAATGTTCCAACCACCACGCCTTTCTCCATCCAATATAGGGAGTCTGTGATCACAACGGCCAGCGGGACACTCTTGTGTACACTTCTGGTGGGTGACAGCGTTGACCTCGATGCTATCTTCCTGATTACTCTTGTTTTAGATATCCAACCTCTAGTTACAACGCCGGAGATCACCGTACAGACAGATATTGGTCCCGGTAACTACAGGGTTGACGTTAACGACCAGCAGAGTGTGGTAAGTGGCTGTTCGTTGCACCAGTATCTCACTCACGTGTGCCTTTAGCAAACGGTGGTTGGAAATGTCTCCAATCATATTTCCCTCCGCGGCGCGAGCATCGCCCCCGCGTCAGGTTCTGCGCGTCTGATTGCCGTACCCTCTTCCATATCAGCGTATCCCTCGCAGTACAGCCAGACTCCGAACATTATATGGGACCATACTCGCGGTGGCGATGTCGAAATTGGACTCCGGATGTACAACACCATGTCGTCTACTCAATCGTCCAGTCCAGTTGTTGTCACGGAGACTGTCAACTTGACCGATCTTCCCCCGACTAGCGACCACTACCGCCTTGTAACCGAATGCAAGTCTGAGGCTGTCGATTCTGACGGCATTTTGTACGAAGTGGCCCGTGAAGAGACTCGAGACTTTGTGACGGTCGGCGAGACTAGCAACCCATACATCGTACAGCGCAACATCAGCTATGTCAGCGTTCCGACTGCCCCATCCCAGGTCTTCCAAACGAGCTTCACTATTCCCCGTGGGTACAGCTTGCGTCTACACTACCTCACTCTCACATTTAGCACGCAGACGGCTTCAGTAGCGCCAAGAACTGGAAGTTCGAAGTCCAGACCATCAACTGTCCTCTAGGATCCTATGTGTGCGTGACCGTGAAGCCCACCCCTTGACCATATGCTGATCTTTGAGCATAGTGAGATTGACTCCAACGATGCTGATGTCGCCATCGAGAGGTTTACAATCTCGAAACTGGACCAGGTATGCACATATATGATCTCCAGTGCGGCGTATGGGCAATCAGGCCAACAACACATGACGATGTTTAGCTTGCAGGGTGCGAATTTACCGGGAAAGCCCCTGGATTCACATGTCAAGTCACCATCCGGTGGTATGCAAACGGAACGATAATCCAGAGTGGCCAGCGCATCCAAGGGAACCTCTATCCGGTCCAAGTGGTGACCTCGTAAGCATCTTTCTGGACAGACTACAACCCCCAATTAGTCTTATACGTGTTCCCTAGGGCAATAAGTAACGGGCTCTTCGAGCACCGGAAGATCGTAAGGCAGGGCTATCCGGTCATACGGAGGCAGGCTAGCTACATCAACGTTGCAACACAGCCTCCGGTCCTACGCAGACAGACTAGCTACGCCAACGTTGCAACACAGCTTACCTCGATTGGTGGCGGATATACTCGCCAGCTCGTCGGCCAGAACTATGTGCCTTCTGGCGTTATCCATGTCGATACTTTGGTTGGGGCTGATGGCGTCAGGTACCTTCTCGCATAGACCTATCTCCATGTCATTCATCGGTATTGCTATGCGTTCGTCTGCTGTCTGTCGCTCTTCATGTCGTCAAACCTGTAGTCCGTATCGTTGCTTTTCGTTCCGCTTGAACCTGTATTAGTAATACATGACATCCTGTCGAAGAGAAAGCACGTAACGTTCTTGCTGTCGTGTCAGATTCTTCTGTTGACTCACTCGATTTTAGTCATGTGCAAGGCCCGGCTCGGCCTGAAAGCCGGGTTTATGGCCTGGCTTGAGGGGGCTCGGGCCTGCCACAATGCCAGGCCGGGCCCTAGTACACGGCTCGGCTCAGGTGCAGGGCCGCGGATCGTTAGCAAAACGCATTACATTCACGATACATTCATTCTGCAGTCGCCCAGTCGCCTGTGCCACGGGGCGGTCGCTCCCCCGGTGATCAGGAGGATGTTCTGCGACACTTCTTGAGTCACGCTGGTCCATCATCATGTACAGGTTTGGAAATAGCGGAGGTTGGTCGTCTTCGACGTCGGGACTGACTCCTCCCGCATGTATGCGCGAAGCCACCGGCGGTTGATGTTGATGGGCGCCGTGACCAAACTTGGACATGTACGCTTCTTCACCGCCCCATATGATCTGCGCCTGAATGCCTTCCTGAACGACATCACTTGATGACCTAGAAACCGTCACCGCCGTCGTCTGGATCCGCCATATTCATCCATACTCATACAAATTAATATTTGCCATCCTTGAAGCTTGAAGGCCTCAGGCCTCAACATCATCACTGCCTGGGATATTGTCTTCCTCCCTTCACGCCGTCGAGAACTTATCCTCGATTCCTTATCTCCGTTCTTCTGCTTTGAACTTTCGAACTATACATGTCCATAATGAGTTGAGGAGGAATCGCTGGCATTGTGTCATGCAAGGGTCCTGAAGGATGTCATCCTTCTGCATCTTCTCCGTGCTTTCAAGCTCTCAATTTCTGCCACCACACATTCAACCTTCAATTGCGCAGTCGCCTGTGCCACGGGACGGCCGCTCCCCCGTTGATAAGGAAGGTGTTCTGCGACACTTCTTGAGCCGCGGCGCTAACCCGACATCGTGTACAGGTTTGGAAATAGCGGAGGTCGTATTCGACGTCGGGATCGCCGCTTCCCGACTCATGTTCGTGTTAAGCGGTCGGCAGTTGATGTGCGCCGTGACTCAATTTGGACGTGTAAGCTTCTTCACCACCCCACATGACCTGCGTCTGGATGCCTTCCTGAATGACATTACTTAATGATCTAGAAACCGTCGCCATTGTCGTCTGGATCCGCCATACTCACCCATGCTCATATGAATTGATGAGGAAATCAATTAGATAATTCAGGTTGGTCCAGTGTCCCTTCGCGTGAATGAGGTCCATCAATGGATCCCATGCCTTGTTGAGACCTCCCCGTTCGAGGCTTTGACTGCCACCTGGAGCTGATATACGATTCTACACCCCCTTGGGCCGAGTTTCATGACGCATGATGTGCAGCATCTATCGAAGTATTCGTGAAGTCTGTACAATGGCAGGTCTTCGCATTTGACCTTCTTGCCCGCCACTGCGGCGTTCATCCTGTTGATTATCCATTTGGGATGGTGAGTCTGACTGCGCATTGGTTCCTGGGATTTCCATCAATCAACGAACAGTTCAGCATTCACCGCTGCCCTGGTAAATGCTATCACCGTCTGACATCCAATGGCCCAATGGGTTTCAGTCTTTCGAAGCTGCGTTCGAAGTCCCGAAGCGCACGCCACCGATGGTCTTTTGCCACTTGACGAACTAGGATGGTCGATGTCAGTGCGCCTCCTTCGTTTCTTGTCCGGAGGCCAGATATCTCCGTGGTTCTCCGTGGAGCGGAGGAAGACTCTGCTAACGCCTTGACAACTCTGTGACAAGGGCTACATATATAAGCAGGCCTCAACGGCCCGTTTTCAACAGCATTCCTACTCGAATCCCCCTCGACTCAGTAGACATGGCGCCCTCTCAGCTTTCCAACGGTATCTACCTTCGCTCCAGTACGCAATGCCCTTTCGTTACTCGCGAATAGCTGCTGAAGTGTCCCTAGCCATTAATGCTAAGCCAGAGATCGACCCTCAGGTCCTGGCTGCATTTGTAAGCTTACTCTACCGCTATATCTCTGCACCGGCCGCGATTAACGTCCTCGCAGAGCCCCGACATCATCCCGATGGGGCTCACAAGGCCTGATCACGACGCCTTGATTGCAGCTTATGACGAGTTCATCGCTCACGATATTGATTCTACCGAGTCCAAGACCCGCATCTACCTGCGCGGCAAGGCCATCGTCAAGGACACTTCTAGCGCCGTCGAGACCGAAGTCACTCTCAAGGCGGTCCCCAACGAGCTGATTCTCTGGCCTCAGGCTTGGGTAAACGCGCCAGTGGTCGGTCACTCTACGTTGAGCGCATCCAAGGACGGGGAAGGTGAGCTCGCATCGCTCGCGTTGTCTCCCATGCGGTGCTGACTAGCTCATATGGCTTGAACAGTCGTTGCAACTTCCACCCCGATCGCATACAACCCCACCGAAAAGCTCGGGCGCCACGACGCATTCATAGCGCAGGCAGAGATCGTATCGGCTGCCGGCACGCCGAAGGACCTCGTGAAGCAGGTTCAAAACTGGCGCGATCTTGTCAAGCACGTCGGCCAAGACCCCACGGTGACGACTTACAATGCCGTCTTTGCGGACCCGCGTTCGACGGAAATCAGCCTGACGACTAGGTTCAGGATGTTCGAGAATCAAGCCAATATTGTCCGCATGGCCTTCAGTATCGAGGTTGGTAATCAGATCATATGCGTCACACCAAACACCTCACAGTGTGTACAGGCTGTTGGTACGCCGTCTAATGACATCGACGTCTCTTTGTCCTGCTTCGGCGTAACACCCGATTCGAAGCCTCTCTCTTTCGGACAATCTCGCACGACCATTCTCCCTTCCAAGCTGATCTACATTAACGCTGCCGTTCCAAAGAACTTTGACGGTAATATAACACTGAGCGTCTTCAATGACAAGCAGCACACGTTCGGCGACTACTCGTCCATTTCGGTGGGCGCGTACGCTGTGGGAGTCGTAAACGGGCAGGAGACGTACACGCTGCTTGGGGCAGAGCACATGGTCTTCCACTCTGATATACGCGTGAAGAAGGTCCTGAAGAAGTTCGCTCGCGTCCGTGAGGCGCAGGCAACCAATGGCGCGGCCGACGCTTCGACTTACCCCTTCTACTTCAGAGAGTCTGTGACTGATAATGGCCAATTCCCACGAGCCACGAGTGGGCATAGTCCTGGTAAATGATATCATAGTCTTCAAATGCTACCTCTCCTGATTGTTCTGGCCTTAGATATTCAGCCTCTGGGTACCTTGCCGGATGCAAATGTACAGACTGATCTCGGTCCCGGGAACTACACAGTCGACGTTTCCGACAAGCGGAGTGTGGTAGGTTGCAGTTCGTCTCATTAGTGCCTAACTCATGTTTACCTATAGGGAACGGTGGTTGGCAACGTCTCCAACTACATTTACCTTCGTGGAACGACCGACGCGCCCACGTCCGGCTCTGTGCGGTTGTTTGCTGTGCCCTCTTCCCTCTTGCTGTATCCTTCGCAGTATAGTCAGGATGCTTACATTATATTGGATCACGACACGGGCGGAGATCCCCAGACTGCCATTCGGACGTACAACACGCAGTCTGAAGAATCGCCCAACCCAATTTTGTTCTCAGAGCCGTTCAACTTCTCTGACCCTCCTCCTCCTCCTCCCTCTAGCGACCACTACTGCCTTGTAGCCGAGTGCAAACCTGATGGGACCGATTCTGATGGGGAGTCGTATGTATGGCCCCACGAAGAGGCTGGAGACTTTGCGACGGGGGGCGAGTATGCTGCCTGGCTCTACAACCAGCCGTACGTTTGCCAGCGCAACATCAGCTACGCCAGCAATCCGAATGCCCCAAGCCAGGTGTTCTACACGACCTTCACTATCCCCCGTGAGTACAACTCGCATCTATACTGTCTCGCTCTCAACAAATAGCATGCAGCCGGGTTCAGTAGCGCCGAAAACTGGCAGTTCGAACTCCGGGCTGTGAACTGTCCTCCAGGATCCTATGTGTAAGTGATTGTGGAACCCTCTTCAATCATTCCCTGATCTGCGTCCATAGCGAGATGGACTCCAGCGATGCCGATATTGCTGTCGCGAACTTGGCGATCACGGGACCGGATCAAGTATGCACATATTTGCACTTCAGTACGAGAAACTAGCCTGACGCATGATGACGTTCAGGTTGCAGGGTGTCAATTCACCGGCGCGGCCCCTGGATTCACATGTCAAATCGTTATCCGGTGGTATGCGAACGGCACAACGATCCAGAATGGCCAGCGCATTGATGGAAACCTCTACCTGACGCGACCATACACCGGGTAAGCATCTCCAAGGATCATTTATTACGCCATATAGATTGCCTTATATGTGGTCTCTAGGGCAATGAGTTATGAACTCTTCAAGCGCCAGAAGATCGGAAAACGGAGTGACTCAACCATACGCACCGTGCGGGCTGACTACCCCAACGTCGATATTCCGGGGAAGAACGTTGCCTCCCAGAAGCCTCAGCCTCCCAAGATCGGTGGAGCACACACTCGCCGTCAACTCGGCGAGAAATATGTGTCCCCTGGTACCATCTACGTCAACTATCTTGTCGGAAGTGATGGTATCGGGTATAATCTCGGGTAAGCCTCGGTCGTGGGGTTTCTTGAAGTGTCGTCTTGCAATTGTCCGCTGTCTGTCGTTATCCAAGTACTGCTATCGCCGTGACCAAACCTGTATTCCGTATCGTTGCCGCTCGTTCTGCTTGAACCCGTATTAGTAAGACGTGTCATCCTGTCGAAGAGAAAAAGCATGTAACATTCTTGCCGTCTCAGCTGTCGTGTAATATTCCTCCGTTGTATGATAACACCTATGGACCTTTTCAAACAGTACGGGGGGTAATATATACTGCGAATGCCATGAACGCTTGCTAAAGCCAAGGTGTTCTATCGATCCAGCTTGTGCAACCAAAGGTACCCTTTTCGTCTTGGAAGACAGTCTCTAAGCTACTATAACCCCCGGTGACGTACTCTTCCTCCGTGAGTATCGGGTGTTCAGTGAGCGGACCCTGCGTCGTGTTGAACTCGATTCCCGCGTCCATGCGCCCGGTAAAATTGAACCCCGGGCCGTACGTCTTATATTCGGCCATGGTAGTATTGAAATTGATGCGATCCGCGCCCTCCCACGGGATGTAGCCGGACGCACGGATCTCAGCAGAGAGATACGTGTGCGCAAACAGCGAGCGATCCTGCGCATTCTAAGTCCCAAACCACTTCAGTGATTTATCCCGACTCGTGAAGCATAGCATGTGGAATCAAAGACAGGCGACAAATGAAAGGTACACATACCCATGGTCTGCCCAGCGCGCATTGTCCGACTTGTTCCTCTGCAACGGTGGCATTTTCGGGAAGCACAGCTGAGTCATGAATGTAGACCCCATACATGTTTTCGAACGTCGTGTTGGTGCCCTTCCATGCCGTGATGCCGCCGCCGCAGCTGCGCAAGCTCAGCAGGGAGGATTGTACCCAGAGCGTTCCAAATCCATAGAGAAAGTCAGTCTGCCCAGCGATCGTACTAGAATATATGTACGCGTTGCCTAGCTTCCCGATGTATATCTAGTAGCGAGCGTCAATACGCGCTTACTCATCGTAGAACATGGAGACGGCTTACGGTGTCTTGATAGCTGTAGAAGCCACAGTAGTAGAACCCGCTATTGGCGTAGCTTATACTGATTGCGAGGCTCGGATCGTCCGAGTATGGCGCATAGTCGTTGACAAAGTCGATATTGTACGCTCGAAAGTCCGTACACCCGAACGGTGTCCCAGGTGGCACAGGATTGCCGTCCGGCCCCGCGCCCGTCAAGCTCGCGTTTAGCGTTGGCGCAACGGTCAACGTGCTCGTGTACGCATTATCGCCCGTGCCCGCAACCGCTGCCCAAGCGATCGCGACCGAATTGCTTGACTGGTTCGTCGGCACGTCCGTTTGTCCCAGGAGCGTGAGCGGTCCGCGCCGCGTCACATTGAGCTGCTCGGTGTAGGTGCCGGGGAGGATGAGGATCGTGTACGGCGTGGTGTCGTTCGGAATGCTAAGGATCGCGGACTGAACAGAGCTGAAGGATGCGCCGCTCGAGTCCGGCCCAACGAGGAGGGTTCCTGAAGGACAGCCTGTGAGAGGATCTGGAGTAGCAGCCTGGCATGCGACGCGGTCGAGTGCGAGGGAGGGCCCGCAGGTCAAAAGCAGCCCGATTAGGACGATCAATAGCTGAAATGGGACGGGAAAGGCCATGGCCGTCGTTGCCCACTCTCAGACAGCGAAACGAGATGCGTCCCGGGCGATCATATATACCAGCATGTATACGCGTAACCCTGAGAATAGTTTGAGTTTGCGAGGGCGGTGGAGGCGGATGACTACATCGCCAACCTGCACGACGCGCAATGGGATCGTCCCGCCCCCCTAAGCGGCTGTCCTGGCCCGCGCTCCCGGCCACCGAGTACGATTTCCCTCGGTTTCCCATTTTGGCTGACGAATGGAGAACCATAGAGGACTTTGACTCCCTCACCTGACACGGGATGGAAGAGACGCGTGACCAGATCGACGGCCCGGCTTTTGAGAGCTGAAGTTTTTCACAGGCAGAGAATTTGACGAGCAGTCAGACAGGCGTGGCAGTCAAGTAGTAACGGCATCCGCCACGAGGTAGCGACCCATTACCAGTAACATGATCTTCGAATGCGAGGACAGACAGATTAGGCACGTCCAACAAGGCTCAAGAAACCCACGGAGTCCGCAATGATGCCGACGTACATTCTGTTACCTTCAAGTTACCGCTGGCATTGCGATTCTCACCTCTTATACTAGTTCTGTGTATGACATGTTTCATGGCCCTGTAGCGCATCACCGAAAACGAGACGGTAGTATCACCGAAAGCGAGACGGTAGTATCGCCGAATAAACGTACATGCATCTAGTCACTAATGTTCTACAAACGTCTTGCAATATAGCAGCACTGGCCCAGTCCCTGAACTCATGTCACCAGTTTCCACACTCAGGCTCATCTCTCGATAGACGTATGCCGGTGGCGGATTTGAACTTGGATATTGCTGGTAGTGGTGGGAGTATCGGGCATAGTCTGCAACTCTATCCAGGAATACTAAGTGGAACGAGCGAGGACTTGAATCAATGATTATAACTAATAGATTTAAAAAAGTGCTGATGCCTTTGTAGCAAGCCTTTTGCCAGCGGCTAATATTAGTAAGTATTCGGCACTTTCCGTAGAGGCGAAATGGTCTTGAAAATTTGTAGTCCGGGCCCTCGAAGTCAAGTGCTAGCTTCTCTAACGTTTCTCGGCACTGGATTAACCATTGTATTTAGTCCATTGTTATAAGCACGCTGGGAACATATGCACGTATGAATTTCTGACGGCCTTGTTCACTCTCATCGCGAACGGCACTCACATGGTGTGCCTCAGCCTAGCTGGTGTCAGGAGTTTTCGGATTATGCGAATCAAGGTAAGAACTCCAGCTTGCTTTCTGTTCTACATTATCCATCGCTGGGATTGTGGAGACTGATACTCAATAGACGTTGTACATTGCCACGGGAAGCCGCACGGAATAGTATGGCATGGAACTTCGGTGCTTTCGTGCCGTCTGACCTGGCTTCTCAAGTAATGTCATTTGATGGACCCCAGTCGATACACCACGCCTTACTATGTCCGGCGCTACGATAGCAGGTTATGTCATGTGGGCATGCTAGACGGTGTAGGTGATGATGAGATCGGCAATGATGGTCATCTGCCACACTTTTAGGTCAACGCTTACCTTCTGTTGGATTGCGTTTCCATTGCATACGACATCTTCGGTGCTGCCGCCTATGTCGGAACGCCGGAGATATTATGCACAGATGATTGATCTCCAGTACGACCAGGCCTCGCCGACGGAGCTCGCGCTTCGCCGTAGGGTTCATGTTTCGACCTTAAGAGTGTTCTCGAGATTCCAACCCCGGATGCGTAACCCACTTGGTGACTGTATCAGTCATGGACAGCTCTGACGAGAAATCAGCGCATACGGATATCCTGGAGGTGTCTCGTGCTTCTGATCTCGTTGATCCTCATCGGGTACTGCGCAAGTTGGACTGGAGGTTGATCCCCTTCGTGTCTGTACTGTACCTCCTTGCATACATGTCCGTATCTCCATCCGTACGCTTGAAGTAACGGAATACACTGATATACTGCCATAGAGATCGCTCTAATGTAGGTGAGAAGATTTAATACGTGGCGTGGTAGCCTTTCACGCTGAATCGAGGTCCGACAGGCAATGCGAAGATCGCGGGACTGATCACAGACCTTCACTTGACTGGTGTCGAGTTCAATCTCACGTCAGCGATGTTCTTCGTGCGTTGTCCTTGAATCATATCTGGCTGTTCAGTCTGTTAACAACTTTTAGATACCGTACTGCTTGCTGGATATCCCATCGTGCGTTCCCAATTATGGACGGTTCACTCACTGTCATACAATTTCTTCCGTAGAAACATGGCACTCAAGTACTTCAAGCCATCGCGTTGGAGTATGTACGTTTCCTCAGCTCAGCATGCCTCATGCTGATCGCTTGTAGTACCCTTCATCATGGTCTGCTGGGGCGTTGTCCTGCTCTCAATGGCCTTTGTGAAGACCTACCATGAACTAATGATGTAGGTGACAGGTTGGACATATAAACTCATCTAACTTTCAACCCATATACAGAACCCGCGTGCTCATGGGGGCCGCCGAGGTGATCAAGTGCGCATATGGCATGCGATATGTTTCTGATCATGATCGTTTCAGTCGGGCTTGTTCCCAGGTGTTTCGTTCTATCTGTGTCTCTGGTACCCACGATACGCTCAAGCACAACGCCTGTCTATCTTTGTCTCTGCATCCAGTCTAGCAGGTATGGTTTAATTGGGTATGCAGATACGTTGCTCATGAGGCGTCAGGTGCATTTGGCGGGCTACTAGCATACGCTATAGAGCACATGAACGGGTTAGTACATCCTTTCTATGTATAGTCTGGCCAGATAATATGATCTGGGCGTTTTTCTAGGGTCGGAGGTCTTGCTGGCTGGTCATGGATTGTGAGGCTTGCTATCGTAAATTCAATCGCATGTGCTGAATAAAACATCGCAGTTCATTTTGGAGGGAATTCGTAGGCTCCCACTTCTAAGTCCAAACAATGCACTTACGTTCTTAAAAGTGACTATAGTTGTCGCCACTCTCGCATCTTGTTACATGCAAGACGTAGGTATCGGTGGTGTCGTTATCGCTATAGGTCCAATCCGTCTCATCAGATGTCGTCGTAGTTTCCGGAGACTGCAACATTCCTCACGCCAGCTGAACGTGATTGGTTGGTACAGGCTCTGCGGGAGGATACCGCGGCTTCGTCGAAGGAGTTCAATCTAAGATATCTCATTCAAGCGCTACGCGACCCCCATGCATATCTCCTCGCAGCTATGAACTTCTTGTAAGCTCAGCTCAATGCTACGTGTTCACTAATTCATATACGCTCCAGTATCGTGGTCCCTCAATTTGCATTTTCTCTCTTCCTGCCAACGATCATAGTTGGACTTGGGTACTCCTCGCTACATGCACAGCTGCTCACCATTCCGCCCAGCATCTGCGGCTGTATCTGCACTATCATATTCGGTACCGTCTCGGACAAGATAGGAGCTCGTGGGCCACTACTCCTGCTAGGATCTCTGCTATCCCTGGTTGGTTATGTCATGTTGCTCACGACCGAGGTTCCTGTGGTAGGCTATATTGGTACCATCATTGCTGCCGCGGGTCTGTATCCATCATCGGTTTGTAACCTCGCATGGACGTCTGGGAATGCAGGCGGTGACATCAAACGGGGTGCTATGATCGCCATTGTTGGCGGAATAGGCAACTCCGGCGCGTGAGTCTCTCCGCTGACACACTTGACGCTTGCTAAATTAATTGCCAGGATCGCCTCGTCATTTATTTATCGACAGAAGGATAGCCCCAGGTACATACCGGGGCACGCCACGAATATCGCGTGTTGTTGCGTGCTGTGAGTCCCTATTTACTCGGCTGCTAGATATAGGTGTGAACCATTCAATATCTCGACCGCAGCGCTATATTAAGTTCAATCGGAATGTTTGAATTTTGGCGCATGAATCGCAAGAAACGCGCCTACTGTTCGAAAGAGGGCATTGACTCCAGTAGGTATGAAGAGTTCGCAGAGTTAGGAGACAGATCGCCGCTCTACCGGTACGTCTCTCAATACACATTTCTTCTATCTATAAGGCCTGATTTCACCAGGTACACGCTATAAGCGACTCACGTTATGAGCCAATGGGCCCACTTTGTTTTACTATATGTCAGGTCACAATGGTTTTGGGGGATCACACGGCATGTCCTAGCACACCGTTTGCACAAACGCACGAGCATGGCCTGTCGTCAACCGTCTACTGGATAAAAGACCTGATAAACAGCGCGGGACGCCGTGTGGGCTCCCATAGGACTACCATGGCATAAGGTTCATACCGACCGTGACTATCTCAATGGTCGGATGATCGCTCCGGCCAATTTCATGACAGCTCGTTGTCACCAGGTCTCTCTTCTTACAACATGACCATGTATGTGCTCCGTCTGGATAACTCCATTCCCTTCCATTCCTTCATTTGTCCGCATATGTGTCTTCGATCCATTGGAAGCCTCTTATGAGTGGTACATCGGTCATTCGATGGAGTGATACAGGAGTTATTCGGTGTGCCGCCATTATCTGACGCCTAGATATATAGTACTGATATGCCGGAGCGTATCGCCACGTACTTTTGGCCAACATGGATAGATCCGATGAGAAGAGTATCCGACTCGCGGTTGAGGAAGCGCAGCCAGAATCTGTAAAGCGCATCGAGCCGCACCGCGTGCTGCGCAAGCTAGACTGGAGGCTGCTTCCTTTCGTTTCATGGCTCTACCTCCTTGCCTTCATGTAAGTTATGTGTCCGCGCATTATACTCACATATTCCTGATTGGTCGTATCAGGGATCGTACCAATGTAGGTGTGTGCACCGTATAAATCACCTAACACACCTCTCCTGTGACTGAACGCCGTTTCCGACAGGAAATGCGAAGATTGCGGGCTTGACAACTGACCTTCACTTGACTGGTGTCCAATTCAACCTCACCTCCGCCATGTTCTTTGTGAGTTATGGCTATGCTGTTTGCATCACAAAAGAATAAACTGAGGCACCTTAGATTCCATATTGCTTGCTAGATATTCCAGCGTACGTGCTTTCATTGTCGCAGAGTCAAAGGCTGACATGTACGTGCAGAAATGTGGCTCTGAAATACTTCAGACCTTCGCGCTGGAGTACGTACGAATCGTAATATTTACTTTTTGACTAAGAGATTGCCGCAGTCCCGATGATTATGTTCTTATGGGGGGTCATATTGCTTTCCATGGCATTCGTCAAAGACTATGCAGGTCTCATGGTGTAAGTTCTGACACCTTTATACGAGATATAATGAGGGTTATGACCTCCTTGGCCACAGCACACGAGTGCTCATGGGCGTGGCTGAGGTGATCGCCTCCAACATCTTTCATTGTGCATCATATACTCAATTTGACGCAGGCGGGCCTCTTCCCAGGCGTTTCCTTCTATCTCTGCTTGTGGTACCCACGATTCGCACAGGCACAGCGTCTAGCTATCTTCTTATCCGCCTCGAGCTTAGCTGGTGCGTTTCACGATGGCCTCGAGAATCATAGATCCTTAATATCTCATATCATAGGTGCATTTGGAGGACTGCTAGCCTATGCGATTGAACACATGGACGGGTATGTCGCTATTGCATGCCATAGAACAGCAGACCAATATTTGATCAGGATTGCTGGCCTTGCCGGATGGTCTTGGCTTGTAAGTGTTGACGTGTAATAGTGCTTTGACATCATCTTCACTGTGATCAGTTCATATTGGAGGGCCTACGTAAGTAAAGCGTCTACATTCGACGGGACCTTGACGATAGTCCCTGGTAGTGACGGTAGCAGTCGCGCTCCTTTCAACCGCCTATATGGAAGATGTGAGTCTGCTCATCCATGTCCGACATACATAGTATGATAACTCACTTCGTTGCTATAGTATCCTGAGACAGCGTCGTTCCTTTCCGAGGAGGAGCGGGCCTGGCTTATCGAGACCCTCAGGATCGACACGGCCGGTTCATCTAAGGAGATCAAACTAAGATACATTGTGCAAGCTCTGCGAGACCCACACTCTTATCTCTTGGCTGCGATAGACTTCTTGTACGCCCCGTTCTCTCGGCCTCTACGCATGCTGGGTCCCTAACGAGGCATCACAGCATTGTGCTCCCCCTATTTGCCTTCGCCCTTTTCCTCCCTACGATCATCGTGGGGCTTGGCTACTCTTCGCTACATGCACAACTGCTCACTATTCCACCGAGCGTATGCGGCTGCGTGTTCACAATCATCTACGGTATGGCTTCTGATCGCTTGGGGGTTCGCGGCCCTCTTGTCTTGTTGGGGTCACTTTTCTCCCTGACGGGATACGTCATGCTCTTCGCTACGGACAAGCCACTGGTTGGATATGTCGCCACTCTGATTGCAGCAGCTGGTCTGTATCCGTCGTCGGCCTGCATTATTGCATGGACGTCTGGGAATGCGGGAGGGGACATCAAGCGCGGTGCCATGATAGCCCTTGTGGGTGGCATAGGTAACTCTGCAGCGTGAGTCCTCAGGTTCGTCTCCCTTTATGACGCGTCGAACATCATATTGTATAGCATCGCGTCATCCTTCATTTATCGATCACAAGATAGTCCCAGATATCTTCCTGGACATGAGACGAATATCGGCTGTTGCTGTGTTCTGTGAGTAAACTGCAAGTGTTCTTTTATCTCTGTACAGTGCTTAGACCATACGTACCAATTGCAGCGCTCTACTGACGGTGATCACCATGCTGAGATTCTGGCGAGTGAATCGCAAAAAGGAGGCGTATTGCTTGCGAGAGGGCATCGACCCCAGTAGGTTTGAGGAATTTGCCGACATGGGGGACAGATCTCCGCTATACCGGTTGGTCTTTCCGCCGTCCCTGAACCTGTGAGACCCAGGTTCATCCAATGCGATCCCTCACTAGATATACACTTTGATCTTGAGGTGCCAAAGTTAATCCAGCTTGCACGGAAGATCGTGCCAGGAATCGTGTTCACAATAACTAACCGTAGATCGAGGCCCGTTGTGTAGATTTGGAAAGCAATGGTCTGCATCGGATTAGTCAGGACCATTGTGTGAATGTGATTCTCCAGTTGTCGTACATAGGCACCCGCTACTGTTAGTACATGAATGGAAATCAGTTGCAAACGTACGGCGGGGTTTCTGTCTCTCGACACCCATCCAGTGGGATAAACACAGAGAAACCAGACCTATGAAGTTGTGACCATCAAATGTACGCCGCCTAACGGCTTGAGCAGCGCAGGAACGCCTCGACGCGTTTGGCCTTGTCGCTCATCTCGACGATGACGCTGTTCTCGTTGACGTTGACGATGCGCCCGCCAGACTGCTTCGAGAGCATCGCGATAGCGTTCATGTTGTCGCCGCGCATGTGCGGCGCCTGCATGGGCGTGAGCGGCGGCGGGGTGTGCGCGTCGCCCCCTGAGACAAGGAATTCTGATGCGTGATGGGTGGTCCAGCGACAATCCGGGGTAATCAGACGTAATCATGTTACACCAATGATATCGACAAGTTCACAAACCCTAGGCAACGCTGCGCCGTTGCTCGAGACGGCGCACCCGACAAAGTATGGCGGTTGTGAGGTTGAGAGCAAGTCGCTGCGCCGTTTCCGAGTACACCCCACGTGGTCCAGCACGTGGCTACCATGCGCTAAGGACCGTCGTGTTGCACGACCTCTTTCCATGAAACAGAGTCCCGTCTTCCCTTATCTTTCTGACCTCTGCTGGTGTTCACCATCACGGTTTCCTCTCCCTTCGTCCCTTCCCCCTGACGGTGCTGCTCCCGCGGCGTGATCCTCCATGTCCTTGTCTGATTTCGAATCAGACCTGACGGAGTTATCGTCTGACGAGGAAGAGTATATTCCTGCTTCGCAAAAGAGAAAGAAGCCACCGCCAAAAAGCAAGGAAGACTATAAGGTATAATGTCGCCATATCTCACTGTCTTCCGCCTTTATGTTGTTGGCTTCAATGTTCGCAGGTCTCAAATGCATTGCGACCACCTCGAACGACTCAATATACTGCGAAGAGCCTTTACGGTAAAGATGGTCATTTGACGCACGTTGCATTTGGTGACCTGAAATGTGTAGATCAGATTGTGGATGGTGCAATCAAGCTCGACCCGGAGTATCAACGAGGTCCGTCCATTTCTTGCTTACCCATTCTTTTCGGCCCGGACGGATGCTCTTGTAGTCATGTCCTTCGTGAAACCAGTCGCACTCATCAAGCCAATCTTTTATAGATGTGGTCTGGCCTGATACGAAACAAACAGGGCTCATTGACTCCATCCTCAGGAACTATTACATCCCCCCTGTTATTTTTGGTAACATCATGTTGATTGTAGTCGCTATTGATGCGATAGCTCACCGAGAGTGTGTATATACTTCAGCTGTGACTGCTCAAGATGATGGAACAGAGCTTCGTACATGTATCGACGGGAAACAGCGTCTGACATCAATACAGAGGTAATGCAATTTGTTCCCTAAAGGCTAGTAGTCTGATGCCTGTTCCCGCAAAAGGTTTATGGATGGCCTGGTCAGTATTCCTGCATAAAAGTACTAAATGTGCCTAACGGGTTGGAATATATGCTCCTCATTCAGATCTGTCGTAAGTACTGCATATATGCGCTATCAAACCAGGTCAGGAGCTGACGTTCTCCTGCATATCAGACAAGGATTCGTGAGTTTACGTACACATTCGCAATCTCCCTTCGATCACGACCAATATCACAACTCGCAGTGTCACCAATAAACGATACTGGTACCAGGAAGGTACAGCAAAGAGAATTCTGCTCCCAAAGCAGTACAAGCAAGCTTTTGCCAACAAACAGATTACTTGCGTGGAGTATGATTGTTTGACAGACGATCAAGAGAGGGAGATTTTCCAGGTATCGTATGGATGGACTGAGACAGAAGTGATGTTACTCACCGCCTTAAACAGCGAGTTCAGCTTGGTGTAGCATTGACACCTGCAGGTCCGGTGAATCATCGATGCCTTTTAGCGCTTGTGTTAACTGTCGTTCGAAACAGAGCGTATGCAGGCAAATACCGGTCCGCGCTCTTCTCTCATTCGTGAGGTACAGTCGACAGTCCTGGGTGCGGAGGGATTTGGTGACAATTTGGACTGGGGCCGTGCTCGAGGACGGGACTTTCAATGTCTAGCTTCTATCATCTATCTCATGGAGCATCATCCACTCACTACGTTCCCCGGTGCTCCGCAGCTGGACAAATGGCTACAGATAACGACCCCAGTAACATCGCAGTTCCGCAGCGAAGTCGTCGACACCTTCAGGATTTTTGTTGCTCTTGTCAGAGACAAGCGGTACAATGCGTCGTTCTCCAAGCCAACCCGAGTATCACCAATCGAGTTCACCATGATAGGCATTCTGATTTCCGTGCACCGAGCCAAGCTCTCCATGACCCAGCTCTCTTCGGCAATCCGGATCATGAGGGCGGACGTGCGGAAAAGACATGTTGATATCCGCGCGAACACTAAGGTTACCAAGGACATGTTTGCCTTCATTACGAGCCGAATGAAGACGGCTGAACTGAAAAGTGATGGCCAGGGGGATAGCCCCGCAGCTGCCACCGTCGATGCTCCGCCAAAGCCGGCCAAGAAGGTGCAGAAAAGGAAGCGAGTCGAAAGCAGTAGCGAAAGCGAGGAAGAAGAAGTCAAGAGGAAGCCACCGCCTCCCAAACCATCAACATCGCGCATCACAGCATCAGGTCCTGCAGAAGCTGCGAAACTGCGACAAGCTGCACAAGCGAAGCCGGCAGCAAAGTCATCCTCGACAATCAAAGCAACCACCTCCAAGGCAGCAATCACAGCCAAGGCTCCGGCTAAGCAGTCGCCATCGACACAGAAGTCTAAGGTGGTTGCCAGTTCAGCTCAGGGATCTTCGACACCCCAGTCAGCGTCAACCCGGCGAACTAACGGAAATACGCCCACTCCCTCGAAACTATCCGGTGAACCTGGTAGTCCTGCACTGCCACCTCCGTCCAGCGCATCTGGCAGTACGTCGTCTACTCCCGTTCCACCTCCAGCCGCACCGAAACCACTCGCGTTGCCGCGAAGGTCGCCAAATACAGCGGCAGCGAAGAAACGGGCCAATGCAGCTTCTTTAATAATCAAAACAGAACCTGGGCTTGAGAGCGTTCGAACCCCCACTTCCACGAATTTCTCGCCCGCCTCTATTGCCCCGTCTCCAATTGACCGCCTTGCTTCCATTCGGGCGGCTAAAGCCAGTACGAACGCAAATACAAATGCGAACGCAACTCCAATACAATCGCCCGTGGTGGCCAAGGGGTCTGGTACCCAGATACCTATGGAGGTAGATCCTCCGGACAATAACATTCTGGATAGGGCAGCCCCCATCGTGAAGCGCGAGTACACGCAGCCATCCCTCAATGTCGGCTCCGCCCAACATCCTGCAAACTTCCATCAGCAACCTTCTCCTGATGCCACCACCACCCTTCCTAGCGGATCGCAAATCAGTTCAGCAGACATCGAAGCAATATTAGCCATACACGGTGTACGCGGCCGATCAGCCTCAGCTGGTCCTCTACGGCCCCCATCTATGCCTCCCGCTGTACCGCAGGCGAACTCTCAGTCGTCGACGCCGACCCTTACCGTACCTCCAAATACAGGAGACAGTCAGCAATCAATTTCCGGAACGGCACCTGCATCCGCGATGCCTTCCATGATCTTGCCTAATGGACATTCGACCCAACAGACCAATGGTTCTGTTCAGATGCACCCCCACATCCGCCAAGAACCAACGAGGCGAGTATCGCCAACCGTAGAACAGAAGTGGAGGCCTATTCCAGGTCACCCTGTTCACCAGGACCCATCACCGGTAGCACAAACAGCTGGAACAGGTGGAACGGGTACAAATCGGGTGATGCCGAATGCTAGTATGACCCAGCCCGTACCTATTGCCCCACCTGTTCCCAGCGCAGCTGCTACCCAATCGAATGGCGCGCCAAATTCATTCGGAAGACCAATACCTACTGGACCTCGGGATCGAACTCCAAGTTTTCCGAATACACCTGTCCCGTATCCACCTCCTCAACCTCCTCATCCACCTCCTCCTGTTCCCTCACTGCCACTGCCTCCCATCAGTCCATCATTACCGCCTCCGCCTCCGCCAGCACTGGGAGCGCCTTTGAAGGACCACAGCACACTGGCGCAGCCTATGGCAAGCCCTGCCGACCTGCGGCGCACTTCGTCTGGATCCGTTGGCGGACGCGACCGTCCCACGCGATGGGACGAGCGCGACGACGAGCGGGATAGGGACCGAGATCAGGATCGGTATCGTGACCAAGAACGAGATTGGCATCGGGATCGAGACTATGACAGGGGGTCGGGCTGGAGAGGAAGAGGCGGAAGCGGGGACCGCGGCAGGAGGGGCTGGGGATGGCACCGCGGGTCAGGCTACCAGAACAGAGACTGGTCGCAGGGGAGACGCTAGCGTGAATACAGTTGTGGTATCTTATGGTGCATCGACTAAGGTTTGTCCACACTGCGGTGTGTTTCAGTGTGGTTCAATGAGGCGTGAAGTGCTGACGGATGGCCATTGCTTCCATTCTTCCTGCAGACCTCGGCTGCATCGTCCCGGATGATCACCATTGTTCGGACCCGTTAAGCACCTTTTTCGCCTTGTCTACAGACACGTTCAAGTCGTGTTTCTGCTCAATGTTCAGCCACCACGAAACATCTCACATTATGACCTGCACAAGTTCGCACAATGCTTCCCTCCACCTCCATTCACATGACTTATTAACGCAATCGCCGCCGTTATCTTCGTCCTACTATGCCTATATTCTTATACTGCTCCCTAGTCATAAGGTAACTGCAGACTGCCTTGATTATGAATCAAATTAGCATTATGTACAACCAAGACAGACTTCCGAATCCCGCATCCGAGCTCAATCTTGACCCTATAGCATCACCACTGTCCAATTCCGCCAGGGAAATTACACACACATATATGTCGTGCTGCAAACTTGAGAAACGCGGCCCAGCTTGGTCGCTTTAAGAACACTACAACCGACAGAATAACACAGTGATGACGACCTGGACAGAGTGCAACTCTTATATTAAACGAACAACGTACATGGATAGAAGCACACTATACAAGCCTGCGGGTACACAGCCAATGCGCATCATCCTCAAGTAAATATCCCCGATGATGGCAAAAGAGGCTGCCCTGGGTACGGGCTGAACCTCTGGTTCACATTTCTTCTCAATCCCAAATGAGACGAGGATCGATATCATTGGATAAGTATTGTCACCGCCATTGCCACGCATGCCATGGCTACATATGGTGATAGGCGTTCCCCTGCAGTTCGGACATGTCAGCTCCTGCAGAGCCAAAGACTAAGACTGAGCGAACCTATGCGAGCAGACATCCAAAAGAGACCGAGAAACCTGGCGATTTCGACCGCGTAACGTTAGAAGAGTACACCAGAGACATCTTGTACGAGCACGCACCCCTCCTTGTTTCGGTCGATGAGTCTTGGTGTGACCGCGCGGACATAAGTGCATGTGCAGATCATGAGCAGGATGACAAGCAGGAGCGACTGGAAATTGAATAGCGCAGACTAAAGCACTGACTCTGTCAGCGTCCGTGAAAGCATACAGAAAGGTTTCGAGTACAGTACCATGACGGTTTAGCTGCACAGCAGCGCGCGCCGTAGAGTGGTGGTTTGGTGACCGTCAAGTGGCTGAGCCGCAGCGATGGTATGTGACTTACGTAAGTCAACAGCGCGATTAGATTAGATGCATCTCGATCGCTCCGAGTGCTCTCCGCCCAATTCTAATAGTAGCAAGCCAAGCAAGACACGCTTACAAGAATACCACTGCGGGTTCAGTGCCATGATTTTGATTTTGCTCTGTAAGCCGCTATGAAATGACTGTTCGATGTGTGCTAATTCCCGGCGCAGATACCGGCATGCGCTTCACCTTCCGGAGTACATGCTGTGGGACCATCTGCCGGTGACACATGGAAATGCTGGGAGGTTTGCTTCCTTAGTGGGCCTTTCGTCCGGTATTTCTGTCGAGGTTCGGTGACGTTATAACCTTGTTCTTGATTGCTGACCTAGCGTAGCAGACTGAAGGCTCGAGAAACAATGCTTTAATTTGTGAGTCACGTAGCCTCTATTCTCTTGTCTCCGAGCTCGCAAAGCATACACCTACTAGAGAGTTATCGATTGACATCATACAGGCAGAGCAGAATCACAAGCCCATTTTATCTTATCTATGCTCACGGGCGTCACGAGCAGGTGGTCCCCGGACAACTGAAACGTGACCCCGAAGACCCCTAGTGAGAGCACGCAGGGCTGTTACCTGTGTTCCCACATCCCCTCCGTCTCCTCCATGTCCATCTTCGTCGTGCCCGACGACAAGCACTTCTCGAGTGCTAGTTCAATAGACGAGAAGCTAGAGAGAGAAAAGGAGGATAGTGAGAAACAAGGTATGTTCAGAAATCCAGCTTCCCTGATCAACTTTGACGGGATATCTCGTTTCATGCGGAAAGTATACGCCCTCCCTGTTGATACATTTGATGACCCGAACCTCGACGACGATGAAACGGACCTCGGTAAGCATCATTGACCTTGCATCTTTGTACATGGCCGTTCGTGGATAATATGCGCTCGGTTCCATATCCTCTGCCTGCTGGGCCGTCTATTGGACTGCATATGTCAGGTGTGGCTGTCATGTTCACGGTTCAGGCGTCAATACCGCGCTCCTGCCTTACCTAGGCGAGGTGAACAGCAGCTCACTACTATCAAACCATTGGTTGTACCCGCCTCTAGGGTTTTTTGGCAGGTGTCTGACCCCACGTCTGTCTATCTCAGCACACACCGCCGGAAATTGTGGAACACGTAGCTCGCGCTCCGAATCCATTTTGTCTGTGGCACTCTGCGACCAGGCAGCTTCACAAATTTATAGTGCATCCCATTCGTGGGCATCCCTCCCACCCGCTAGAGACTATTGCGTTGAACTTTCGTTCAATGCTCGCTTTGACAGCGACAGATTAGCTGCAGCCGCAGCTGAGACATTGTTGTATTTGTGTGCTCACAAATCTTCTTCGACTCTAGTTGAAGACCAATCGGATCACTTGAGGCATATACTCCCTGATATTCTTTCAGTTTCATGTGTGGTCATCCCGAGTGTAATCCGAGCGTCCTTCACATTAACGGGGCCATTTTTACCATGATGGATTTTGTCCTGCTATATCGGATCGAGTATAGGATCTAACTCATCAATCTGTCTTTAGAGGATGACTCGCCATACCCAGAAGTACGCTCCGCGGTAGCGAACACTGACGACCCCGACATGCCTGTTTGCACAATACGAGCCTGGACGATTGGCATTGTATGGTCAATACTCATACCCGGCCTCAACCAATTTTTCTTTTTCCGATCTCCATCGATCACTGTCACCGCTGTGCGTTACCGCCCCTTTTCTCAGCATGACTTCGGATGCTGAATGTCGTGCAGCTCGTCGCACAATTACTCTCATTTCCCGTCGGAAGACTATGGGCGCGGATTGTTCCTTGCGTCACAATTTTCGGCCTGCCCTTGAATCCCGGCCCATTCACAATGAAGGAGCACGTTTTGATAACGATCATGGCGAATGTGGGGTATCAATCTGCGTATGCTGTAAGTATGTCCTGCATCATGTGAGAATATGCTTCTTATTCTCTTATAGACGGACGTCGTCGCTGTACAGCGCGTGTACTACAACCAGATATGGAGTTTCAGCTATCAATGGATGCTCATGATGTCCACGCAACTGGTATGCTGATCGTGGTCCTTAGGGTCTTGGTACTCACTATAGTTATATAGATCGGCTTCTCTATTGGTGGGGTGTTCCGTCGCTATCTCGTGCAGCCGCCGTCGATGATCTGGCCTACCAACCTCGTCACTTGCGCCTTGTTCAACACGCTCCATTCGCAACAGTATGCCGGCATTGGCAACCATGGCGGTTTGTCTCGGGAACGGTTCTTCACATATGCCTTTATAGCGGGCGGGTGTTGGTACTTCTTCCCGGGATACATATTTCAGGCGCTCAGTGTCTTCACCTGGGTATGCTGGATAGCGCCGGATAACGTTGTTGTGAACCAGCTCTTTGGCTACGAATCCGGACTTGGTATGTCGCTTATCACCTTTGACTGGACTCAAGTGGTGAGTTCTACTATTCCCCGCTGCTTTCGCCGCTGATAACCAGGTGCATATAGATTGCTTATGTCGGGTCGCCGCTAGCCACGCCCTGGTGGGCAGAGGCTAACGTTGCATTCGGATTCGTCTTCTTCTTCTGGTTCCTGACGCCGGTCCTGTACTACACGAACACCTGGTACGCGAAGAACATGCCAATCTCGTCGCGCACATCATACGATAACACGGGCGGGGCGTACAACGTGTCCCGCATCATTAATGACGACGCGACGCTGAACCTGACGATGTACACGAACTACTCGCCGCTCTTCCTCTCGACGACGTTTGCGGTTGCGTATGGCCTCTCGTTCGCGAGCATCACGTCAACAATCGTGCACACCCTGCTGTATTTCCGCAAGCAGATTTGGGTGCAGAGCCGGCGATCGCTCTCGGAGCAGCCAGATATACATGCGCGCCTGATGAATCGATACCCGCAGGTGCCCGACTGGTGGTATGGCGTAGTCTTCGGTATGTCCCTCGTCCACCCTCGCAGAGCAGACACGACCGCTAACGATTGAGCAATAGTGTCTATGTTCACCTTTGCTGTTATCTCCATTGAGGCGTGGAACACACAGTTCCCTGTGTGGGCCCTGATCCTGGCCCTAGTGATTTCTTTCATCTACACGGTACCGTGTGGTATGATACAGGCTATTACAAACCAACAGATCGGTCTGAAGTTGGTACCGCTTTGCTTGCTTCCTGCGATTTTGTCGCTCACTCCGCTTTAGTGTCGTTACGGAGCTCATCATCGGCTACGCACTACCTGGCAGACCGCTGGCAATGATGATGTTCAAGACGTGGGGCTACATCAGCATGTACCAGGCGCTGCAGTTCGCCTCAGACATGAAGCTCGGGCATTACATGAAGATCCCGTAAGGATTTAAATTTGCCCCGCGCAGGAAGATTGTCCTCATTTTACTGTCTCCTACTAGCCCTCGTCCAATGTTCTGGGGTCAGGTAGTTGCTACGGTTATTGCCGGTACTGTTCAGTTGGGTGTCCAGTCCTGGATGTTCCACAACATTCCGGATATGTGCACACCCAATCAGAAAGACGGCTTTGTCGTAAGTTGTAGTCCTCGAACAGTTCTCGCGGAACCTACTCATGGGCATCTCTAGTGTCCATCGACCGAGGTTTTCGGCACGGCCTCCATTGTGTGGGGGGTGATCGGGCCATCACGACAGTTTACTTCAGGCCAGATCTACCAGTTAGTACTTCATACTGTTAGGACGCTCGATAGTTGCTAACGTATCTGCGCAGTGGACTTGTCTTTTTCTTCCTTGTTGGCGCGTTTTGTCCGCTGATCTCATACTTCTTCTCGATGCGGTGGCCAAATTCCATCCTGAAATATGTGAACTTCCCCGTCATCTTCAATGGACCGACACAGATTCCGCCAGCCACGGCAGTCAATTACGTGCCATGGACGATAGTTGGTTTCATCTTCAACTATGTCATCCGTCGTCGCCATTTCTCGTGGTGGACGAAGTATAACTGTATGTGATCAGAGCATTCTTCCGCGATGCGGGACTGATATCGTGGCACAAGATATTCTGTCGGCTGCTATGGACTCCGGTGTTGCTGTGGCCATAATCCTGATCTACTTCTGCCTGCAATACCCGCAGAATGGAACAATCGGCCAGAACACAATACAGACATGGTGGGGCAATACCGTGTTCAAAAACACTGCGGACTACAATTACACTTCATATTACAGAACGAATGGTACTTTCGGGTATGTGCAGCGTATACTCCACCGTAATATTTCCTGCTGACATGTCAACAGCCCGAAGCACTGGTGATGGGCTCGCCTTGGGATGTATCTTTTATATTATCTATAACGTCATGCGGGCGTATCTGTTTCGTTGTATCTGCATACCCCTAATCTCGCTAGATTTTGCTGTTGTACTTTTGTAGGTGGATTTAGGTGTGCGGGCTTGGAAGAGGCATGTAGTGTATCTGTAGATTAGTATTACTGACGTTAGGAATTTACACATTGATTATCTGGATTCCGTGGTAGACAACTCACGTCGAAAAGCGTGTAGGTATGTGAGGAATAATTATTGCACGAAAGTGATAGATGGTGCCAGCTTGAAGGTATTGTATTGGATATCTCAACAGTGCGGTGTAAAGACGTTTCTATAGATACACAGTTGGTTGGCGCTCTAGTCTACCTAGACTATCGTTTGGAAAAATTATAAGTCTATCGTCACATGCAGACGCTGCAGCAAGCTGATCACATCTTGTAAATAGCAGTCGTATAGATGCAGCGGTACTGCGTGCTGTGTGCTGCTCGACAAGTCTCACCGACTTCCACGAGAATTACAAAGCAAGCATTCACATCGCCATGATCAAATGCTGGCCCATTGCACAAACTATCTGCCGGACTCCTTTATCATGAGATACAAACACGTAGAACTGCGTCAGCACGCTGAGGTGCAGCGCGAATGCGGGGCCTATTGAATATATTCGATAACCTGAGGCCAATGCCTTGCAGTCGCTGTACCCCCGTACAACTCCCGGGGGTCCAGTATGACCTCGCAGTGCGTATCTTGCGATCGTCCTTGGACCTTATCATCCCCAGGCGGCCACGGACTCATAGTTCAGTCACCTTAAAGGTCCACATAAAGCGGCTGCTGAACGCGCCCGATTTGTCTCCCTAATATCGGAGTGGAAGAACCGCCGACTTGCTGCTTTGATCGAAGGCGCGCTACAGCCAGAGTTCTGTCATGATTCTGAGACATTGGCGCGGAGATGCCACAAGGAGTGAGAACATGGCGTTCTAGATCGATTGTAGCAACGCGCTTCGGATCTGGTCTTGGTCGGCTGCGGTACACATGCCAAGGGGAGTTCCGGACTTGTCCAATATATCAATTGTTCGATTGAGATTGTTTATACGGAACGAGGTCTTGTTTCCATATATGTCCGTTGCCCGATCCTCTAGGTGGATGCACGTCTACCGAGCATGTACCGACCTGGCATCCTGAACAGACGTGTGGATTCCTGTATGTTTTCATGTAATGGAAAACAACTCACTGCAAACTTCCAGTCAATATTTAAAATGTATAAACACAATCATGCTACTAATTATGCGCACTTCGCCTTCTCGAGGGCTCGAGAAGCAATAGTCACTGCCCGCGAGCGCTCCGTTGCCTGAGGTACCACGGTACTGGGTCTGGTGGCGCAATACAACGTCTATGTGTCCGGCGGGTGCTTTATGAATGATACCGACGAACTAGGCAAGTCTAGATATGCTACGACCGTGCGTGAGTACATTGCACCGCGCAGTTGTCGCGCATGAAGCAAGTACTGAACACACACCTCACACAAGTCAAAGAATACTATGTCTTGTACCGTTCGACTTTGAGCAACGCTGGTTACCTTCCATAGACGTGTCCACACAATCACTAGACAAGGGATCACGCCGTGGTCAAGCTCAAGCGCCAGGAGCACGGAAGCGAATATCAGTGGTTCAGGCTGTTCAAGCTAGAAGATCCATACTGTCGTAATTGGATGCTGTACCGCTCGCTTGTTTGAATTTACTTGCCTCATGCTGCGCCAGTTCAACAGCACCATGACTAGATCCATACTCTTCCGCACATGACTCCGTGCATCCAGCGTCATCTGCACCCATGAACACCAGATGCCGGGAGAACTACCCCCGAGCCGGAGGGTCCTGTGAGAGTCAAGATGCCCACAAGACGCCTGCGTTGTGGCAGACTTTCCGCGGGATGTCAACACCGAGCAGAGAAGCCGAATCCGCGCAGCAGCCGGTGTCTTCTAATGATAACGCGCGAGAGAGAGAAGAGTCAAATCCTCGGCGATGTACGATATGATTATCGATACCGAAGGACGTGTGCGCGGAACTTCAGAACTGCTTACCATGTATGGGCCAGTACCACTAGACACCGCCTGTCGAGAAAGATTGCGTCGGATATGTATCAGCCGAAGACTTGCTGGAAAACTAGAACTGATACAGCAGAGAGCGAACCGAGTACTGTGACAGGGCAAGTAAATGTTATCAAACGCGCAATATACGACACAACCTAGAAGCACTGCGGCAGCTGGCGTATTGTGGATCGCAACACGAGTGATGGGCATTGCGCTCAGACAGTGCCAGAAGAGGTAATCGTGACCTTCTGTTTCGGACGGCCCGAGTCCGTGCCGACATTCTCAACCTGTTTGACCACATCCATACCTTCTACAACCTCGCCGAATACCACGTGCTTGCCGTCGAGCCACGACGTCACAACTGTCGTGATGAAAAACTAAAGCCACAACGCGCGTTAGTTTTTCTTTTCTTTTGAGAAGAAAGGGCCGTGCATGAGACCACAAACCTGTGAACCGTTCGTGTTCGGTCCTGCATTAGCCATGGAGAGCAGGCCCGGCTTCGTATGCCGGAACTTGAAGTTCTCATCTATTTCACAGCAATGTGAGTAAGGTCATGAGTTGAATGCGGTCGCCTTCGTTACCAACCTGCGAACTTCGCCCCATAGACAGACTTCCCTCCTGTGCCGTCGTGCCGCGTGAAATCACCACCCTGAAGCATGAACTGCACCGTGTCCTAATCAGGTGCTGCGATAGCGTGGCGCAGAAGACATCATACTGACGTTGGGAATGATTCGGTGAAATGAACTACCAGTGTATCCGAATCCATGCTGGCCGGTAGCTAGTTCGCGGAAGTTCCTCGCTGTTTTGGGTACGGCATCGTCGAACAGCTTGAAGACTATTCGACCCGTGGGCTTCGCGTCAATGGCGACGTCAAACTGTTTGCATGCGTCAGTAGACCCCCGGCGGATAAAAACACGAATGACGCACAAAAACGTTTGACCTGTCGAAACATAGAGCGAAGAGCAGTAACGTTAGCACATGTTCAAGAGCCATAGAGGACAGCCATTACATTTGGCTGGAAGAGGCCGATGCTGAGGTTGCAAAGCGACGTAAGAATGAAGCCATTTTTTTTGAATTCGACGAGCGAGAGAATAGTGTGGATAAGAAGGAAGGGAAGACGTTGTAGCCTCAGCGGTCAAGCCTGAGCAAGCGACATTCCAGCAGACACTCACGTGACTGGCTTTTGAGGCCTCGGCTTGGGACGACTGTTGGGGTGGTGAAAGCCTTATTCTCCACATCTTCACTAACGACCATTTATATACAGGGGTACGAACCCCTACTACCACACGCTATCATCATTATTTTGACTGTCGGTGATTCTTGATGATCACACGCACACGAATGGACATATTGCATGTCATGTCTCAACAAGAATGATCATAGAGAACCAGAGGAAACAACAAGGGCACCTTCTCCACGAGAAAGAGTGCTCTAGGCCGCTCGGCTCAATTTCTCGAGGACGAACTTGGACTCTAGCCGTACACCCTACTCCACGTGTATCAACACGATCCGCCGAACGACTGCCACGGAGCCCAGCGCGGTAAGTCGACGGAGCCAGCGAAGCCGCCAAGGGCGGGAAACAGAACATCAGTTGTAGATCTGAGGACTGAACGTGACCAGATGCTCGGAACCCAGGAGGTACAGAGGTTGTTCCGCGCGCCCGGCCAAGCGACAGCTTTACGCTCAGCCTCGACTGGATCGCAGGAAGTTGACAGCTAGCCAAATTGGCTGGAATGAAATGTTCTGGACTGGATGCGAGAGGGGCTTTAGTTACATGATGAGGTGACCACTCAACCCAATCCGATGGGGCGATGGACGTTCGCGGAGCGTACCCGGATAGGCGCGCGGCAGGGCGTACCGCCTCGAGGTGGTCAGCGATAGCGCGACGGCATTCGTTTCGTGTTCCACCCTGAGTCGCATGTCTTGTCTCGAAGCCGATTGTGATGCACGGGCGACGCGGACGGCCACGGTCTGGCTTCTTACACGTTAATTCATCCCGACGTTCCGGCGCCATGGTCGCAGGCACTGGCTGCGAGATATATATTTCAGTAGCCGGTGTTCCCGCTCGGGCAGCATTCCACACAGCACATACCTAAAGCAGATGCCTGGAGTATGGCCTTGCCGGCTCTGCCGACCCGACGTGGAGGGGCTAATACCCAACAAGGGCCTTGCCGTTGAGCAAGACACTAGTGCGGCCTGGACTTCCTCGCGGCATGTCCACCATCGCGAAGGAGTAGTCTGTGGTAGCTTCCAGCAGTGGACCCGAGTGAGCCATATGCGGTAGGTCTAAGGGACAACACCAGCGTGCTCGCGGATATTAGTAGACAGCACAGACATGGTGGGAAATTCAAGGGTCGACGATGACATGCCATTGAGACAAGTATTTGCCATGTTGGTTCGGGCGCGTACGCTGACACTGAACGTCGGAACACCGAGTGAATTTGCTTCTCTGCTCAGGTCGTGAACATGAGTGGGGCGATGAATATCAGAAGTAGGCTCGCGCGGTTGAGCCAGGCGGATGGTCTGATGCTGCTTTTAGGGACAAAACCCTTACTTTGTCAAGGTATGAGAGGCGTTACTTGTAGTACGCGTAAATCAGCGATGTCACAGCGACGTCGAAAGAGGCCCAAGCCTGTAGTGAAGACACGTCGCACACGGCACACGTGATCGCGTATACGACGCGTCAGTGGCTGCTTCTCGGCGTCCCGCCCAGTGAATTGTCTGCACTTCGCGGCTAGACACTGCCAAGTATTCAGAGTGTCATTGAGTTGTGCAAATGACACTTTCTACTCACGATCAAATGTGGTTGAAATCAATGCCACGTTGCTCTGTTTTGCCCCAACAGAACGGCAATGACGCAAACAGCCTTCGGACTGCGACATCAGCGCCAGACTTACACGTCCAAAATTTGAAATATCATCAATACATTTGCATATACTGATGATTGCCGCCTACCCTCTCCGTTAATACACGGATCCAGGTGCGATGCAAGCCAAATTCGAACACGTTCGTAGTCTACCAGTAGCGTGTAGCCTCGTTTGACGGGATACGTCAGTGTCATGAGCAGCGTGGGAGGAGTTTTCATGGGAGAAACGTCCTGTTTTTTTACCTGTACAGATCGCAAGAATTGAGATGCCACAGCCCGCGTTGAGACCACGTTGTGTATACCCCCACAACCTGTAAGGCCACCATCGAATGATGTCATGGACAGGCCTATTTAGCAAAAAGCATGTCTATGAGAGAATGTTGGTTGTGGGAACGCCGCCAAACACAAAGTTCTCTGTGTTCAACGACAACAGAAAGGATGTAACGAGGCTATTTGGTCTAGTACGGATGGGCTTCGCATCGTTCGCCCAGAGGAGTTTCGTAGCAATTGCCTTCTGAGAACCCACGCTACTTGCTTCAGGCCTCCATATATGTACTGCTGTCAGTGTAGACTTCTTTGAATAACAGGGATCGGATACAGCGCATATTGGGGATGGGGTGAGTGAGGTGCCACAAGGGACGAACTATTCACAATTGAGAAACATTTGCGATCCTCGCCGTAACAGCACGGCACGCTTGAATACTTCTCCCGCCGCGAAGTCGGATGTGTGAACATGATCCCAAATAATAGCGGCACTACCACCCACGAAAGGGCTGGGTACGTTACCTCGGAAGCTCGCGGTCAGTACAGCCAGTTTCTTCTCGCCCTGCGTAGAGTCCGATTTCTCCGTGGATCCGCCGTTGATGGCAAAGCCTCAGTCCTTTCCATGCAAACGTATCTAGCATATATGGAGGCAACAAGATAAGCATTCAGGAGGTTCGACTGATTGAAGCTTATGTTTAGCCAGTATTGTAGAATACCTTCTACCCGAGCGACGCCCACATATTACTCACAGACGGCCAACCTCAGCATGAGGTACCACCACTTGATCTAGCTTTTCACTCGCCCATTTTGCGCCTCTAGGTCAGGCAGATCAATGTACGAGAATGCGGTGTATTCACGGGTCTCTCCACCACTAGTGCTATTACGATGTTGACGTCCCAAGGCATCTGAAAATTAGAGCCTGGCTATCACGACAGCATTGCAGCACGCTGCCATCATGGGCACTAGTTTATTTTCTCAATCGTAAGCACATTCCCTTAGAGAAGTGGCTCACCTTAATCTCGCGGAATACTCGAGGTTCATGAATGTCCCATGTTTGTCTGCGTTCCTTGTAGTGTACGGCATGCCCCGCGATGCTGCCAGTGTCGGACCGGACAGTAGGACAATTAGACCGGTTGCGTCACAGCTGGGTACCTTTTGCATGTGCTTGTTTACTGGCTATGATCACTGGCGGAGGCATTACCCGGTCTAAACACGAGGAATTAAAAAAAGACATTACCCGGTCACCAAGACTGAGTCGTAAAATGATCAGTTCGTGAATGAAGTTTCTGACGTGGCGTATTTATCAGTAGTCGTCCATTTTCTTCGGGTACGTGAAGTGCAATCGAACACAACTCGGCCACCTTAGGTAGTGAACGAGAAAATAGTTTACAAAGAGAACCTGTTTCAATCGACTTATGAGAGTTGACGAAGAGTCGAGCTGGTCTAGACCAGATCTAGGAACGGCCAGGAACGGCGATGCGACCTGATTGGAAGTCGGTGCTTCGCGATCGTGATCGTCGGGGTCGGGATCGGGTTTGGCCAGATTTGGTATGAGCGGAGACGCACGTGCTTTGGGCTGTGTCCACGACTACAATTGGCAATACTCCAATCCCCACTTTCCCCGTAACCCCGACTACCTCTCTCACATCTAAGTCTCTGTTCCTATAAATTTCGATGAGTATGTCCAAATCCCGCACCCAGACTTATATCATTGAGCAATGCGGAAAATGATGAGGCTGATTGATTTGCAGCGAGTAACGATCGCAGCCACGGTGCTGTACACCTATTGACAGCAGCGCTGTTGGCCCTTTCATGGCTTCCTACAACTCACGCATTGTATTGCTACACCGATGGGTGAGTAAATCTCGTTCACTGAATCTCCGATTCGCAAAGTCTGATATCGTCCAATGATACTAGCTTTAATATTGAGCGCTGCAGCACTCTATCTCCCGGTGCTCGTGTGGGCATTGGCATTGCTATCGGTGAGTCCCAACGAAGACGTCTGCCATAGACTGTGATGCGATAATAAAATATATTTAGCTGTCGTAGGTCTGGCGGCACTAGTCGCATTTGGTGTTTCGCGTCAAAGGCGTCTCCGCCGACAGAACCTCGCCTATGTGCCCAACGGGAATAGTCCCCAGGCATACCCGGTGCAGGGTTCCCCTTACGCCCCGCCTGGCGGTGTCTATGTTCAGAACACCAACTCTGGCTACTATGGATCGTACCCTCCGCAGTACCCGCAGTATCCACCACCGGCGCACAGTGGCAACGGTTGGGACCCGCAGAATGGGTTCGCTCCGGTGAGTCATCGCCCAAGACTTTCCTTGTTTTGCATGCTATGTCGACTTGACGATAAGAGAGGAAGCAACATTCCCACACCTTTTCCTCCTTCCCGTACTCACCCAGCCTAGTAGTTGTTGCTACTTTCTCCCAAATTGGAGGACGTAGTAACGGTTATTACGGGGCTTGATTTTTACCTGGAACCTCTCACTTCACCTGGGGGAAGGTGGTCGTTGGGGCGAACATTCGCTTGCAGTTGTCCCTATACCAGTTGCAGAAAGGAACTCCACATCCTTTACCTGCTGTCTCGTGCGAGAGCGCCGTGAGCGTTAGCAGTCGTTTAGTGCGACCACTGCTACTTGGGTGGATGCTTTACACGCCCTGTGCCCCATCACCCCGAGGCCTGTCGGGAGGGCTCCGTCCAGTAGCGGCTATTGGACTGCGAGGAATTTGCGAGGTGTTGCAGCTGTTCAGACGTGCATCAAGACCGTACGTGAGGGAAGTATGAGTAACATGGCTGCAGCCGCTCGCCTCTAGCGGAAAGGCACTCCTCGAGACTGACGTGATCGCCCTGAATTTCGCTCTCCACTCTGCGTCATGTCTAGTTGCGCGGCCTCTGACCAAATTCCCCAGCCGTACCAGCAGACCCAACCGCCCCACTACTCGCCCCCACTCGGACCGCCGCCACAGATTATGGAGAAAACTCGGCCCTGAGATTTCGGAATATATCTGCCTGCCATGCCAATCGCCATCTTCGGCTACGTCTTGCTGTACCTGTACTGATGTATCTTACAAGATCTTTGTTGTGTTTGCAGTAACGTTGTTGACATCCTAAGAATCTTTATCTTCGCATACCGTAAAAGTTCTCCTTGTTATCCACCACCCTGAGTGTGTGAAGAATGCTCTCGAAGTTTATGAAGTCAAAATATGGGTTCTGGTACTCCAAGGTTGTCTGGGAAACGAAGCGTCAGTTTCGGCAAGTGGCAAGACTTCACGTTTGCGCGCGCCTTTCCATCAATCCGCCACCTCCTCTTGTACCGCCCTCCTCCATCTCACACCGACCGCCTACATTCTCTGATAATTAATGCCGAGCATATTCTCTCGTTCACGCACGACATCGACGCCCAAGAAAACATCCGAATTAGACGAGTTTGGGCGCATCGACAGCAGGGGGTCCGCCCGCGCCTTCACGCTCTCACCGCAGTCCAGCAACAAGAAGGACAAGAAGAAGGAATCCAAGGACAAGTCGAGGGCACGGACTACCTCAGTTGCGGAATCCGAGGTCGCTGAACCCGCCATCCCCGATGGCACATTTCTGCCGCTCAACCTCAACCCACCGAGGATCGAGGCGACGGGGGACACGCCCGGGACGGAGCTGCGCCAGACGAACGCCTACGGCTACCTCTCGTTCGGACGACACGTCGTGCTAGGGCTAGAGCAGGTCGCACGGCTGGTGGACGTGGTCGGAAACGAGCTTGGGCTGCGGGGACTCACGACGCCATTCATTTTTTCGACACTCGCGCTGGATGTCTCGTCTGGTGCAGTGCGGCGGCTGATCCAGGCGTTCCTGCGGACGTGCGACAAGGCATCCCCGGCAGCGGAGGCGGACAGGCAGTGGCGCGAGGAGGCGCGACTGGCGGGCCCGCACGAGTTGGGAATGTGCCTGCGCTGGGGGCTCGCGCGGGTGGTGCGCATCGTAAAGGGCCAGGAGGTGCGTGGGCTCGTCCCGTACGACAACTACGCTGAATGGCGCGAGGCCGAGGCAGGTGCGCGCCGTGCCCGTCATGCATATCTCCCGCTCCTGCCGCTGACCCCCTCCGCGCAGCACTCGGTTACCCAGAGACGCACTTCGGGGCTTTCATCGAGCCCCTGGACCCTGTGCTGCAGTCTATCCTCGTCGCGCTGCTCACTCTACTCGCACGGTTCACTGCACACTCCGCTTCGTCTGGACACACGCCGCCCACCTTGTCCCCGCTATTCGGCCCCTTGCTGTTCGGCCTCGGCCCATCCACATTGGCATTCCACCAGGTGTACATTTGCTATCTCCGCGCGACCACAGCCACAGAACACTTGATTCTAGCATTCATCCGGTGGCAGGATGCTCCGAACACCAGCTCGAGTTCACGCGGGGGAGGCTTCGCAGGGGTTCCGACCCGTCTGAAGCAATGGATTCAGGGGTACCCAGCTATGCTACCCGCGATGGGCAAGCTCGACCGCCGCCCGGAAGCTCGGCGTGGAGCACGCACCCTCCGCCTCGTGAGCGTGCGTCGTAATGTGCGTATGTACTCTCCCGACCTCGTCAAGACTGCTGCAGGGTGGGCACATCGCCCTCGCGGAGCGGTCTCACCCATGGCCGACCGCGCCTTTGCAGGCTCGAAGGAGTGGGAGCGTGTTGCACCGCCAACCCTCAGGCTAACCCCACGCTACTCGGATGCGTACAAGAAACGTATGGACCTCCCGCCGCACTTCCACCCCGCCTCCGGGACAAATTCATCCTCGTCGACCCTAACTGTGCCATCTCTATCTTCAAGCGTATCTACGTCATCTACCGCGACATCATCGCTATGGGATGATAAGGAGCACGGAATACTCAGCGCTGGGACGAACGAGGACCGATTCAGGAGCTTGACGGATCTCAAATGGGGTGAATTCGAGATGATGGGTTTCGGAAATGTCGGTGCCGATGAAAAGAAGCTGCAGTTTGATCTGACTGAAGGCGCACGGGCGGTGAGTGCCACTTCGAGGTTGTATGAATTCCGGCAGCGCTCAATTCCGATGGCTCGTGCAGGCACGCGCAGCGAAACGTGCAACACTTACATGGCAGGACTTCTCCTCATGCGGCTTCTCGCGCACCGATGCGCCTCTCAATGCCACGCTGCAATTCAGCACGCCAGTGACGAACACTGTAAACGCATGGCCGACTCATTCGGTCGAGATCCACCGTAAGCTGAAGAAGACGCAAAAGTCCTTGCCGTCATTTGGATGGGACACGGAGCCGGTGCTCGGTAGCGAAGAAGTCATCGAAGAGGCCTTCGTGGACGTCTTCTGCGATCTCGTGTATGGTGGCGGCTGGATGGACATCGAGCGCTGTGAAGAGATTGACAGAGATTGTAACTGGGCGTTGGTGAGTATGACGAGACTCGCCCGTGTCTTGACGAGGTTGATTCGCAATCTCCCAGGTTGAGTTCAAGAGTCTGTCAGTGTCGAAACCTGCAACGCCTGGCACTGCCGATCCGCGGGCATCAACGTCGTTGTTCCTCTTCGAAGAATTCGTTCCCCTCGAATATAGACAACAACTAGCCTCGGGAGGACGCAGTCGACGTCGCCTTGGTTCGCTCTTCGGCACCTCTTCAAAATACAAGCAGTGGAAACCTGCTTCGACCCTCAATGGCCGGCCATATGTCGTAGGCCACGTCCCCAGCAGCCCATCGTATCGTGAAGTCGAGTTCGAAGGTCTCTTGCGTGAGAACGGTAGCGCGACGAGGATCATCACTCTCAACAACCTCAACCGCAACGCGAGCACCACCACGGGAAGACAGTCACCAGTCGTCAGCAATGTGGCAACTCCTGGTCATATAGAATCGCCAAATGGGACACCTGCGCTGCGCCTCAACACCACCGGCTCACCTCAACCTCGACCACCCAAACGCCGAGAGGGCACGGACTCTCCGATACCCGCAAATCGACGGCAGTCACGCTTCCGGCTACCGGGAGGGCTACCAGTCAGTCCTGGTGGGCATCGGCGATCAGGCATCCCGCCTGCAGAGTACGAGTCAGTCGATTTCGATGCCCGCTTGGCGAGTTTCTCTGACGACGACCTTTCGTCTCTGACCCGCGACCCCAAAAGCCGCCGGCGCTCGAGAGATGATGCCTGGGTGGACATTTTGGTTGCCACCAGCAGTCGTCGCATGAATGGACAGGACGCAGACATGCCCAACGGCAATCGGTTGCGCAATCGGCGATCGGATCCCGAACTTGCCAGTCAAGAAGTCTCGGAGGTGCTTGCCGCCGTCCGCGGTCATATGCTCTCCGATGAAGAAGACGACATGGAGCCGTTGGCGCCTCCATCCATCCGAGAGCCCATGCAGGACGATGTAGGTACTATGGAAGAGTCGATCATCGACCGATCTTTGCGCGAGCGAGATTCGGCTCTGTATGGTGACGATGAAGAAGAGGACCCCGTTCCAGCACCTCGGACGAAGCGCCTTGGCTATTTCGATTTGCACCCGGAACGGCGTCCTGCGCAGTATGAGCGATCGTCTATCGACAGCGATGCCTACTCGCAGGAAGAGGTCTCGAGCGGCATTCCACGATCTCCTGCAACTCAAAGAGACGACGGGGCATCATCCCTCTACCCGTCAGAAGGTGAAGGTGAAGTTGACACGACGCCTAATCAGTCGCTTGCGGACGTCAACGCTTCGAGCCCGCAGGGGCAGACATTCAGCGCCGTTGTCACCGCCGTCGGCTTGCGCCCGACATTATCTAAGGACGATTCACCCGCTGCCTCTACCTCTACGTCTCCGAAGACAGCGAGCAAAACAGCTTCACTGATTGAAATGTACCGTGAACGTGAGCGGAACGCCACCGCGTCAGTACCGACTGCCCCCGTGGCCGCTACATCACCTGCTTCTAAGTTGCCAGTGCGTTCAGTGTCGTTGCAGCCGCGCGCGGAGACTCTGGCAAGTCAGTCCGCCATGTTACCTGCCAAGAAGTTAACTCCTGGTACTGTTCCGCCACCTCCCGCATCTGAAACAGAGGAATCCGATGTAGAGTCCTTTCTGGCTCTCGAAGACCCCGAGCCGAACCTCCCAAATCGCTACGTGCACGGGGCACCATTGCAGAATGTCATCGAGGAGACAGAAGATGAGGAGTAGGGCCCGACTACCCCAGTGCGTGCCATATTGGCCGACACGTGTATATGCAGTCTCTCGTTTTCACCTGTTTCCTGTACACCACCAGGGGTGCAGGCTCACCGTCCCGAACATCGCCATCTTCTGTCGAACATTCCTACATATACATTATGATGTTTTCGCTCTTGTCTGTCGGCCTGCATTGCTCTCTCGTTCCTTCAAACTTGCACAACGGACTCTGCAAGTCCATACATTCCCTATGTTCACTTAGTTTTTGGTAGTGGCTCGTCGGCCATGTTTACGTTAGTGGGGGTACTATTAGACGCGCTGTTGAGTCTGTGGATATCTACTGCAGGGTAGTTGATTCTCACTTCCGTGATCATGTCGATAGTACATGGCTATACTCATGTTTTTGTGTCGGTATGCTGTTCACAATCACTTATTACATCCGTATGCTCCAATTGCCGGAAGTTTCGAATTAAGGGATACGCATCTGCCATACGCGATGAGAGTTTTCTCTTGCCTCTTAAGCTTCCTTGGATAGACATTATACCCTGTTGAGCTGTGGATTTAAATTGCTGGCAGATGCATAGGGTGTAATGTGCAGGTTATGTTCCTCCTCTTTGCTTTGCATAATCGAGGAACGCACGGGCATCCTCCCAGCCCATTCGCTCACGTTCTTTACCAATCTTCTCCCCCCGCCGAATTTCTTCAGCATTAATCACCTTCCAATCCGCATATTCTAGCACCTGCCCTTCTTTCAGCGCTGCTTCGATTTCGGGAGGCGGCGCATCGTCCTCCACTGTACGCGGCAGGACCTCAGTCTGGATAATGTCGTTTTCTGTCTTTGCGCCCGCCCCAACGTCCACGTCGCCCACAGGGGTTGTTTGCACGTCTTCCCCAGGAAACGCATCGCGTAGAATGGTATTTGCGACAGCGTATGCGTCCATCATCGTGCTGGCGAGCACGCCGCGGGCGCCGGTGGCAGCCCAGCCGCTGGCATAGACGTTGCGCACGGTCAGCCCACTCGGATCAACCACGCGTCCACCGACGGTGTTGATATGGCCCAGAGACGGCTCGTACCACGGAGCACTCGGCTCTGCACGGTGTCCGAGCGAAGTGACCACAAGAGACGTGGACTGGGTGGACTTCTCGCCGGTGGGCACGGCACGGGCCGATGCATCCAACATAGTGTGAGCCAGGGTCAACTGTGCCGGAGGACGGACCCCTGAGGACTCCTGCGCCGCTCCCGTGGGGAGGTCTAGGAGTAGCGGAGAGCGGAAGAACTCCAGCGACCACGTCTTGCGCGTCGTTCCTGGCTTGTTCTTCGAGCCTTTCTGCAGGAGCTGCAAGGTACGCGCCTGCTGGCGCGTCAACGGTTCCCCCCCTGCATCGGGCTCCTTCAGCAGTGCTGGGTCAAGCGGCACCATGGACGCATCTGTGAGGTTCATCATCTCTCGGAGCTCCTTTGTCGTGAACGCAGCCTGCTGGAGGCCGCGCCGGCCGACGATTGAGACATGCTCCACAGCAGAACGCTCGAGGACCGCGAGGACGTGCGCGGGCACGTCAAACTTCGCGAGCTCTGACGGTGGCGTGAGAAGCATGCGCGCGATATCGAGCGAGACATTGCCTTGGCCGATGAGGGTGATATGCTGCAACTGCTGGAGTGGTGGTGGGGACGGACGCGAAGGGTGTTGCGTATACCAATGTACAAGCGACAGAGCGGGGACACAGTAGTCAGATGGCGGAATGGCAGGATGCAGTATAGGTGTGGTGCAACCAGACGAGATTAAGAGGTGAGTGTAATGAGGAAGGAGAGAGGAGAGAGGCAGAGATAGTGCATGTGGTACTGGTGACTGCGTTGCGATGTTGACGTTGCCGAAAAATCGCAGTCGTGGGTCTTCTGCCGCAGTGTCGAATTTGTGCGTGCAATTCTGAACGCGAAGCGACGGTCAGAGAGATACAAAGTATCAGGACGGTATACATGCCTTGACTTCTGGATGATCTGGAGCTACCCCATATCGTACGAGACCGTGGGGTGCCCAGAGCCGATCATACAGATGTATATTGAGCTTAGACGAGCTGCCAACAGGGAGGAGGGAAAGAAGACGGGAGGCGACGTAAAAGGCCGACGGCCCCGCACCTATGATCGCAAGCTTGATTGGTGCCATCTAGTTGGTGTGTACGAGTGTGCTCTGAGGTACAGGAGTCAGCTAGGTATCCCGACAAAATCCGCTTTTGTACGCATATAAACGCAGCGCATATATGCGATCGCTATCTGCGCTGTGAACAAGTGCGAAACTCTTTGATGGTAGCATCTCAGTCATCGAGGTCAAATTCGATAGGAACCTTTCCACTAAACGTCACCATCTTCATGCACTTATATCTCGTAGAGCAGTCGCGAGCAGGTACAACGCGCAGGCCGCCGGAAATACTGGGATGTCGGAAGAACTCTTGCATGAGTTGATCCAGAGAAAACTGAACTTCGTCAATGCAGCGCGAAACAAATGACTCGCCTTTCCAATATCCCTGACGAATGAAGGCAAAGCCTCCTGTCGTGGTCGTCGCAGCTCTTGTCAACAACACAGGAAGTCGTTGTAGGTGACAAATATATGAGTCCGTCAGAGAGACTTCATGCCCAAAAATGCTGCGGAGTGACAAAGTCAAGCAGTTTCATTGCATGCAAACGGCCTCGCGCCGGTTTGCAGACTGAGACAAGCTGTGTGAGCCCAATTCGCGCTCGTTCGGCAGTCACGTGCTCGTGTCTGACCAAGTGTGCAGCCTCAGGTCAAATGCTCTCAAATTCAACAAACTGAAACTGCCTAGTGTGTCCTTGGTTGATAATAAACAGTGTATACAGAACTTGCACACATTTGGTAAAACAGTTCCGCTGAATGGACTACGAGAGCTTCCGAAATTGGCATGCGGCGATAATCGGCCTCTCGGGTGCATCGCACGTGGTCGGGATGCTCTGACGTCCGTGCTGCTCAAGTGCTACTGCACATCGACACCGACGACCGCGACCACTATGTCTGCCTCTCTCATCGCCCGCTCTGCCGCGAGGACACGCGTTGCCTCTGCCTTCACTCGAAGTTCGCTGCGACCGGCAGGCATTGTTGGTGCGTGCAAGCATCATAGCGTCCAGAATGTGTCTCACGAGCAGCTATTGCATCTGGATGTCTTCCGAACCTTCGCGCACTGGGATCAAATTCACCTCGCAACTCGCAACTATATGCGCTTCGTGATGCACACATATAGCCAGGAAGGTGTCGGACGCTGCATACGTCCCCGGCGGACGTGAGTGCCTCCCCATTAGCTCGGTTGTTTCATGAGCGCATCATGTTTGTAGCCATTTACAAGGGCTCTGTCAACGATCCGACTACCTTTCCCCCGCCTTCGAAGACACATGGCTCCTACCACTGGGCGTTTGAGCGCCTACTCTCTGCTGGTCTCGTACCCCTCACCGTCGCCGCTTTTGTAACGAGCGGCTCCAACTATGCTCTTCTTGACGGCATCCTGGGTGTCAGTCTCGTTATGCACAGTCACATTGGGGTACGTGGTTCTCCTCCGTGTGCGGACGTAGAGCGGTTTGAAATCCGGCACAGTCTGTTAATCACCGCCGTTTACAAACACTGACGCATGTCTGCGCATAGTTCGACTCAGTCGTCGTCGATTATCTTCACGCCCGCAAGTTCCCCATTATTGGTCGTGTCATGACATGGACACTCCGGGCAGCGACCGTTGCCACTCTGGTTGGCGTGTACCAGTTCAACACGAACGATATTGGTTAGCGCTCTCTTTTACTCCGCAGGAGCAGCCTCTGATGGTTCTTACTAGGTCTCACTGAGTTGATTGCGAAGGTTTGGCACGCATGAAGGGCTTAACATCCGCAATCACATACTGCCGACCTGGCTACCTGAGTGGGATAGACAAGGGTGTCCGTGATCACAATGTGTCTGTTTGTGTAATTCAAGGAGGTAGAGGCCCTGTTATGATGTATGCCTCTGTTGATCATCGGTCTACGAGGGTACGATGTCTAGGTTGGTCACGGACTCATTTCAACGCTACAAATTGCGGTTTTACCGAGGTAGCTACTTGAGCCTTTGCGTGCACGAATGGTAAAATGCACACGCTGACAATGCAACGAGGAGGATGGTCGATCTATGATGAGACGTCCACAAGAGTCAGCTGTCCAAGATACCGTCAAACCTGGTTAGTTACCATAAGCAACACAATGCCCCTAATAGTTGCACGCTCGGAAGATGAGAACAACACCTTCGCATTCGAGGCAGTGAACGTACTCTTTGGTCCTCACTAAGTGTCGCAGAAGGTTCAGGTTGTATTTCCGACTTCGTTCCGAGGCTATGTGTGTCCATTTGGCTCGGTGGACGCCTGTTGTAGGCCGGCTCCAATACCATCACACTTCAGGCTAGCAGATACCGGCATCCCGCCCTTGTTCCTTGTCCCCGACACAGCAATACACAAACCGAGTAAAACGGTTTGCAGCGCGATCATCACTCTATAGTTGAATGCGGACAGAACAAGGCAAGTCACCTCTGACAGCGGCTTGCCGAGCGCTCACCTGTCCGCCTGTCGTAGGTCTAGTTCCTGTACCGGCAGCATAGGTGCGTTGAACTTTGTCTACAAGCCTAATGCAACACTGCTTGCGTGATTCTGATAGGAAGGTATTGTTCTCCTCTTGTGGGCGTATGCTTGCGCTGTACAGGAGACGTGCAGGAGGCACGCCCCAGAAGACGCTCTGGCAATGTATTTAATACCGCTGAGATGTTTCCTCAAAGCATACCTCATCTTTCTCTGCCACCATACTTTCTTCTTTAACATACTCACTATGAACGGCACCAACAACAATATCGCAGACAGCGACTATGCGCGCAAGCGGCGCGAAATATTTAGCCTGGTGAAAGAACTGCGTGCGCTAGGGTACGTGCGGGGTGTTTGTAACCATGACCTCGCAACGCTCAAATAGAATTTACACAGAGCAGAAAATGAGATCCAGATTCCGCGGATAGCTGTCATCGGGGGACAGTCCGGTACGACCTCCGACAGGCTATTGAACAATTGGGACGTTGGTACTGACGCATTCCATGTAATATAGCGGGAAAGAGCTCGTTGGTTGAGGCTGTAACCGGGGTGAGCGTGTCATGTCGAGTCCTGTCTCCAATTGCTGGCTGACATCAACAACTGTAGATCAGCGTGCCCCGCGACAGCGGTACTTGCACGAGGTGTCCCATGGAATGCACTATCGTGACGCCTTCGGAGCAGAGCAGCTGGTCCTGCTCGGTCTCTCTCCGCCGCAGCGGCCAGCCGAACGAGGCCTTCAGCCCGAGGCTCACGTCGAAGAGTGACGTCGATATCTGGCTGCGTCGTGCGCAGACGGCCATTCTGAGCCCACATGCTTCACCCAGGACGTTTCAGGACATGAGCTACAAGCAGCTGAAGGATCTCACGTCCGACTCGCGCACACTCAAGTTCTCCAGAGATGTGGTCGCGGTGGATATCGAGGATCCGGAGGGTACCGACCTGTCCTTTATCGACCTTCCAGGTAGGTGTCACCAAAAGAGTCAAAAGTTTGACGCTCACAGCCTCAACGATGTTGCTTCATAGGACTGGTCCAGAATGAAGACGACGACATGATTGCACTTGTAAGAGGTCTTGTTGAACACTACATCAACGATCCGGCGACCATCATTATCGTCACCATACCTGCCAGTGGCAAGTTGTCAATAATACCTCGTATGGTGCGTCATGATTGCTCATGTACTTCCCAGACGACATGGAAAACCAGCAGGCCATGCGTCTCGCCAAGGCGGCAGATCCCGAGGGGTTGCGAACCATAGGTCCAGATCTCTCCATTTGAAGGATCTCATCGGTACTAACGTACATCAGGTGTGGTCACTAAGCCCGACTCCCTTACCTCTGGGGCAAGCGGTGCGCGCGAGAAATGGCTCAACATCCTCCAGAAGAAGAGCCACAAGCTCAAACTTGGCTATTACGTCGTGCGGCTGCCCGACGACGACGAAAGGGCCGTGAACCCCTCTCGTCAGGATCTTGAACAGCTTGCTACGCGGTTTTTTCAAGGAAATGTCCCCTGGAGCAGTCTCCTAAACTCTGGCCGCCTCGGTATTCCCAATTTCATCGACAACATAAGCAGGGTCTTGATGAGGATTATCAAGGAGGCGTGAGTCCTCGCTGGGTTTGTGTCATTGACCCCGACATTGACCGGCCCCCACAGGCTTCCGAAACTGAAAGAAGACGTGCACGCGAAGCTGCAGGAGGTTATCCAGCGAATCAATGCCTTGCCCGAAGAGGTGACGGTAGATGCTACCACGGAGATCTTGAACCGCATCTCGAAGTTCTGCACCGACTTGCAGGGAGAGGTTTATGGGCTCAACGACGACAAGAAATTCGTCCACGACAGCCGCGAAATATATCATGCTTTCAAGGTTGCGATTCAGTGCACTGCACCCAACTTCCGACCACTTGAGAACCCCTTGGAATACGCTGCTCTGTTACCGCCTCGAGTGGAGGTCGAGGAAGCCATCGCAGACTTCCGAGATGATGTGCAGCTGGGCGCACCCATCGGATTGCTTGAGGTCCGACAGGTCATTAAAGAGTACGTGTTTCGATGCTTCAATTGCCTTCAGAGTTTGCTGTATCGTAACTGTCCTTTCATTTAGCTCTACAGGATGGGAACTGCCACATAACATCCCATATGAAGCCAAGAAGCGGCTCATTAAACGCTTCATTGACCAGTGGTCCACGCCCGCGCAAGAATGCTATGACGCCATCATTTCTATCCTGTCTAACACTCTCGACGAGAAGACAGAGAAACACTTCGGACAATTTCCGGCCCTCGAGAAGCGTCTCAGGTATGTATGCTTCCTGCATAGGGCGGTAGCTTGCATTGATGCTATCGGGCTACAGCGTAGACATCAGGAGCGAATTAGTCGACTACGCGGAACATGGCCAACAGTGTCTCGTCGACGCTCTAGAGTGCGAAAAGGCGCCGTATTTTATGCAGAACAACCACTACTTCGAAGCCTCGTACAGGTTGTGGCTCAGTCACTATCGTGACTTACATCTCCATCCGTATAGATACATTCCCAGATCGCCGGTTTCCTCACCGGGAAACATTCCAGTAGGTGCGAGCGTCGCCCCAACACCACCAATACCACAAATTGATGCCGAAATCATGGTGATGGCTGATGTGCGCGCCTATTTCAAGGTCGCATATAAGGTCTGTCACGATCATGTCAGTATCCGGAGCGCTGAGCTCATGGTCCACTTCTAGCGAGTCATCGACAACATCCCCAATACGATCCAACGACACCTTAACCAGAAGATGGCAGACAACTTGCAGAACCGGCTCGTTGCTAAGCTTGGCTTGGGTGGCTCAGACTCTTCGCAGCGCCTGGCAGACCTCCTCGCTGAGGATCCAACTACGAAGAACTTGCGCGTGCAGCTTCAGACGAAGAAGAAACGTCTGGAGGAGATCCGGGTGAGAGTGAACAACTTTACCTTTTAGCTGGAAGAGGCTACACTAGGTTGTATCGGCCCAGTTGACTATAAAGTCGAGGTGATTTGACTGCCCATTCTCATACGAAAGTAGAGTTCGCTGTATTTTTTCATGATCTTGCATTGAACAGACCTCCGTCCGTGATGTCAAATACTAGTGACAGCACTAATGAGATACCTTCATATTCGAGAGAAAAATGCCACCTACCCGGATCGAACGAGTGACCTTCGCATGACGTAACCTGTGGTAGGTAGGCCTACAAGTGCGACGCGCTACCACTACGCTAAGGCGGCTCTACAAATTTCACCCAGTGGATTTGTCCTGAGCACCGAACTCCTTCACTCGCCACCGCAGTCTTCCCCACATCAAGAGCTCATGATGTCTAGTCTGCCTACTGGAGACAACATCGCAGCTGATTTTTTACTCACTGAGGTCTTTCAGGAACACACTTGAATCCTATCTGCCAGAATCAAATGGGTGAGAGCATCGTAGTCAACCGTTTGTGTAGAAATTGACTTGAACTCCTGTCACAGAATAGTCATTGACGCTCGAGACCTATATGTATGCATGTTCTCGACAATACTAGCCCCAGCCTCCATCTACTCTCGCGCGTCTAGAGCATCGGCATCACTGTTCCCTCACAGTTGAGGTCATGAGGACCGCTGCTTTCCCACCAATGAATAGCCCACGCCGGCCGCGCCTCGGCTGGACGGGGTCTCCCCTGCCCTGGTTGTGTTCTAGGCGACAATATTTCGAATGAGGCGATATCTCCTTCGCTACATAAAGTCTATACGAAGCAGGCTATTCATTCCGTCACCGTCCACACGACTCGAAGGCGCTGTGAGAACTCGCAAGTTCCGAAGCTGCTCCGCAAAATTACTGTGCTTGTGCCCAGTTGACCTCCATCGCGGTTCCCCACCTTGTCTGCCATGTTGTCTCTTACGCGAAACACCTCGCCCTTTGTGCGGCTAACGTCTCTCGGTCGTGTGCCAAGATCACCCATGGGACAGCTACGACTGGCACACTCTGAACATACCGTGCACAAGGTAAGCCTTACCGTGTACTTATTCAACACAATTACGACTTGAGCCCTGCGAGCAGCATCTGCCCTTCGACTACACAAACAAACGTGCCTTCGCCTTCAAGTACACGACCTTTTGTGTCACTGCATTCTCTATCCCATTCATTGCAGTGGGCTGGCAATTGTAAGCTCTCTGGAAACTTATATTGGATGGCGACACCCACTGATACACAGGCTGGCAACGACAGGCGCAAGTACAGAGGCGCTGCATAAAGAGATCGTGGCGTACTGTGAATGCGCACTTCGACAACGGCATAGGGTGTAGCGTCCGTGCAAATTGCACATCTCTCTTACATGTATAGTAACAATATTCTCTCATCTTTCATGCAGCCTTGAATATAAGACTGTTATATTGAATCGGGTCTCTGTGACTAGCCTTACCCGTTGCGAATGTAGATGCAGCGATCCGCACGCCGCTATGAGGACTTTGTGAGACATGCAACAGTTCGCATGAAGAATAATGCAAGGTACGCTTCGACTGACCGTGACATCGAGATCTCCGTCGCACTTTCTAACATGTGCCACTGTCTAGATCTGTAGGAAAGCTACCCAGTTCCTGCAATCATTCTACAAGTCGTGGCCTGTATTGTCTGTCTACATTCAGATTTCAGTCCACGCGTGAATTATTTAACCCATCGGGATCGCCATTGTCCGCTCGCGAGCTTATAAGGTAGCACAACGGCTGTTGCACCATTTTCTTCATTGTTCACACACGGGCAGGCCCCTTGACCCTTTCACTTATACTCATAGCTATCTTCGCCGTGGTGCACTTGCGCTTATGCAGTCAATGCAATTCTCTGCGTTCTCCCCGGTGAGCCTTTCTAAACAGGTGTGCAGCTGCTCTTCGCCGTGCTAATTGTCAACGCGGGTGTCGCTACAGGCATGCACTGACTTTACTGAAGAAGGTGAAGCCATACCGTGCGGCGATCCACCGAGCGGTGCGATGTTCGAGACCGACACGAATTCCCCTATGGCGACTTCCGGTTCCGCTGTCCGCAGCAACGACATGATAGAGCAGCAAACTAGGCCACACGGCTTTCCATCCCTTCGTGATGCCATACCGTCCTTTGATGATAACCAGGACGAGGCGGGTTCGTGGGGCGATGAGGGCATTCTGCCGCCCGTTGTCGAGCAAGATGAAGTGCACAGCGGCAGATCCCTGTTCGCTCCCGTCGGCTCATGGCTGTCATCCGTGGGTCTCCGCAACGTCGTTCGTCCCTCGAAGCCCCGCGCAGGTCCAAAGGCCATGCTTATGAAGCTCACGAGACGGCGTCGGAGGTCGAGCTCAACGAGCTCGTCGCATCATCACCTGCTAGCATCGCCAGGAAATTCGGATGGCACGCGCATGTCTGTTCCCTCGACGCCTCCGCGCTCGACACTGTCTTCGGCGGCGGGTGACAGTCCGCCCAGGTCCAGTACCCGGAGCGCACGGAAGTTCTACAAGAGCGTGTCTAGGGGCTCGGAGACGTCGGTGCTGAAGAGCTGGGACAGCATATCGCAGCAGATTCGCTCCCAAGCGTCCAAGAGGCGTAAAGTCTTCTCGCGCAAGAAGGCCCTGCAGACATTAGGGCCAGAAGCCATATCTGCGTTCTCGTCTGCGAACAGTAGTGACGACATGAAGGCCCGATAGTACGGACTAGGTGGCGCGAGCTTCTTGGGATGTTGCCAGAGAACGCTTATGCTACGCAAGTGCTGTTATGTATGGTTGTAGGCAGGTCCCTGCTATACAATTGGAGCTACACTATCGTGAGGCATTCGACACGGTGTCAATCTGACTCATTTTTGTACACTTTCTATCCGCCACGACACCGAATTTCCAAGTAAGCCTTCTGCTTCAAGATGCGAGAGAGTCGACTTGTAAGCTCTAGAGGTGATATCTGGGGTACTCGTCGTTCAATTGTTTGCAATTATTGCATGACATATTGTACATCGCTACTTGTGCGATGCTGTAAGACCACAGCGTACTCACGTACTGTACATGTTACGGCGTTTCCTTGAGACGGACAATTCCTTCAGATAGCTCCAACGGGAGATGCGATTCGTGCTCGTCCCGCCACGCTAGGATCTTCTCGTAGTCCCTGCATTGATGCCATGTATTGTAGTCAGGCCAAGGGTTAACGTGGCCCTCCACCCAGTGGAAAACTAGCAGCCCGACGTCCCCGGTGCACATGATCTGCTGTCGCAGCATCTCGACACAGTGGTCTGAAGGACGCCGCCGTGAGTGATTCATCTTCAAGATCAAGTCGTAACACTGACCCAGATGGCTCCGCCACACTTCGGGAGTAGTCTCATTATGATCGTAGGAATCGGGGTATGTGGCTTGGCGCAACATATTCTAGCAGCATGTCTATAATTAGCCAAGTGCATCAGCCTAGAATGCAGTACCATACCAGACAGTGCAGTTCATGCACGACCTGTAGCTCAGCAGCATACCCTCCGCCCTTCTTGTATTTGAGCATTGATGGTGCAGCTGACTTTCCTGATCGTGAGAGGTCATCATCCGTGACCGCTATCAGCCCTGTGTATTCGACAGCGCAGGGTGTAAGCATGTTGCAGCAGAGAGAAGACACTGTCACAATACTGACGGATCTTTGTGATTCTATCCCATGCAGCATCGAGCTCGGCTGACGGATGGCCCTCGAAGATGGACGGATGTGTCACCGAGCCGTTGAACAACATTGAGCGGTATTCTATAGCCTCGTCCGCGGGTGCTGTTACCACACATGAGCTTACGACTTCCTGTCCTCTCGGACATTAGCACTCACATGGAGTCGATTGCTGTCGATAGGTGGAGGGTCGGAGTGAGACGAACAATATCAGCCACAGGCAGAACAAGCTTGTGTGGATGAGCCATGGGCACCATCGCGCGGATGCGAGGCGTCGTTTCGGCCTTGGGGGCGCCTCGATCAAATCCTCTTGAGACTCGCTGTCGACTTTTCCGTACAGCGCGCTCATGTCAGCGATAGAGAGAAGGGTCAAGAGCGTGGCGGCCGGGACGTCACTGGACTTGGTGGTAGGACGCAATCATTCGACGACATCGCAGGCTGATGACCAACAAGCATTGTTATACCGCGGGGATCGCGTTTGTTGACGGGCCATGTACCGGTGCATTTACGGGAGCTCTGCCAGTGTGCAACCAACCTTCTTGGATTCTCTTCGGCATTGCCGTGAGATAAATTCAGCCTGTGCCGCGCTAGTTGTGCACAATTGTAATGATCCGAACACTCAGGGAACAGGGAAGGATGCTATGCACAGCCGTGGTCCCCTATCAGAAACAGTGTCCCATGCTCAGCGCTCAGCGCTCAACTCCGATCGAGATGCCTATGGAGCGGTCCGGGTGATGGGTGACTTCAAATTGCGATACGCTTTCTCAAAAATTAGTTATGAAATTGAGTGACCAGATATGTCATATTGCTGTCTATCAAAATCATAGATTAAGAGGCGCAGACTCTGTCAATTCCAACCCCAAGCGATGTATCGATGTCGTCTCAAGGTATTTGATAAGTGCGCGAAATGATGGTTGGGAGTTCCCTTGTGGGAAGATGAGATTTGAGCAACCGGCTCATCAAATCGTCAATCCCTATGCTAACTTGTGAATCCACCTGCAAGCATGACTATTTGCTCGGATCGCTTCAAACTGGCCAGTAAGATGCTTCCATAGCTCTTGAAGTCCCAGCAATGTCTTTGCGTGGCCGCAATTGCATGTACGTAAAACACGTCACCTGTAAAAAGGTGTCCTGATTATCTCCTCCAGCTTTATTGTCCCATGCTTCACATCTAAATTATCTGATATCAGGATGTTTCGCTCCTCCAGCGCGACCCAGACATCAAATCGACTCACTTACCCTCTGAGATAGATAGTCAACGATCAACTGGTTTCTCGCGCGGTCTGATCTTTCTGGTTCCTTGCCACCGCACCGTACACGGCGCTCCAGTCGAGGCATCTCCGAATTGGGTGTGGATCGAGCACGTCGCCTCCATGGTCATATTGGAACGGGTCGACTTGAGTCTCACCCCGGCAAAGGAGCATCTGCTTCAAGTAATGCATGCAGTGCTGCACGCGCTCGATGTCTCGCACACCCTTCGGCACGAGCAAACCCTCCCGTACGACGTCGAGGCACCGCAGCTGATGCAGCATCGACACCATGTGCGGCTCGTGGTCGGGGCCGACGTAAACGAGGCCGTCACCGGGGACCAGTGCCGCCCACTCCAGCGATGCGTTCAGACCGTAGCGGAGGCTGCTATCCCATTGCTGCAATACCGGTGGTCGTTCCACAGTCCAGGGGCCTACGAATAGCAACCCAGGTGAGTGAACATTCAGGAGCATCGTAAGCAGTCTTGCCTCACCATCGTCATGTCTATCGAGCGCGTTCGTGGTCCATACTAGAGCCGTTAGCTTACAGATAGTGACGATGGCCAGGAAGGCAACGGCGCAAGAGAGTAAAAAATGCTCGCAGCTCCTCGCTTTGTGCATGGATCCCGAGTGGGTTGAAGAACTGCTCCAGGGTGCTGGGATGACGAAGGCGGTTACCTAACGACCAGGGGTATAGCTTTCGAGTCTTGGACTACTCGCTGTACAGATGCTTGGCGAGCCTATCGCTCGTTCTTACATTCCTCCGACCTTCGACGGCGAATCGTTTCTTCATCAGCTTCTTTCCTTGCATCATCTATCACCGGGAGCAAACGAGCGTGCATTCTTTGTATGACACGGCCTCAATTGAAGGCTGTTCTACAATCTGGAGCCAGAATCCGACTACTGTTCCCATGGCCCGACGATGCCGATGCTGCCCCATGTGCCTACTCAGCGCGCTCTTGTGTGGGGTAACCGATATACTGCGTGTTCTACAAGCCGCAGCGTATCGGATATCCATGCTTTACCATCAGCATCATGGGTTCTATATCAAGGCAAGCCTCGCCTTCACGAATGGTGACTCATGTATTTGTGACATCTACGTTGCCGAGCGCTATTTCATCTACGTCACGAATGTTATACATGTGAAAATGCTGCTTCCACGAGGTCGCGACATGGCTAGACTCGGACAACTGGGGCATGCTAGTGCTGGCGTTTTGGCTTCTTTGCTTATTGTTGGAAATGCATACCGCTCCACGAGTTCGTACTCAAATCGGTTGTCTGACGCCGAGTGCTCGAAGCGTCCGTCACTGCTCCCGTGCTGTATACGCGGACTGGACGTGTCTGCAGCGCAATCACACCTCAAATTGTCTGATACTGATACAGGTAGACCCCTAGTCAATCATATCTGGGTTAGCAGGTGGCTCGGCTGGCTCGGCTATGGAAATGGACTCACCCCACGCAGTGCTCGCGCTCGACCACACATCGACGGAGCATCCCGGCTCCGCGCATGACACCTCGAAGGTATGGAAGGTCCCCCAAGCGCAAGGGAAGCGCGAAAGCTCCATGTCATCGCCTGGAATGACGTTCACTGTCGCGATGTGCTCCGAGCATTGTGGGCGCGAGCGCCAGGTGACTTGTTTTACGTCAAGCAGCTTAGCGACGTCCATGGCGCAGATGTTGAGGCTGAGCGGGTCGCTCATGGTGTACGATATGCCGTCGGCTTCTGCGAGGCGGTCGTCCGGTAGCCGCAGGACTAGTGAGCATTCCTCCATGCCAAAGTCGATGGTCCGGAACTGCAGGATGGTGTTCGTCTTGCGGAGACGTCTCAGTACCTCGTGTATAAATATCATGGCCACACAAACCTCGTCATTGACTTGCAAATGCTTTTCGCGCGGGGAAAGACGGCCGCTGGGGGTATCGACATCGTGCTCTCCTCGGCTTCCTGGCAGCGAGGGCTTCTCGCGATAGACTTGCGTCGCGATGCGCGCCTTGTTGAGGATAGGCTCGATGCTTGACGTGTTGGTGCCTCCGACCTTGTAAAGCTCCGCAAGGCCGACGTATGGGTTGGGCCAGTCCAGGTCAGAGTTGTCCATCCAGGTATTGCGGACTATGTCCGCAATCCAGAGGAGCGCAGTGAAGTCGACGATACAGATGAAGAGGAAACATGCAAGGATAGACGAGGTTGCTGTCCATCCTCGTTTCTTCGTTGAGTGTTGTCCGCTTCGTTTCTCTGACGTTCTAAGAAGTAAGCTCAAGCCTGGTATCCTCTTACCTTAGCACGTACCTGTGGATGCCAGAGGCTCCTCTTGGAGCGAGTCGGAATCCTCTAGTAAACCGGTCCTCTCTTCGTGCAAGGAGTATTCAGACATGACGGGCGCCGGCATATGAAGTGGACGATCAAACCCCACTCTTCCCCTTATTGTTGCTCGTGTTGAGAGCCGCTGGGATTCAGTTAAGCATCCGCAGCGTGATTTTGATATCAGGGTCATTGCATGCATTCTACTGTGACCAATTTGTTCCCGCTGAATCACGCATAACGGAATTCTTGATCGTCTATCCCATATCTTCCGATGACCAGCTTCTCCGAACTTGTCGCTGTGCACATCATGTGGTCTTATCATCAAGCGTACAAACTCGCGAAGTCACTGTACAAGCGATGCGACGTGTCACGGCGTAATCGTCTACATCATCCGTTCGCCTAGCTTCGACTCAGATGGCTGTGCGCCTCAAAAGGACATAAGAAGGCCAATCCTTCCATGGAGAAGGCATCACTCGGAAGCCCTTCAGCTCGAAGCCCATGCTTTGATAGATTTTGGACTAGAAGGATGCATGGATCAAGAGAACGGTGACATGGCGAGAATGTGTGCTCTCACCGTCTTCTCTAAGCTAGTCGCAAGCGCCATGATAGTACCCGTCTCCTTCGCCTGCCGTAGCTCTGTCAGCCAATGCGATTTGAACCCGCGGCATGCTGACCTTTGCGTAGACCAAGTCGAATATCGCGGTTGCTACACCCTTGTTCTGATAGTCTTCCCGAACCATAGCAAAGTTGCACCAGTACGTGCTCTTTTCAGCCTGACATGTACCGCGTGAGATGTGTCTGGAAGGATGTCATGTAGATCCCCCTCACCTCCGCAAAGCCAAACGATTCTTCTAGGTGTTTGGGAAATTCTTTCCCTAGCTAGGTCGTTGATGAGCAAGGGCGCGGCTTTTCTTCTGATCTATTGTATTGCTGTACTGACCACGTTCTCGATGTAGTCTCGGCCTTCAGGCGACAGCTTTTCCCAGAATTGGTTGAAACCGAGCTGGCGCTCCTCCTCCCTGCAAACTGCTTTGTCGTCTGTTCAACTGTCTCGACATATTATACTTACGTATCCAATGGTACTCGGCCCGGAGGGATCCACAGCGCAAAGCCGACAAGCGTGTTGTCCTCATCGATCGCAGCATACATGTCTCCCGCGATGAGAGCGGAAGCAGCTACAACACCTCGTGCCCAACCCGGAAACAGATCGAGGTTCCCGCCTGTCACTGAGGGTACTGCAGGGTCTGATACATGCAATGAGTTGCCTCGATGCGGATGTATCTGAGAGTCTACACTAACCGTTCAACATGAGCTTGACAACTAGTTGTACAGCCTCTTCCACCAGTTTTTCTCCAAATCCAAGCATTAACAAGACATCTATGGGAGAATGTGGCCACCACACATACCATCGGGTTTCTCAATATAAGATATTGCCAGGTTTGAAGGAGCCATTGTTCAGAGTCACCGTCTTGGCCAGAGTAGCTACTCGGTTTCAGGGGCTATCCGCAGCGACCTTTTAGAATGTCGCGAGGCCGATGGCCGAAAGTTCGATTGACCGATGTGATGGACCACGACCACAAGATATCGACCTCCTCCTTGCAAACTCCATACGCTCGCCGCGGAGGCCTCCGAGACTGCACAGGCATTCGATGTCATAGGAGACTATCGATGGCGCTCGTGATTAGGTTCCGCGTCTTATTGTGATCAGAGGCAGATTCCAGGTGTGTATTTTGTTCTACGGAAAGAGCTTCGGCGGAAAGCAGTCTGAGACTGCGATCATGACATAAAATCCATTCACAAAGTTGCCCGTTGGCGTAAGATCTCACGTCAGCGAGTGTCCTCTGCCTAAACTGTGGGCCGGTATAGCAGCAAGAAATTTGTCACGACTGGACTGTGTCATTCCTATACTTCAAATCAGGCACCCTGTCCAGTGCCATAGATCCCGTATATCGTCCACTCTCTTCCTGTCAGAACTACGAGACATGGCAAAGATTTTGCAATAAAGTCCGAGAACTTTAGCCCCTTGACATTTAATTCAACATCTGGAACCGCCGAACCTAGAGATGGTGGGGCAAGTTCCTATTATCAATTTGAACAATCCTACGAAGGCCCAAGCACTCGCCGGTGTAGAAATTCAAGACATACGGTATCACATGCAGAGGTTGATGTTGTTCCTTCCGACACGCAAGCTTTGCGGCGTCAGTGCTGGGCGCTCAGAAGCTCAGCTCCCAGGCTGGCTTAGAGTCTCAGAAAGGGTGTTCCTTTCTTGATGAGCCATATGGCCACGGGCGGTCCATGGAACCGCGGGACTGGTACACCTGCGTGATGCACGGTGACCGTGCGACGAGCGCTGCATCTACACAATGGCAGCACGAGCGTTTTTTACATTCAGGCTTTCACACGAATTCCGAAATCGAGAACCAAAGCACTTACGGCGCCAGTACATGGCCTCCGCTCTCATGTGTGCAGCATTTCCCCGGCTTTAGATGAGAGGTTGCAAAATTCTCCTGCGACACGCTTCCTTGAGAGACCGTTCGTAATGCCCCTTTCGAAACTCCGTTTCTTGCAGGTATCCCTCGTCTGCCTGGCACTAGCGAACGCCTATTTGGACCTTTCATGGATTCGCATAACGAAGCATTATGCTACTCAGCGAGAGCGCCCCTTGTCCCATTACAGTGAGCGTCTTTGAACACTAAACCCATTCCTTTTGCTGACTTTCCACGATGTGGCAGCATTCATTGAGGATGATCTGCCTACATCCTTATCACTTATGTCTCCTCGACCTGCCGTCATGATGTCGATGGAAGAAACCACTCGCTATTCGCTCACGAACCCAGAGGGGTCTGATGAATGGCTATGGGCTGGTCCCGTCGGGGACCAAGAGGTCCGCCTCGGCCCAAACAATCGTTTCTTCTCGCTCGCCTTCACCCACGAGCTGCACTGCATGCAGCGGATGTTTGGCATCCTGCAGAGGGAGGAAGCCATTCCGGAGGACGAGGCCGGCCATTCGACGCACTGCCTCAACGTCCTGCGTCACTCGGTGCTCTGCGGAGCCGACATCACTCTCGAGCCACCGGATGTCCTCACTCGCAACATTTCGTCGGAGAGATTCATTGCTGACTACCAATGTGTGGATTGGCAGGCCATGTACAAGGCGATGCGAAAGAATTGGTTGGAATGGAAGGGTCAGAGGGCACGGTATGCCCAACCTGTTCTGTGACCGGAAGGCCGGGCGCAGGCTATCGAAGCTTACACGCTGTACAATTGACTATACTCCTGGAGAATACAAATCCAGGAGCTGAATGACGACGTTGGTGCTTCAGACATGACACCGATAATACTAGCTTGCCGTGGCAATTAAAAGTCATAATCATACATTGACAATATCAACAGATGACAGGTCGCCTCCTTTCTCCATTGCTCGCAGGCTCACGTCTATAGCATCGTTGTCCACACTATTGCTCTGACCAGAAGTCTCCATGGTCTCCCCTGGTGATGACACGAACTCCATCGTGGTCATCGCCGCACCTGTCTGCCTTGTCCACGCACGTCCAGCTATGACGCGCATCACGATCAGTTGCGGAGAGATCGCCTGCCAGCCAGCCACGTCAGCTCCGTACATTTGAGCAAAACAGAGTAGCTCACAGTGAAAAGCACGTAGAACGACATGAAGGTCATCTCCAAGCCGTTGTTCATCCCGTACGTGACGAGGAACATGATCCCGAAGACACTAAACGGCAGTGCAGACTCGATGACGATCGCGAGCGCGTTCATGTATGGTTCTGCCGCGGCGTAGTCGAGCTCCCTGCGGGCGCGGCGCGCAAAGTAGAAGATCCGGCCGCAAATCAAGCAGGTGACGATGACATTGATGCCTATGGTCCCGCAGTTGTACGCGAGCGCAACGTCCGCCGCCTGGCCCGCGAAGAAGTCGCCGCTGGGCTTGCCGGACATGTAGAGCGTCGCGATGCCGAGAGCTAGAAGCCGGGTCAGCGGGCTACAATCAGAGCACCGGGAAGAGTCCGCTCACCGAAAGTACTAATGTACAGGAAACAAGGGAATATAACGATAGCGAAGCTATTGTAGATCACGAAGCATCGGTAAATCTAGGCAGAGCTCAGTACGAGCAGAAGAACAGTGTTCCATATTCTCTCACCATGAGACCGTCGGCAAAGAGGTTGAGCACGACACCCGCTGCAGACCCCATTGTCTCATACCACACAGACGCATTAGCGGCAAACCACGCGTTCATGCCTCCAGGGTAGTCTGCATTGACGATCCACATCTCCTCCCCGAATATCGACTCGACGATAAGGTTGATTGTCGACATGGTGAATAGTACGGTGCTGAAGAACATGAAGAACTTGTCGGAGTCCCTACGCGTGTGTTTTCTCTTCTTCTCCAACAACCAATACATCGTTGTGAGATAAAGGACCAGCTCGACCCCTCAATATTCATTAAGCTTGGCTTTAGCAACTCGATACTGGTATTTGCTCACCGTATAGGACACCATTGATGATGTTGCCAATGTAGAACGAGTTCTGGAACAGCGAAGACATGATGGGTCAAGGCTGGGGGTATCTTCGCTGCGCTGGCAGGCAATACTGCGATCCGTCGATAGGGAAGGATCCCTATGCCCGTCTAAACGGGAACATTACATTGATATAAACCTTACCTATGGCGCTTGTATGATCTCAACGTGCTTAAATCATGCCGGACAGGACGTGGGAAACGGTACTAAGATACCGATAGAGAAGCTTGCCATCGTACGTTCAAAGCTCATCATTCCCCTGGACGCCGAATTCATATGTTCGTGAATCTTTTTGACATGGCATCTGACTCCGCTCAAACATGTAGTTTGAGTTTCAATGGATGCATGTTAGATCGCGTTTACGCACCCGGTTGCGCAATACATAAGAGGGGCTGTTCCTGAAAGTGCAAGGGCTGCATTCACACGGCAGACATCTCGGACCTATTTGTCGCCAACTGGCAACTGGTACTGCCCGTCTGTGTGCTTTCGGCAGGAACCGACGCCACGACTCCAGTCCGGTCGTGATGACCATGTTGCCAGCATGTCCAGATCCAAGGCAAGGCCCATTCAGCGTGAGAGTATGCTTGAAGAAGCTGGATCATATGAGCGCTCTGTTCTGATAGATAATCAAAGCGGAGCGCGAAAGGGTCCTGCCCGAATGAGGAGCGACATCATCCGGGGCTTGCGGGCAAGAGAGCGCGGAAGCGAAGAAGCTAGAGACCGCGCCCAGTGCGCGCGTTCAAAAGCAGAGAACTGCGAGCTGTACAGCAACCCCCGTCGATATGCTCTTTCAGCGACTTTCCCTCTTCTTCGCACTTGCAGCCTTCGCCGTGTTGATGTCCGTGCAAGCAAGGCCGTTGCCTGAGAAATCGGCCATAGGTACCTTGAACAGCCACATGACTCCAACCGAGCCATATCTAATGATTGTTCGGCAGTCCGTCAGGATACGTACCTGGTTAAGCGGTCGAATGAGAATGCAGAAGTCGATGATAGTGACCCAGACGGTCAGGACTTCGTGTCTTCATTGAGCCATGGCTCACATGCCCGCCTTAGACTCCTTACGGGCGAACGTATTCATTTTCAACCGTTCTGAGGACGACACTGTATGATGACTAGGCCGTCCCTATTGAATATCCTCTTTAACTTCCATATGGTGAGGATATGTTAATCTCTCTAGAGCTTCATGAATCATACCGCTGACCTTTCAATGAAGCTTGTTGCGTGTTTTCATTGTACACACACGACTATCCTGTAGCACTAACTGATTACCGACTGGGCAAGGATGTTGCTGTACTTCTCGTAAAAGTGTCCGTTCTGAGATTTGAAAGAGCTCCGCAACAGCAATAGACGAGAATGTCATGAATCGGGAGCAGACGAATTTCAAGATAAGTATTGATCGAGGTTCTAGCCGTGCCCATTCTTGGTTTATGTAGTCGTCATCAATGGGTTTGAGATCCGATAAGATTACGTCACAATTTCATCCTTCGAGAACAAAATAAGTAATTCGAACGGCGTGTGATTTGGCTAGTATTATCCGCAGAAAGCCTTTCACTCTGCTAGGTATGCCTGTCCGCTAGATATGACCAATGCATTTGGCAGAACCTGTCCAGCTGGCAAGTACACTGGTGTATAGTACTTCCTAATGCATGTAGCACCTATACTGGGGATTATGTAGTGTTTCTCAAAATGGGTTTATCCATTGCTGCAAAAGTGTAAAGGTTACGTTAAATTAATACAAAATCCACTGTCAGGCAGCCACGAGGGCAACCACTATGTAAAACCTGCATCTTCTGCCGCAGGTAGCAATAGCCTCTGGGAATTCTGCTCACAGCATTGCACTCTCCTGATGCATGCGTGATTGCGTTGCGGCGCAGCACTGCATTATACCATCTGGTTACGCAACAGTGCGAGCTTGAAGAGTATCGCTGCCGTGCAGCACTTCCAATGATTATCATGCACTCTCGAGGCGCTGTTTCCCGCGGCGCGTCATGTAAAGCCGCATGCACCTCATGCCATAATGATACGTACTCTGCGGCACACGAGTACAGTGGGGCCCGGGGAAGGAAGACGACTAAAGCAGCGTTGTCCAGAATCATGCGCCCGGCGCATTCCATCACGGTTTCTTGTCTTTAGACGATGGAACTGATAGCGAACATTGGGTGCGGCGATGGGTTCCCGTTCCTTCCATTCGCTCATCATGCGGTCAAGATTTCGAAGCCTTCGCTCTCGGCGCTGTTCTACGATGGAGAAGCACGGGTGGAACACGCCCAATATCCCCCACATGCATAACAAGCCAATGACTTGAACCCGCCCCACGATAGGTCTTCAGTTTGTCTCCAAATGCAGTTCTCGCCGCGTCGAATGTTGGCTTCCTCGTCACAATGGAGGTCATCGCCCGGATTCGTGACCTTCGGTACGCACATACATCCCTCGTTCTATGTGGGCGTTTGATTGAGAATTACTCACTTCGTCTTAGTTGTAACCCTGGGTATGTCGGGGAAAGCAGGAACACTTGTATAGTCTGACCACGTCGTAGGACTGACCCTCGACAGTTTAAACTACAACATTGTTGTATCCGTGTTTCCCTTCAGGCTCGAGGAGCTCAGATACCATGAGATCTCCAGTCTCGTCGGATGGCTTCTTTTCATCTACGTGCGTCGCGTGCGTTTCGTTTAATTCTCTTCATTCACGACGTGCTCGAAGTCTGCTGGTCTGGTTGTAGGTACGCCGTCGAGCAGTCGCGCGGACAATCATGTAAAATCCGCGCCGCAGCAACGCCGCTCATCGCAGCGGTCTCCGAGCGACTACGTTCAAGGCGGCTGATCATGCTAGCGAGCCAGTTCACTCTCATTGCATCTCAGCTCTTGCTTATGGAGGCGCCGACGTTCTGGGTGATGTGCCTTGGTCGGCTGTTCGAGGGAATAAGCACTGCAGCAATCTTGATCGCCGGGTTGGCACTTATGTGAGTGCCTAGCGCATCTGTAGATTGGCGGGAATTGACGCGCCACCGACGTCAGCTGCGACGCGACACCAGAAAAGGATATCGGAGGTACGGGCAAGGATGTGCATCTTTTGTGTCTTGATGTCAGGGCGTCTAAGACGATCACCAGGGCAGCTCGGGGTCGCCATGATCGGTGTGCCTCTTGGGTGAGTCGACGCCTTGAGTGATGCTGTCACTCATCTCATAATAACGCAATGCCACACCCAGTTCACTTGTTGGTCCGCCCGTGGGAGGCGCGCTCTACGCACGATGGGGCTATCGTGCCCCATTCATTTTTGCCATACTGTTCACAATATTCGACTTCACGGCCCGGCTTCTCGTCAAGGACAACTTCGAGGGCTCGCACAAACAAGAAAAACAAGTCGCCGGCCAAGCGGACTCAGAAGCCGGCAAAGAATCTGCAGCTACAGCGAATGAGAACTCTGCATTCGTGCCAACGGATGTCCTTGCCACCGAGGGCCCCAAAATCGAACTGTCGATGGTGGGCGTCGTGGTCCGGCTTCTGACGTCTGTGCGGGCGCTAGTGGCTCTGATCATAGTTTTCTTCTGCTCGTGCGTATTCTTGGGGGCTGCCTTCGAAATCGTCTGGCTCACCCTCACTGATCCTCAGTGTTGCGTTTGCTGCACTAGATGTCACCATACCGCTCCGTCTGCAGGCCATCTGGGGGTACAATTCTACAAAAGTGGGGCTGGTGTATCTTGCAGCGATTATTCCGACGATTATATGTACATGCGTCTCTTTCCACCGCCACCCTACTCTATGCTCATGATTCCCCGTTGATAGCTAATGCCTCGGCTGGCGTATTGAGCGATCGCTTCGGGCCATCTCTGGTCGCCGTGGTCTTGCTGGTAGCGGGGATCCCATGGTGGGGTCTGCTCACCCTCAAATTCTCCGTGGCTTTCTTCATTGTGTCTTTTGCCATCGAGAGTAAGATGGTCGCCTTCGTCATGCTGATCTATGCTGAACTCTTCTGCGTAGATCTCTTCATCGCGGCTGTGGCATCTCCACTCACAGCAGAACTGGCCGCCATCACGCGGAAGATAGACGGTGTTGGTTGTAAGTACTGCATCGGCCGTTCATTCTGACACCGCATCTGATGTGGTGTAGATGCACATACCTACGGGACGTTCAACATCGTCTTCGGAGTTGCGAATGCTGGTGAGCTATGTCCCCTTTGTTAGAAATCGACATCTCACTGGGGCTCTCCACCGCAGTTGGTTCGGTCATGGGTGGACAGGTATGACCATGTTCACGAAATCTACGCAGAGAGCTCACGACACTATCAACAGATTTACAGTCATTCGCCCATTGGCTGGGACATTCTGTGTTACATCAACATCGGCATTCTCTCGCTCTGCCTTTTCCTCACCCTCGCATTCGTCGGGGAACGTCCGCTGCTGCATGCATGGAGACGCCGAGAGAAGGACAATGCGTCGCTCGGCGACACGTCAGATCCAGAGAAGAACACGGAACCCGCGTCCCTGTCGGACAAGACAAAAGATGTGGCAGTTGTCGACGAAGTGCTCCGTGATGCATAAGAATGTACAATGCTCTGTTTTTTCGGCATTATGCGAGATACACGCTGTTGATCCTTGTATAACATCGTGCGCTAACAATCTGTATTGATGTCAATTCCTGACGCCGTGTCTTGTGTCACTACTATCAAGACCTTAAGGATGTGAACATTCAAGTAGCGATCTCAGTAGACGATCACAGTGCTCTGTATTGGGGTACTGTACGTGTGTAATTGTTTCGTCCTTTCATGCACACACTCATCTGAAGCTGAACTTGGTACAGCGCGACTTTGTTAAAACCTGCTTGACTAAAAAGTCCAAAAGCGGGGCTGTGGAGAGGACACGACCTCGATCACGGGGGCTCATGACCCAATTTAGAATGATCACGTCTTCGCCGCCGTGTGTCGTCATCGTAGCGGGTACTCCCATCGTGTCAGTTTCCATCGCTGCGATCACCGAGTACATTCGTATACATTGCACGCTCTGCGCCTCAGACACTCACAGCAGGTTAAGCAGTAAGCAGTTGTAGCCATGCGTTTCATTGCTGTTAGCCTGCCCGTCAATCCCGAAGGCGAGTCCATTCGCCTCACCAAAGACCAACTCTACCAGGGTCTGCTAGTGAAGGCTCGTGAGCCAAGGTACGTGCACACGTCAACCGTACCTGTAAGTCTCTGGCATGCTCAAACGCCTTCGCCAACATCCAGCCGCTTCGTGTCGGCCATCTCGACCTGCAAGGTCTTGCGCGAAAACACAACAGGGCTCCTGCGTGAGGTGCAGTTCAAGGGACACCCTGCGCCCGTGCACGAAGACGTGACGTACTACCCGCCCGCACAGGTGACTGCCTATATCGTTCGGTGCACTGCTCTCGCTGACGTTGGACTGCATCTGCATTTCTTCAGCTCACCTTCATGATGACAGATCCTGCGACCGGCGCGCACCGCGCGCAGATCACGAACCTCATCAGCACAATGCCAACAACGCGTGGTCCGGAGCTCGTCCTCACATTCGCATTCGCATGGGGCCCGGTCGGTGAGCTGGACACGGGCGCGGACGCGGATGCGCTCGAGCATGAGCGACGAGAAATGGCGGAAGAGGCGATTGCGCACACGTTGAACGTCATACGGGAGATGGTAAAGAACCAGGAGATTCAATGAAAGCGTGAGGAGCTGCACGGAGAAATGCGCTTCTTATTGATTGCTGCCTTCCTGAGCTCGAAGTCAGCGTTTGGGCTACCCTGCGCGAGTGACGTACGAATAGCATGGATTGACACTTTGAAACCGTCACAAACGCAATATGCATCAACATCGAGATCCGTCGACTGATCTCGTTCTGGTGCGAAGATCAATCTGTGGTAGGCATGAGAGGCTTGGAACATCCAGATTTTGCTAATGTTTCAGTGTTGTGTATGGCGCACACTTACCAACGCATTCTACAAATTGAGCCTTTCTCTAGCCACTATGTTCTGCACAGTGCAATCGAGGAAGTCTACTATCTCAGTAACAGCACGCCGCAGCATGAACATGTACGAAGTCGAGATCTACGCGTCATTTCCCATGATGGCATATACTAGACAGCTAATTTTGCTTACAACGTGTTTCTAGGAAGCGAAGCACCACGGTAGAAATCAATCACTGTCGCATGTCAAAAAAACAAATACTGAGCCGGTAGAAGGTCGAGTCGACCCGCGCCAAGTTGGTTTCAAGATTCTCATTTCTGTGGAAGCAACCGGGAAAATATATGACCACTCGGAACCTCAGGAGGTTGATAGAAAGCTTCTGCTGGACAGGAGGGAAGGAGGGAAGACAAAATGAAGCCGATGCTGGATTCATCATGATCGCGTGACGAGAGGAACGGTCGAATCCAGCATGGGTATAAGCGGTGGACTGTCGTCGAGAGCTCGAGGAATGTACGAGAATTGCGATGGCGCGCAGACGGAGAGCCGCAGGATCACGAGAGTGCGGAATGACGACGGGTGGAGGAGAGAGGGCGGGCGGCTCCGTTTGCCAGTGACCTTCTCCTCCCCGGCCGGCAAGGGCTCTACTACTTCAGAACCAACTCGGATCCACACACGCGAATAGCCACCAGTGACATCCGTCGCCCGGTGAGAACATCCTTTGGACGGCCGCCGCGGCCCCGTGATCATTCGCTCCGCGACCTCAGCCACCGGAGACTAGAAAAGGGCAGCTCGTAAAGGGCCTTTGCTCACCCGAGAAATCTTTCTTCACCCCACGAAATTGACATCATGCGCGCATACTTCATGGACGACCTCCCCGGCGACCAGCGCGAGCTGCACGACTCGGGGCGCACCGTTCCCGACGAGATGCTCGACAAGCTCGGCGTGCTGCGCTGGCACATCCCCGTCGATGCCGAGGGCAAGTGGCAGAGCGAGGTCGACAAGATCGCGGACGCGCGCAGCTACAAGAACCGCGACATCGTCCTCAACGCGAAGGAGGGCTTGGGCGACACCTTCGAGGCCACCATGAAGCGCTTCTACTCCGAGTGAGTGTCTCTGGGCTCACGTGCATTGTGAGTGGTGTTTTGAGTTTTGCAATGTTGCACAGGCACATGCATGAGGACGAGGAGATCCGGTACATCATCGAGGGCAGCGGCTTCTTCGACGTCCGGGGTATGCACGTTCTACCACGCATCAGCCTATCCCGTTCTGACTCCGTCCCGCAACAGAATTCACCACGGACGAGTGGGTCCGCCTCCACCTCTCTGCGGGCGACATGATCGTGCTCCCCGCCGGCATCTACCACCGCTTCTCTCTCGACATGGGCAACAAGTCGCGCACCATGCGTCTCTTCAAGGTCCGTGCTTATCTATCGGTGTGCCTTGTCTAAACCCGCTGACGTCGTTCGCTGCACAGGACGAGCCGAAGTGGATCGCCTACAACCGCAGCACTGACACCGACACCAACCCGTTCCGTCTGGACTATGTCAAGGCCGTCCAGGGCGTCGCGGTTGGTGCCTGAGTGGCGCCTCTCTTCAAGTTTCAGACGTAGATAGTGCTGCACGGGCGGATGAACAATGTATTGATAGGTGTATATATGTACTGCAAGAGGATGGTGTGTGTGAGTGCACGTTTCCAGATTGCCAACGGCACTGCGGCAAGAGATACGATCTTCGGACTATGGCGACCCGAGAGTCGCACCGACCGGGCACACAACGATCATCTATGATTCAACGGTTACAGTCGGCATGGAAGGGCACAAGCGATTCTGGCGGCATTGGTCCGAGTTTTTCTCGAGTAATGCACGAGCGAAGCATATTCTCGCGGGCACGATTCACGGCGCGACGTTATCGACATCCGGCGGCCGACTAAAGTCCACGGGATCGTCTTGTAGTGGAAATGTCCACACGGGGTCCTGCAGCGGTGCACCCATACTCCCGAGAAACGTTGACAGATACCCCGTACTCGAATACTGCGAGCTTATTTGTTCCACGTGACTCGAACCGTCTCCTGGAGCGCCGCCCGTTGCGGTGTCATACGCCGGCGCGATTGTGTCGGTATCCAATGATAAGTCAACGGTGATGCGGAGTTGCCTAAGATCGAGAAGGAAGCGGGAGACGATGATGGAGGTCAGCCTTCCAAGCAAGGTGAGCAACTTGGCAATTTGGAGTAACTGGAAGGCTCGTACGGGGTGATGAGGACGTCAACAACACTAGATGTCTGTGAACGAACAGATTGAGCGGGTGGGGTGGATGCCCGACGAGAGGACAACCTACATTCGTGACCCATAGACCCGTCTCGAGGCAATTCAGGAATAACAAGATTCTGTGTAGGCGTTAAATCATCTCAATTGCCACGGGCTTATGCACTAAGGAGGCATACAAGAAGTGTAGCGTGCCTGATGATGATCGACAGGGTCAGCGCCCCATCACATGCCGATCGACAGTAGGCAATCACTCGCAGGACACCGAGACACTTACCGTCGCGTCCGAGGAGCGTCAGGAGTGGCGCGACACGCTCGCCCGCATTGCCGGTAGCGCGGCGGAGCCGCAGCATGCTTGCCCATGTGACGGCGAGCACGAGTATGTCGCACGAAATCAGGCTGACGTGCGTTATGATCACCACTGTACATAGATGAGTGGACAAGCAAGCGTCAGCCAGTGTGAGAGAGGCGACTCAAGAGCACGAACACCTGTACAACTTGAGTTCAGTCTCCGATCAGTGGGCAGCGGCGCAGACGATGCTTGGACGCACTTGTTCGCAACCGCGGAGGGTACCTCGTTTCCCGGAACAGCAAGCGTTTTGGTGGTGTGTAGGGTCGCATGTCCCGGGGAGCTCATTGCATACGTGTACTAGAGAAATAATCAATTGAATGAGCGATAACGCTAATGGTAACGAGATCATGCACGCCTTACCGCGTTGGTGCCAACAGGGACAAGCCCGAGGAGGAGCGCCAACAGCGCCAACAGGTAGTTACGGTCGCTGACGGCATAGACGCGCAGAGCACTGAAAGCTGGTGTCGATGCAGATGAGCATTGCCTTGAGCTGGACAAAAGCCTCTTACCTGCCCAGATACCTTGCCAGATCATATTCAATGAGCCCCAGAAGAAGATCAAATGGGTATAGCTGCCACAAATGCCCATTGAGCTCCTGTGATAGATCAACTCAAGATCCTCTGCTCACTTACCTCTGAAATCGATTGTCAAAATTGTGTTACAAACTGTGCCAGATATACGTACTGAGGCCGACTGTTTAATTGAGTTAAACAGAAGCAGAGTGCCAAAGATGCCCCACGCCAACGTCGTATATCGGTTCAGAAAGAATATCAACGTGGCGCTCGTCAATTTGCCTTGCCACATCGCAGAGACTTCCTGGGACAGAGTGACGATGTACTCGTATAGCACGAGACCTGGTCCGAACACAGATGATCACTGTCTGACCACGCCATACGGTATATGCGATCACATACACACTCCGGCCAGCAAGAACGAATGTGTCCACACTCTGAAGACACCAGGACAGCGATCAGCTGGGGTGAATACAGACTGCAACACCACACTCACAAGAGTTGAAGGGTGTCCGTCAAGGATTCAGAAGTCGCCATGACAGACAGCCTTCGTTTCTGCGAGCCAGCGGCGACGACCCCTCCAGGATCGCGGTCCTAAATATCCTTCTGCTCAGTTTCACCTGTCAAGGACGAACGACCGCCAAGCGGCGCAGCGGATGCTATAATGCAATTAGTCCAGGAAGAGTTGGGATGCATGGGCGTGCTCTCACGCGTAGAAGCCGAGCGTATCTGACATGGGCGTGTGGTTTTGTTACGGCCTATCGACGCTCAGAGCTAAGGACCCTGATGCTCCGCACAGCTGATTCCATACTGTCAGACATGTGGGCAAACGGGGTTGATGCGGAATTCGGAATCAATGATCAGAACCATGGTTCACCTGGCCGCACCCGGCAAAGCCACGATTTTACGCATGAAGATGTCGTTTCCAGGGCCTGCCCATTCCCATCGGAAGTCCGCTTACGCACACTTTGAGTTCAACAGATCTAACGATATAGAATCAGCTGCAAATGTAACAAATTTAGATATGAGTAGAATGTAAAGCTGAATGTTGATTGGAGGCGTCAAAGCCATCGTGATTATCGGTAACCCATTCAGCGAGAGCTGTTCAATTCCCCTCGCTCATTCGTTTGCCTACCTCTTTTGGTAGGTAATTTCAACCCCGACTGATCCTTCAGCCACCGGCAATCGACGCGACTCGGCCAATGTTATGCCCGGCTTGTTCAGCTCGTATTTTATTAGTGAACCCCAATTCATACTAGACTGCAAGCACATTGCTGATATCTGTCGTTTGCGGACAGTATCAGCTGTGCGTAGATCAGTTCTTGAATACCTCGAAGTCTGGTCTAAACCTGGAGCTGCCAGCACTGAGCGTGTCTTTGTGAGTGCTATTTACACAACCGTGAGTTACTATGAGACTTGCAGTAGGGCACGGTGTGAAATCGCTTCCTAACTTACCGTACATTAGCAGTCGGTCTATTAGGGGGCCAGATTAACAAGTGTAACTGACGGCTAATTAACCCACGAGCGTTCAAGTGCTAATTAACGATAATTAACAGCCTAAAGCGGTAAATCTCAACATTGACCGTCAATTACTACGTATCCCAGTCCAGGTCCTCCGCGCGAACTTCGACTGAGCTCACGATGTTCGCTGACACTACGCATTCCTGCTGTTCCTTCTGGAAGACCGCACTATCAGCCAGAATGTCCTGCAGGGATCCAGCAGTCAGATCAACAGAATTGTGGGTGAGGGATACTCCCAGATTAACACAGATTAACACCCATGTTTCCAACCCTAGGTAAATTACTGGTTAATCTACCGGTAATTAACCGGTAAGTCAGGTCGCTGTTAATTAAGGTAACCAGATTCACCGCGCCTTAGTTTGCAGCTCGCCGTGTCGCATCGATGGATCAGTCGCAGAGGGGTTGAAACTATCTCCCCAAGAAGGTGGATGCTCCGCAAACGAACGAGCACTCACTACCCATTAGCAGCAATTGCGAGGAACAAGAAACATGACAGTAACGTAACCCCAGGGCCCAGACTAGTTTATCAAAGTTGCTGCGACATGACCGCAGCCTGAGGTCGTAACCGGACTTGTGGCGGGCTACTGAGTGGTCCATGACCGCTTATTCCAATGCGGCTTTGCTCCGGGAACCACTGAGGACTGTAGGCTGTAGGCTAGGCGTGAACTTGTCCAGACACAGCGTGGAGAGAGAGAGTTAATATTTGAAAAACACAACAATGTGCCAGGTGAGCCAGAAAGCATACAACTTCACAAGCGTTTCTCAGCTCAAACTGCAACAATGAGCCTTGAGGATCGTTACAAACGTCTAACCATCCTCCAACCATCAAAACGGGCGCTCTAATGTAGGCTGCCTACGGGATACTAACAAACGTCCGACCAAAGAGACAGGGCTGCCGCATTCTGATGGCGCGCGGTTACGGGCGGATACGCTATGAATAAAATAAAGTTTGATCTGCCTGCGGAGGCGTCCGAGGCGTAGTGAGGTTCTCAACAGACCCCAGAACACATGCGTCGGCAAGCTCACGGTAAGAGCGTCTCAAACCCAGCCAGGACTGCCGCTTTCACGACACTTGCTGCTACATGGCGAGGCCGCAATAGCCCGTCAGAAACAGTGGTACGTACTCATCTACGTTGATTCAGTTTTGCGCCATGCCTCGAATCACGCCCTCTCGCGTACGTCACTCAATGATAGCAAAGCAGAACCCCGGACAGCATGCGACGTGTTCCACGGCGTCACATGAGTTCTGGGAGCGCTCGGAAGCAACCGGACAGCATCTTGCGCCTCTCCTGTCCTCGCCAAACATCCTAATTGTACGTCTCTGAGCCTCGCTTACGCGGCCATCACCCGGTGCCTCCACAGCCCGTGTTTCCCGGCATGCTAACGCGCCGTGGAGACAAACATGCTCGACGGATTGATGAAGAGGGCTTGCTATGATGAAGAACGCACTGCACGATGTCTCGACGGAATGCTATGTGCGCCACATAATCATCCGCGGTAAATAACGGCGATTGGCTCACGCTTAGATGTGCTACATCCCGGCCACAATGCAGGCTTCCTAACAAGTGCAGCTACGGGCCATCGAAAGCAAGTGGATGTACACAAGTCGACCGTTGCATGGCATCTTTGTATGGGAAGCCTGTGACACCATGTCATGAATAATGCAACGATGTGGGAGTGAGGACATCAGTGTGCCGCGTGCGAGATTGTCTATTTGTCTACGGTACCTCCAGAATGAAATCAAGGTCACGTCAACCCAAACAAGGAACGTTCGTCCAGAACAGTCGAAGCTAGAGAGCTAGCGAACGGAAAGGTGATATCCAGGGTTTAGCGTGGCGTCATGCATCACCACCGTGTCATGCATGATCAGGAGACGGAGCATTCGATAAATGAGAATGATAGGATGTGTCTGTATGCAAAAAGAGAGCCATGCGGGTGAGCGGTGTGTCCTGGAACACACTTGGGCAACCGCGCGAGGCGTTTAGCACGATTGCCACATTTTCACCGAGTCAATGATCATCGCACGCTGATCGATGTCTTCCGGCCACGTCGCGGACCACGTCGACTGCGCCTTCGCGAAGTTGGACATCGCCACTGTGGTTGACATCGCGCATCAGCGCACGTCCAACTCATCCCACAGAAGGCAGAATACGCACAGGTTGACGTGTCCAGCCACGGCTTGTTCCCGACACCGTCTGGGAACCACCCGTTCGTGCCGCCGACCGCGACGTCCATGATAAGATAGAAGTCTTGGTCAAACGGCGCAACGTTGCGCGTGCCGTTCACCCACGGGTCCGGTGTCACGATGTACTGCGTCCCGTTGAGGACCGTCGCGGGGAAGTCGCCGCGCTTGAAGAACGGCTCGTTGAACGATACCTGAAGCATCCGGTCGAGCCGCGTGTCGACGTACATCCGGATGAATGTGGGCGTCCACTCGACCGCGTACGTGTGGAACCCGTCTGCGTACGTCGATCGTCGATCAGACCACCAGCCGTACGTCTTCGCAACGCCGTTCAAGAAGCTTAACGGCCCCCAGTTGAGCGATGCGCGTACGACGTTCCTGCCCCTGTAGAAATAAGATTGCAAGTGAGCCATAGTGACAAGGTGCCTGACATGAGAACACGAACTGGGCAGCGTAATTGATGCTGTTGCCGCGTGACTCTACGATATCGATCTCCCCCGATGCAGGCCAGGGCCCGTATGTCTCATTCACCGGAAGCATCCACAACGCGGGCCACAGCCAGTCGCCGACAGGCATCTTCGCGACAATCTCGACCTTGCCGTACTTGATGCTGTGGCTGTTGCGCGTCGAAATCCGTGCACTCATTGCCGGGTTGATGACAGACCCTGTCGTCGAATTGGACACCGCCCCGCACGATGTGAGGTTGGTGCTCGTACAGCCAGAGATGTTGTAGGTGTACCCATTCAGGACGTTATCGTACCCGATGACATCGGCTGTCAGTGTGGGCACGATGTACAGCTTCCCATCTTTGACGAATGAATTGTTGCTCGAGTCGGTCGTCATTTCAAATTCGCCGTTGCTGAAATACATCAGGATCAGATCGAATGCGCAATTTTAAACAGGAATTACGTACCCGAAGCCGCCCATGTCGACCTCGCGCGTCCAGGTGTTCTCGAGGTCGAAGGTGGCAAAGTCGTCCTCCATGACGAGGCAAAGGTTACCGACGCGCGGCACGTCCTTCCACGAAAAGTAGCACCGCACTGCGCCACCCGCGACGCCGAGAAATGCAATTGTCCACGTGAGCCACCACGATAGGCGTGCATAGATGTCCTTCTCTTTGATCCATGGCTTCTCGATCTCCTGCGTCAGCATGGTCGAGCGCGCGCGCTTTGCCGTGATACGCCCTGTATATTCGCGCGAGTCGTACACTGTCGCGCGTCGTGACATCGTAGGTGGCGACATGAAGGAGTTGCGAATCTGCGAGTCAACGCGAGGCAGACTCGTGCGCGGGCCCTCCGTGATTTGTGCGTTGACCTGGGAGATACGAGGACTGGCTGTGGCCGTAGGATGACGTAGGAAAGAGAGCGAGCCTCTGCTGGACTGGATGCGAGAGGGTGGGCCTTCAGAGCTGCCGGCGCCGGGAACGGACTGCTCGGCACTGAAGCCAATGACACTGGCGGGGAGCGAGGGCGAGTCCCTGATATCTTCTCTGGGCGTGCCCGGGATTGACGCATCAGGGGTCTGACACTCCGAGGCGTGAGGTGTGCGGAAGGGGTCGCGGTGAGCCTCGCTGGGGCCCTCACTGGAGCTGGCGGACGAGGAGGAGGTCGACATGGGTGAGGCTGCGGTGCGAGTGGATGCCAGTATGCAGGATGGCCGACCTAGGATTTATACGACTAGTGGTCCGCGGTGGATGAGGCATCCTGCACGTCAAAAGTGTCCGTGTTATCGACTGCCCTACATGATCAGATATTTGCCATGTGAGAAGAGGCCACAGTTACTGAAGTGGAAGTAGAGAGCGCGCGGGCCCGGAGATGTTCGGAGGACACGACAAGACACCGAGGACAGATCTAATCGAGACGGACTCTATTTGTGGTCAGCCGTATCCAGATATGAATGACGTGTGAGACAAAGCCCGGGGATAATTATGGAATACATGAGCCAGCGGATGAGGCAAACGTCGGAGAGATAACGTACTCAGGCTGTGCGTTCGAGAGCCCGTCAAGAGGGAGGCGAGGAAGAATTGAATGCCAAGGGCCATCACTGGCCGCAAGCGGATAGAACGTGGTCGATGGACGCGTGAACTGCAGCGATACGCCGAGATAAGCTCGATTTCGACGGCGTTGACAGTTTGCTAGTCGCGCGTTTGCACTACCCGCTCTTCCAGACTCGACAATGTGGTTCGGGGAAGAGGGGAATGACGGGTTCCACAGGGTCGCGACTGTATATATATATGCCCGAGACCCCTTCAACAGGTTTGACGCAAAGCTGTTAGCTGCAACAACCATATGACGTAGAGAACAAGACGGCCGTGAAGGTTTTCCAAGAGTGATCGATCGGCGGTGTGATCTCGAGAAAGCATCCGAATAGAATAGAGTATGCTAGCGTCTAAACTCGTAATGTGCGGCTTGGGGACGGATTTAGTTTAGCGATAGGCGGGTTCTCGATTCGTCAGGGGGAGGTCACATTTCCTCTCGCGCCGGTCATCACACCTCGCCTTCCGCGCCGTCGAGGATCACGGGTAAAGAACCAGAATATAACGTCCTGGAAAACGGCGTCAACGAAACAGGCTTCAACACCCGAAGAGAATCAGCACAGAGTCAGCGCGGCGTACATGTGTGTGCTCAGCTTCGGCCGGGCGGATGCATGCTGCTTAGCCGGCCTGCAGATAGGCCGGAAAGTGCAGTTCCGCCTCCATCGAACGAAATTCTATGGATCGACGTTGCAAATGCTTGATCGGGGAACAGACGCTCGAGTCGACCTGTCGATTCTCGCCACAATCTCCCGATGCATTACCAGGGTCTATCTGCGGTACCTGTGTCAGGCCACACAACGTGCATGAGGTAAAGGGACAGATACGCAGTATCGACGCATTGCATATAGAAAGCTACAGAGGATTGGAAGCGTAGGAGACAGACGTAGTGTGTACAAACCTTAAGTCGGAGAGGTGACAGTCAGTTGACAGCACGAACAGCATTCGAGGCTGAGAACAGTCCCGGAAGTTGCTGCAGGACCGCCGAACGGCACCGCGACTGTTTGGCGGGCACGGCGTTCCTGCGCTGGTTTCCGGAAGCGAATAAGCAAAGCCCGTCGTTGCCGTCAGTATACGGAGTCGTTTTTGCCATTCTGGTGCGCGGGGCGATTGCGAAGAACGAGATCAGGCCAGGGGCGACCACGCACAGTATTGCAGACTGCAGTATACGGCCAAGTTCGAGGCGACTCAGGACTGGGGCTAACCTTGTTCCCGTCTTGATCTCTGAGCTTCCACTTTGGCTCGTGAAGACAAAACGTCCATACCGCTCACTGTTAGGAGAGACGCGCACAAGCGTAGCCCCCCGCCATCCTCGACGCGGGCGGGGCGGGTTTGCTACCGGACAATCAGGAGTGGGGTTTGTGTACGACGAGCAGAACTCTAGGAACGACGTGCGAGTGCTTCGAGGAGAGCGTCAAGGCAGAGAGCACTCATGAGTGGACAGATGGCAGGAGGACTCCGAGGGTAGTCTCCTGTGAGCAGAGTAGATAATTCCTTCAACCTGCGCGGGCTACGGATATCCTTATCTGATCCGAGGGCGGCGAGGACGCGCTGCCGCGACTGTGTTCACGTGATCGCATTCCGTGTACATACTCGCCCCGAGATGATCTGACCGTTGACGTCAACTGGAAGCCTGCACTCACTACTGGTCACTAGTCACCAGAGACCCCAGCATGCTCCGTTTGTTAGAATCTCTGTACGGCGAACGTGGAGAAAGCGACGGGCGGGGGAGCGGGAGCGTTAGCGGACGAGACTGTAAGGAAGGCAGCGAGACTTGGCAATATATTTCGTTGTAGCCACTGCGCTCTCACCGCACTCTATGCCCTCCCCCTCATCGCGCTCTCCGCACTGCACTCTATGCCCTTTCGCCAGCCCTATCTCTTGATTTTCATCCGGTCAGCTCTCTTCAATTTCACGCGGTCGGCTCTCGCACACTCACCTGGCACGCATTCGCATCCGGCGTCAAGGCATGGCGCAACAAGCCGCCAGAGATCTCGATCGATCGCGCGATGCAAGCGCCGGATGCCGAGAATCGACACAGAGTCAGCGACGGTTGTCTGCTATCATGTGGCTCACAGTGTAATGTGTCAGCCATCGGTACTTGCTTATTAGTATCCTGAACCTATGACGCCATACCCCTCCGAGTTCGAACTTCGTCCTCAGCACTCAGCACTCCGCATTCATCTCGACCACGACCACCCAGTACCGTCCCACACCAAACAGCGACGCAATGGCCAAGTTGAGCATCACATCCGCCGTCCGCCTCCCCACAGGTGCGCTCGTCCGCGTCTGAATCTGGCCCCGCAGAGACCCGCTCACCCACCGGTCATCGGGATTGTGATCGGGTACGCAGGACACACGATGCCCCTCCTCGGGCTGGGGGTGTACCAGAACGACGACTGCACGCCCGCATGCCTCGCCGCGCTCCAGCACGGCTACAGGTGCGTGCCTGCCGTCCACGCCCTTTTGTCCTTATTCTTATCGGCTGCCGTTCAAATCTCAACCGTGTCGACTGCCGAGCAGGCACATCGACTCGGCGCGCATGTACCGCAACGAGGCGCAGGTGGGCGCGGCCGTGCGCCAGAGCGGCGTCCCCCGCGGGGAGGTCTTCGTCAGTGCGTAGCTGCACCTTGCACTTGCCCCCGCGGCTCACGCTCACCTCACATGGCATGTCGTTTCGGTGCGTTGCAGCCACGAAGATCGCGCAGAACGAGCACGGGTACGACCGCACGCTGCGCGCCGTCGATGAGTCGCTGCAGCGCTTCGGCTTCGGTATGTCTTCTCCCCTCCCCTCACTGCTACTGCTACTACCACGCCCGCACAGATTATCTCGACCTGTACCTCATCCACAGCCCCCTGTCCGGCACGGCGCTGCGCCTCGAGACGTGGAAGGCGCTCCTCAAGGCGAAGGAGGATGGCAAAGTGCGCACGATCGGTGTCTCCAACTAGTGCGTTCCCGCGCCTTGCCATCTCCTCGAGTCTGTGTCCTGACCTGACCCGTGCTCGTCCCGCAGCGGCGTGCACCACCTCGAAGAGATCCGCGCGGCGGGCCTCGAGAAGCCCGCAATCAATCAGATCGAGGTCAGTCTAAGAGCGACGTGCCCCGCTGCATTCCGGGCTAACGTCCTTCTTGTCTGCCTCTCAGCTGCATCCATTCTGCCAGCAGCGTCCAATCGTCGCGTACTGTGAGAAGAACGGCATCGTCGTGCAGGCATACTGCCCGCTCGTGCGCGGACGTTTCAGCGATCCTGTGTTGCAGGAGGTCGCCGCAAAGGTGTGTGTACGGCGCTCAGCGCGTCAGGGGTCGCGCTTCATCTGAGCTATGGTTTTCCTCGATGCAGTACAAGAAGGACGTCGCGCAGGTGCTTGTGCGATGGTCGCTCCAGCATGGGTACGTGTCATGACGGACTCGTCGCATGCGCGATCCGCACGGGTGAGGTGCCGAGGCTGACCAGGCTGCGCGCACACCACAGGTACAGCCCGCTGCCCAAGTCAGCACAGCCGGCACGGGTCGTGTCGAACGCGGACCTGTACGACTTTGAGATCGCGGCGGAGGACATGGCGAGGCTGGACGCACTTGACCAGGGCAAGGATGGCGCGATCAGCTGGAACCCCGTCGATGCACCGTGAAGGGGGGGAGGGAGAGACATGAGATAGCTGGGCTGCTTGCATTATATACTAGGCAGCCTTGTCGGATGTCGTTTAGAATGTGCATCTGTAGTGTGCACTGAGAGATTGGGTTCTGTCGTGACGAGCAGTCTTTGCATTTGATTCACCTAGCGTCGTCACAATATCAATAGACTTTCGCGAGCGTCAGCATTTCATATCCAGGGTTCCGAGTGCCAGCGGCCGCAGACTCACACAGACGTGTCCGAGTCGCCAGAGCTGGGATCGCCCGGATCGGCGGATTATGTGCCTGACGTCATGGTGCGGCGCTCCGTTGGCCGTCCTGATAACACGATCGGCGCGCGATCGAGGTGAGCGAGGATCTTCAAGCTCAAGCTCGCGCCTCTCTTCGCCTGCCACCATGTCCGAGCTTACCCTGTCCACGTCCGTCCGCCTGTCTTCTGGTGCGTCGTGCACGCCCCGCCCATCTCCTCGACCGCTGACGGAAGACCGTGCAGGCTACGCGATGCCCCTGCTGGGTCTCGGCGTGTATGAGAACGACGACTGCGCTCCCGCGTGTCTTGCCGCGCTGAAGCACGGCTACAGGTGCGCACGGAGGCTGATGCTGGCTCTCCCCGCTCGGAGGCTAATGTTGCCCCCCTCACCCGCATATCGACGCGCCGGCCTGCAGACACATCGACTCGGCGCAGTACTACAGGAACGAGGCCCAGGTCGGGAACGCCGTCCGCGAGAGTGGTGTGCCCCGCGCAGAGGTCTTCGTGAGTGCGTACCGCGCGATGCTCCCTCTCCCGCTGCCGCCGAATGGCATCCTGATCCCGACGTGCGCTGCAGCATCCAAGGTGTACGACCCCCACCACGGGTATGAGCAGACCCTCAAGGCCGTCGACGCGTCGCTCGCGGACTTTGGCTTCGGTGCGCGTTCCGCCGTCGTGGTCGCGTTTTGCGTGCGCGGGAACGCGCTGACCGCAGCGCAGACTACCTCGACCTCTACCTGATCCACAGCCCGCTGTCCGGCAAGGAGCGGCGCCTCGCGTCGTGGAGGGCCCTGCTGCACGCGCGCGATGCGGGCAAGCTGCGGACAGTCGGCGTATCCAACTAGTGCGTGTCCCTGCTTCGTTGTCCCCGCGTGTGCCGCTCGCTGAGTCCGGTGACCCGTGCCGCTGCGCCCGTCATGCTCTGCGTGCCCTCAGCGGCGTGCACCACCTCGAAGAGATCCGCGCGGCAGGCCTCGAGGCGCCCGCCATCAACCAGATCGAGGTTAGTCCAGCACCGATGCGCTCCGCTGCACCCTGCACCCCGGGCTAACGCGGGCCGCGCGGCGTCCCCGCCCGCCGCGCAGCTGCACCCATTCTGCCAGCAGCGTCCGATCGTCGCGTACTGCGAGAAGAACGGCATCGTCGTGCAGGCATACTGCCCGCTCGTGCGCGGGCGCTTCGGAGATCCTGTGCTGCAGGAGGTCGCCGCAAAGGTGTGTGTACGGCGCTCGGCGCTTCAGGAGTCGCGCTCCATCTGAGCTGTGCTTTTCCTTTCCCGCGATGCAGTACCAGACGGACGTCGCGCAGGTGCTCGTGCGATGGTCGCTCCAGCATGGGTACAGCCCGCTGCCCAAGTCGGCGCAGCCCGCGCGCATCGCGTCGAACGCGGACGTGTACGGCTTTGCGCTCGCCCCGGAGGACATGGCGCCGCTGGACGCGCTGGACCAGGGCCGGGACGGCTCGGTCAGCTGGAACCCCGTCGACGCGCTGTGACGCTGCCGTGGCCGTGGGAGGGATGCCGCGCGCGAGGTCTGCCCCGTATGGTCGTTGACCGTTGACCGTTCGATGGCGACAGGAGTACGCTAGTTGGAATGACGCAACACAGCTAAATGTGGGCCGGTGTGGGAGGCTCAATGCAGCTGGTGTCCAAACATGGTCGAAGAGCATGAAATGAACTGTCGGCTAGCTATAATAATATAAGAAAGTAAGATGGCCGCGTTGATCCGACTATATGCGCGTCGACAGTAAAGAAATGATCGAACGAACAACCAACAAAGGTTGAACAATCCCAGTGAGTGTCAACGACCCTTAACGACTGCAAGCAAATATGACCAACGACAGCCACGAACGATCAACAGAAAACGCGAACGAAACGAGAACATCAGGTACGAATGAATCGACGACGACTATGAAGAAACCAACAACGACAGTGCGCGATGCTTGGCGACCGCGACGAACGAATACACGACAACGGCACGCTACATCGAACGAGCTCTCAATGACGACAAGAACAACCGGCAACCGCAACGACACAATCCGCAACAAATATGCGCGACAAAGACTACAATCTCAACAATGAAACAACGTGCGATGCTTACCTATGCTGTGTCTTCGAGAGGGATTTGATGGGCGCAAGGTGGTAGTTCGAGGAAAAGGGCGAATTGTCCCTTCTCTACGCCCACGCCAGTTTATATATGTGCAGGGCAGCCGAAGCAGGATGATGTCACAACAGGTTTGAGATGAGAATCATGACGTACAAGAGAAACAATGCCTCGAAACCTGTCCGATCGATCAAACACATACAAATCAGGCAAACTGTAACCCAAATCCGGACGGAAGCCCCGTCCTGGGCCCGTCCAAGCTAGGACTGGTATTGTCTCAGCTTCTCGATGGTGTCGCCTCCGACGTGTCATATTCACTTGCGCTACCCGCCGCCCTCGGGAGCGTGACGACGCCGGCACCCGCGATCAGCCTACACCAGCCATTTCATCTCCCCCTCAGCATCGTCTTCGCAAGCCATAAAGTCAAAGAAGAATGGTACATGGTACGTAATCTCAAACCTGACTGTTTGGGCGGAAAGAGAAAATAAAAAATACGAAACCGCTGACGTTGGTTTGGATCGTTTATCTTCTAGCGCGTCCTCCACCCCACCGGCGCGGTCTGACAGTGTTGACATAATGTCGCGCGTCGTGCTGGTAAGCTGCATTCTGTTATCACCGCATGCGCTGTCAACTGCCAGCATATGGAAGGCGGTTGCGACAACACCGGTAGGAGCGCATTGGCAGAAAGCATTCAGAAAGCATGTATAGGACACAATAGCCGTGGGTGCTATTCACATCGCAGCCATCATCGGCTGTGAGAAGGGAGCGGTGAATATCCTCTCGCTGAGCTGGACGCGCTGGCTCTCACACTTTGTCGGGGTAGAAACGATACCTGGAAGCACAGTTTTGGCTCATTATTCAGGTGCAAATGCGTCGCTGATACCTGTGATGGATCTAAATCGTCGCATACTGCTATCCATGGCCATGGGCGCACGCTCACGACGTGGGATATTGGTCTATGTAGCGAGTAGAGGATAAGAAACGCACGACGTTCGCATGATAGTATACAGACTACAGTCTAGGTTAATGCTGGTCGGAAATCGACTTACAGTCCACACGAGTTCGGTCCGGGAGAAACCTTAGCAAGCGCTCCACACAGCCCAGTCAGTCCAAAGCCGTAAGTGAGGTCTCGCCTCAATACGAAAAGATCATGAGCCACGGGTTGAGTATGATCTGCCACAGCCGACATCAGCCAGGATATCGCGCGCAATATGTGTTCGAAAACATACGGGGTACAGGATGTGGCAGCCGGCGACGATGCTGAGGGCCAGCATGAACTTTCAGTCGGCTTGCAGATGGGATGCGACGCAGACACTCACGCTAGCGGAAAGATCGCAGCCCAGTCCCACCCGGGGATCTGCCAGCCCGAGGGGATGACACCGAGGGAGAGAACGACCATCGCGGCGCACAGAAGGAGACAGAGCGAGAACGCCGGTCCGAAGCGGGCGAGGATGCGCGGGACCTCTTGCCAGAAGTTGGAGCGCTCGACCTCCTTCTTGGTCGCGCCCCAGGTGATGTTGTACGAGAACAGGTGCGCGAGGAGCGCCGCCGAGAGGTGGATGGGGAGGCCGCCGAAGAAAAAGAAGCTGTGGCAGGCGCGTGAGCATGGCCGCACAGTGAAGAAACAGAAATGAGAATGAAGGAGAGGCGAACGGTGATGCGTACAAGAAGGGCACCCAGGTGAGGTTCTCAGCCAGTGAGCTCAAGAGCGCGCGCTGGCCGAGCCGGTACTCGAGCAGCGTGAAGCCGAGGTTGCCTGCGCCGGGGAAGACGACGGTACACGCGAGCCAGATCTCGAAGCTGTGCTCGTAGAACCCATCGATCTGCATATATCGTCAGACATTTGCAGCCAGTCGCTGATGCATCATGCTCACTGTGACACCCCACCCCAACAGGAAGTAGTTCATCGTGGCTAGTAGTGCGGCTGCAGCGATACCATCTGCAGAAAGGGCATGAGAAGATGACACAGGTCGTCATGTTCAATACAGCTCACAGTACGAGAACATGTCTGAACAACATCGTCAGTCGTCATCATTCGTCACAGAAGAGACATATTACATACACGAAAGCATGCTGAATTTGTAGTGGACGGGTGCGGCAGACCAGATGAAGATCCGCAGCTGCTTGTTGATTGGGCCTAAGCGCCACCAGTGGATGAGCGGATTGAAGATCAGCTCGTTGCAGCCTCCATCATATTCAGTATCTAGATGTAACCGGATAGGATCCAGGATGAGCTCACCATAAGCATACTTCTGCCATCGATTCAACTCGTCATCGCATGTCAGCGACACTCCCTCCTTGAACCCGCCCTCCGAGTACGTTGACCATCGAATGATGTATCCCTTCAGCTGCAATCGCAGCGCCATGTCAAAGTCCTCCGACACATTCGCCTCAGACCAAATCTTCCTCACCCCGTCCGCAGCATCGACGAACGCCGCATCCTGTAGCGCAGACCACCGCAGGAACGCATTGTGCCCCACAAATGGCGCAACCTCCCCATTCGCACACCCCATCGAGATGCACTTGTTGATCCGCCGCGTGAAGTGCGCGATCCCGTTCTCGAAGTAGTGGTGCGCTACCTGCATCACGTCCGACTCGTGCTGGATGATCGCTACCTCGGGCGACTCGTACAGCTCGCGCGCCGCGTCGCGCAGGCAGTCCTCAGGCACGACCGTGTCCGAGTCGACGATCAGGATGATCTCGCCGACGCGCAGCGACCTGCCGTT